GTTTGCGCCAGGGGAAGATTTTATAGTTCTTGGCATTGCCTACCAAATCAATACTGGTGCTTGGACTTCCTCATAGGAGCTCGAATACTCAATCATCAATTGAGCCAATATGCCGCCACGATTAATACTGTCCCCACTATCGCCCAAGCCTTCCACTACACTCACCTCGTTATCTTCTTTCCTCCTCCCCTTCCTACACCAACAGGCTCGACCCGCATCGATCCTCACTTCCCTGTCCGACACCAAAGGCGCATACAACAAACGCATTCGACGAGGACGAGGACCTTCTTCAGGCAAAGGCAAAACCTCCGGCCGAGGTCACAAAGGCCAAAAGCAACATGGAAAGGTCCCGGCCGGCTTCACGGGTGGTCAAACGAAAGACGAGGTCGTCCGCGGTCCACATGGCTTCAAGAATATGTACGAGGAAAACAAACTCCCCCCCCCCGATCCCACCTACTTCTAAACGCAAACCACACTACTAACGCTCAATCCCTTCTCGCTCCAGACACGCCGAAGAGATGTCCGCCGTGAACCTCGACAGAATCCAAGACTGGATCAACCAAAAGCGCATCGACCCGCAGCAACCCATCACAGTCAAAGAATTGACACGCACGCGCGCCGTCCATGGTGTCAAAGACGGGATCAAGCTCCTAGGGCGAGGCGCCAACATGCTGACCACGCGCATCAACATCGTCGTCTCGCGCGCCTCGGCCTCTGCAATCGCGGCCGTGGAAGCCCTCGGCGGCACCGTCACCACCAGATACTACACCAAATACGCCATCCACCGCATCAAGCAGGGCAAGACGGCCCCCTTCGTGAGTCTGAAATGGGATCCCGAGGCGCTGAAGAACCCGGCCCTCAACAGGATCGGCATGGGCAGCGACCCCGTGCAGAGGGTCAAGGGGATGGGCTTCCAGTACCGATTACCGGATCCCACGAGTAGGAAGGATATAGAGTATTATCGCGATCCGGCGAAGAGGGGGTATTTGGCGCATACGGTGGGCGAGGGGGAGACCCCGAGTCTATATCATAGATTGCCGAGGACGGATGTTGGCGTCAAGAGGACGGTGACTAAGAAAAGGGAGGATGCTGAGGAGAACAGGCTATGGTAATACCCAGGGACGAATAGCTTGCCCCCAAGGTCAGGGTAAATGTATCCTATATGATCAAACTAGCATGCTATGCAGATGGCAGATGGCAGACAGCAGAAAATAGCATCCCTGTAGATTAAGCACCTGCTATGTGCATCGAGCCTGCGCTTGCTCAAGTCTAATGCCTGCTATCTGATCAGTAAGCTGAACGCCCGTTCCGAACGAAACTCCTGTAGCCAGTCCCTCATCGCAGTAGCAACGGTGAGCAACAATACTAGTTGAGCCCAAAATCTTCCTTCGCCGTTCCATCTATCTGCTCTATTCGTCCCCACGACAAATATACCAAAAAAAAACAATACCTTGACCTCGCTGGATGATGCCAAACACAAGAACTTCCACCTTCAACCTTCTACATTACAGCAGAGCGAAACCGTGCCTGACTACTACTCCCTTGAAACATCGCGTCCGAAGAACTTGGCCTTCAACCAGTCCATAACCACCAGCATGCGATTCCGAGCTAGGAACCTGGTCAGCTACATCACCAAAAAGAGAAGATTTCAACTCACTGCTAAAGCACATGCTCAGGTAAGCACTCTTCCAGAACAGATATGTCAGGGTACCGCCACTGGCAAAGTTGCCCGACAACCAGCTTACATCAGCCACGGCTTTCTCGGCTCCAATGTATGCTAACGATCCTTGATGGGAATATTTGAAAGGCCCAATCTGCTTGACTCTCCTTAGTTGCCGCTGACGTTCCTCAATCTCATCGAGTATGGCATCGCGATCCCCGTTTTTGGCCACTGCCTGTTTGGCGGATAGTTCTTTGAGTTGTTGCTCAATCTCGTCGGTCTTGGCCATGGTGTTGAACAGACGAGCAAGGAAAGCTCCTTCTTGGGCGGCAACTTGAGCAGTGGGCGCATAGTTGGCCACCGCACAATCGCCCACAGCCCAGATGTTTTCTGTTCCATTGACAACAAGGTATTCATTCACATTCAGTCCACGTCGAGCATCTTTCTGCGCGGGAATCTGCTGCATAAGATCCTTGACCACCCCGCGGACAGCGTTTCCGGTAGCCCATACAAGCAGACCATACGGCATAACTTCCAACTCTTTGGTGCCATCAGGCTTCGTCACTTCGGCTTCGATGGTTTTATCGGTTACATTCTTGACCATGGTCTTGGTCCGGATGGTGATATGCTCTTCCTTAAAGGTAGACTCCGTATAATCAATCAATTGTTTGCTAAACATAGGCAAGACATTGGGAAGTGCTTCAACCAGGGTGACTTGAAAATATTCCTTAATATCTGGAATCCATTTTCGCAAGTCTTCCATGTAGAAATCTTGTAGTTCGCCCGCAAACTCAACTCCAGTTGGGCCGCCGCCAACCACGACAGTGTGCAGAAGTCGCTTCTTCTCTTCGGGAGATTGATCCTTGAAACTAGCTGTTTCCACGCAGTCCATGATCTGTTTCCGAATCTTCTGGGCATCTCCAACCTCTTTTAAGAAGCAAGAGTGCTCACGCACCCCTGGAATGCCGAATGTCGCATTTTCAGCGCCAACCCCTACGACCAGCATATCGAAAGGCACCTCGGCCTCCACAGACTCACCCTTAATTTCAGAGTCATCTTTGGCATAGACAATCCTCTTCTCGTAATCAATCTTGGTTGCTTCAGCTTCGTAGAATTTCACGGATGCTTTTTTGTGCCGGAGAATGTTGCGGACAGGCTCCATGATGGAGCGATGTTCGATTGTTCCAGTAGTACAGGAAGGGAGTAGGGGAGTGAATAGAAAGTAGTTCCGAGGAGAGATAACCACGACATTATAATTCTCCGTGTCGAGTTTCTTGAGCAGAGATACCGAGCCCCAACCCGTCCCTGCCCGTGGTTAGTTAGTCAATGCTATTTGGCATTCCGTATTCCCAACTCACCTAAAATCACCAAAGTTTTCTTGTTTGGATCCGGTTCGATCTGGTCGTTAGGATTCCGCTGCACCCAGACTGTGTATGCCACCCACCCTACGAAACCAATTGCAGATAAGTAGGTCAAACGAAATGTCCAGCGGAGGAGCCTAAAGCGCTTTTTGGGGCTTGGAGTGGGAGATAAGTTTACTGTAGGAGCGTCGGCGTATGCGCGGCGAAAGACTTGGTGCGAAGCTGTACAAGAAAGGGAGGTAGATTTCGCAGGACGGATACCGCAATTCGTTCGAAGGGAGGTAGTAATACAACGTCGAGAAGCGAGGGGAAGGCCTAAAGAACGTCGAGCAACCATTAAAGGCATCCTCATGGCCAAGCGAGAAGCCATGATTGCGAAGTAGAATATGATGAAGGAGTGAAATGACGGGGAGTCCGTTGAGGTCTTTTAAAAGGTAATCAAGGGAAAATTTTTCTGGGATCGTCCGCCTATCTGAGCTATGATATGTATAAACGCTGTGGGTCGTGGTTAGACTTGCGGCTGAAAAGGCAAGATCCTGCTCAATTATTTGTGGTTGACTCTCAAGAAGCAAGGTGGCAGAAGTGAAGTGAGGTGCAGAGTTCCAGCAGAAGGGGCGGGAGGAGTGAAAGTGGTGAGTGTGGCAAGGCCCTAGATGTTCAATTCTGTCAATTGGGAGAAGCTGAGGAACGCAGATAACATTTATTAAAACTTATCAACTTTATTTGCTTGGCTCGGAGATAGGTGGAGCCAACCCCTGCACGGGGATAGCCCTGGGCCTCCGGGCCACTGGCATTGCTTGTAGCGACTGCTGGGTTCAGAGATCTGCACCCCCGGTCGCCCGTCAAAACAAGTCCCCATCCACTGCAAAGACTCTGCTCAGCTGGTGTGACTCGAATTCCCTGCTTTGTAAGCATCCTGCTGCAATGCACAGTTGACAGTAGCCCTACCACCTTTGTGGCCAGTGTAATTCATGGTCTCTGTCCTATTTCCAGCTGCATGAAAGCCGGAGATACAGTTACGGTAGGGCCCTGGTAAGCCAACCCTTAAAGTACACGATGCCCTCCGATAAGCCAAGTCTACGCTCTCCATGCCGGCGACTGAGCATGGTATCTGCCGACCTGCCATCCCGCTCTTGCCATCAGCTGTAGATGTGCAGCAAGCTCACCTTCGTGGTGGTAGACGCTTCGTGGCCTCAACTGGCCAACATGACATATTCGCAGCTGTCCTGAGCACAAAGCAGTGCTCTAGCCCCAGACATTACTTGTTTGATGTAGGCCCTTTCGACCTCTCCACGTAGACCTTTTCAGCGTCTGACTGGCCCTCCGGAGCCAGTTCAGGACCAGGTTCAGGATCTTCCTCTTCGATCTGCTTCATGACCTTGGCCTTCAACTCCTCGGACTCGCTTTCATCTTGGACTACGGCTTCATCGTCAATGCCCGATCTCCGTTTGGCGTCATTGACAATCGTTTCAACTTCGCTAGGACCGTTCGCCGTGCTGTCATCTCTTTCCACACCAATATTCGAAGACGTGTTGGATTGCAGTTTCTTGGAATCAAACCGTACGACCATAACCGACAAATTATCCGTGGAAAATCGTGAAAGCGCATGATCTACGAGTGCCTTCGAAGCAGCTTGAGGGGAGGGAATTTTGCGGATAAGATCAACAGCTTCTTGGTCTGAGCAGACATCCCAGAGCTACACCAAAAGTCAGTCAACCGATCAATGGGTGCTATGATATCCTCTTACCCCATCGCAAGCAAGTATAAGAAATTCGTCAATATCGGGCTGGATGACCGTTTCCGTAGTGTAAGGATGTCCGGTAACCAGATCCTTTAGATATGAGTCTCCCAACGCTCTAGTGACAGCAAGCACTCCGTTCACACGATTGTTAAGGATGAGACCTCCAGCATTAGAGATCCTCCGTCCCTCGTTTTCATCGCTTCCCTTGTGGTCATACGACAATCTCAGCGCCTTGCCATTACGACATAGGACGATACGTGCATCCCCAACATTTGCTGTATACAAGACTCGCTGTCTAGAAGCTGTCTCTTGAATCTTATGAACGACCTGCGATGCCTTGTCCGTGCTGGGTCTTGAAGGCGCTGCTCGCGTAGGTGCATCTACATCTTCAGCATCTGACTGCTTAACAGCCGAGGCAGCGGCTGGTGCAATAGCCGTAGAGCCGGTTGCTGACTGGGAATTTGGCACACGGTCTTCCCAGCGCAGCACAGCAGTGATAGCCGTGCAGCCACTGTTCTTGAGTGGCAAGCTCTCCAGCTGTTGGTCTGCAGAGGTGAAAGTTTGGTCGAGCAACTCGGGAACAGGAGTGTTGGGATGTTTCCTCATCAAGTCCTCCAATATTATGTGAAGCTTCTTACCGCACCATTCAGCTGCAAAAGTCCCCGCATGCCCATCAAATATTGCAAAGTAGCCATTGTCTGTTTCTACTGCGTGTTGCGAGCTATCTGATACTCCGTCGGTCATTGTATCTTTGACCTCTCCCGTCGGCTTGCTTGTCAGTGACACATCAGATGGCAACACGGGTGCAGGGGTACCAAGGAAATTGTAAAGGTACGAATGCGTATCTTCCATTGTTCGACGACATTTTTTGTTTTTGTCCTCCGTAACTCCAACTGTAAATGATGAGTTGGGTGTCTGATGCGATTCTCCAGCTGAGTTGTTCAAGGAGCCTTGTGGCACGATCAACGCAGCGTCAGTCTTGCCTAGCTTCTGCATTGGAGTGAGCAGGCCCTCTCTGTCGTTGCCAAGTAACGTGTTCTTTGCACTATTGAGAAATGCGGCGGCCTTTGCGCTGCTACTCCTTCGCTTCTTACTGTCGCCTCCTGGGCTGTGAAGCTCGTCGCTTTTACTAACAGGAGCTGTGTTAGCTTTAGATACAGAAGATGGGCTTGCGCTTTCGCCACTAGAAACAGTGTTGGCCCCGCTAGTGTCTAGATTAGACCTATCGGTGCTTAATCTGGGTGTATGATTCACGGTGTCGCTATCTTTCTCTTTTCTGGCATGGGTGGAGGATCCGAATACCCGATTCAGGAAACCTCCTTGGGAGACTCTTCTCCCTGTCGTGCCTGCCAGCTTGAACGAGTGGTGATTCACTGACGATCGTACTCTAGAGGTCGTTCGCTAACAGGAGATGTCCAGGAATATGTTGCGCTCAAGCCACCGATTTTGAATTTATATCTTTTGAGCGATTTCGAATTTCGGATTTCGATTCACTCTGTAAAGCGAGCAGCCGCGATGGGATAATAATGGAGGATTTCTATCTTGTACAGATTTCTTAGTAACAAGGAGTATGTTGTGCTTCAAGGTATAGTTCACTCTGAACTTTTTGCATACCAGTGAGTGTATTGTGAGATGGATGACGTCGCTTACTGCTAGACGCTGAGACGCTTGAATACTGACCTGGGGAATTTTGCTAGCAGCCGCAAACCAAAAAAATCTCTTCCGGCTTGTGTGTCCGGTAGGCAGAGGCGTGCAAGACAAAAATCAAGAGGCCCAGTTTGGTATCGGTAGGGTTTGCCAGCGCGATTGGGAGTCCTGTTGAAGCCAAAGACTAGATGGGATGTTGTAGGTGGAGTATTGCCACAGCGACCTCGTCCGGTGATTACGAGGCTCTCAGCAGGATAGGTAAAGATACAAAAGTAAAGGCTCCATGTGAAACACAAGTCATCTTGCTGGATGAAATAAGAGCAGGCGGGCAGCTGCGGTGCTTCAATGGCGGGGGATTTGCCAAGACATTCTAAAATTGTTGCATATTCTGTTTCATGTGGCATTTGTTGCTTCGATATGTACTCCCTCTTGCTATTACTATGCATTGCTTGCTGCATGATACGCTATGGATTGGACTTAGGGTCCTCCTAAAGCATGCATGAAGCAGGACGCCTAACTAGACATATATTATGGGGATATGCTCCACCTTCCCAAAACCGTCTTCCTGAGCCTGATCTGTACATATGCCCTCCAGCTGTGGCGTCTGCTGCAGCCAGCTCGGCAACATAGCTCAACCAGGGGGGGAAACTTCACTACAGTAACGGTATATCCCCCAAACCTTCAGAACTCCTAAGCGCCTTGCTTTCAGGTACACAAATCCAGGCTAGCACAAGGAACGCTGCTACCGCCGCAGGCTATCCAGTCTAGCTTGCAAATCATCGTCTTCTCCACCTCCAGCACCACCTCCAGCTCCGATAGCTTGCGCCACGCGTCCTTCGCTGACGGTATTCTTCTGAAGGCCAGAAGGTGTTTCGCCAAGCTGGAAGCTCTTGTTAGACTAGGACAGTTGTCTTGCTCGAATCCTGGACTTACTGCCTGATTAAGATCGACTCCAATCTCATCAAGGACTTGGTTGACCACTTCCTCGCCTTCTTCTTCATCCTCGAGGCCCGTCACGTCATCGATAGCATCATCCATCATCTCTTGGCGTTGGTCCATGATATCGTTCTCCCTTTCAAATTCCATTGCTATTCGCTGCAACGCTGGAAGGTTCATTTGTCGATTCATGCTGCCCAATAAAGATGTAGCTCCTTTCATTGACTGCATCATCTGTTCATTGCTGCGCACAGTCTGCGGGAAAGTCTTCAGCCTTCTTCTGGTTGGGATAAAGCCCAAAGCAGTTGACCTCACCTGTATTCGTAGAGAGATAGCCTGCAGTTGGGTCCTCATTGAGTAGAACTTGCCAATATATCTGAAATTTCAGCATCCAATACCTGGACTGGAACTCTGTGGTTCGTACCTTCGTGTCCTTACAAGATCTTTGGCCTGAATCTTGCAAGCACCAATCTGTCCATTCTTCGCGCTCTTCTTAATGTCCTGAACCAGCTTCTTTTCCTGGTTCTCCAGCTTTACTCGCTCCCGGTCAAGCTCACGCTGTGTCTTTTCCAGGGCTCTTTGGTGCTTTCGCAAACGTTCAGCCGGTGTCATGCGCTTTCCAAATGCCCATTCAATAACCTGGCGGAGCTTGTAAGAGGTTGCCCTGAAAGAGTGACAGGGTGAAGGACTCACATTCATGATGAGATACTCAAGTCGCACTCCAACTAGGCCTTGAAACAGAGCGTGAAGACTGGAATATAAAGTTAGATAACGATAGATTCGCTATTGCAGTAGCCTGGAGAAGGGCAATGACGTTGGTTGGCTGCGGAGGATTGCAAACTTGCCAAGACCAAATTCCGCCATTGCAAACGGTTACCCCGGTGTATATGCGAAGTTAAGGCCTCGTTTTCTTTGGCAACAAAGGAACGTCTGGACGCGCATAATGATCTGCACCCTTTCCACTTGCTGACATATTCCTCGCAACAATGAGTCAGGAATATTTCCCAGAGGATGACGGAAATTGTGTTGGCGAGTCGTCCAAACAGCATGATCGGGAGAGCTTAGGATCTCCACCTCGCAGCACCTCATTACCCCTCAGACCACAATACATGACTGTCGGAAGCGGAGGATACTCTACTAATGCGGCAGAGTTGATGGCGCAACTGGAAAGAGACTCTGGCTACAGCACTGGCATTGCTGGGGACGGTCAGTTCGACGGTGGCGAGATGAGAGCATGGCGTGAGGAATTACTCCAAGATCGACCAACACCAGCCCATACCCCCAAACTCGATGGCGAAGCCAACGAAACATCGGAAAATGAGAGAAGGATCCTGGCAAGCCATGTTCACCAGCTTTACTATAATCAAAATCGAGTGGCGCTGGCCAAGGCGATTGGGCAGACCGTAGAGCTGCTGAAGGAGCTACAACACATGAACTCACAATGGCCAGCACACTATCCATCCGTTCATCGTTCTGAGCCGTCATTCACCAACCGACCAGCCCTTAAACACATATCTTCGACACGTAGTGGAACAAACTTATCTACCAGCCCCTCTTCACAATCCACTCCGAGGCCAATACCTCCAAAGCGTGCAGGAACTTCGATAGGCGAGAGTAGCACAGGCGAAACAAGTACTATGGCAGAAAAAAGGAAGACGCCAGAGCCCAGATTGATCACCCCTCAAATCGCGCAAGAATTTTCAATCCTCAGGCTAGACCTCAAACTGGGAGCTCTTTCACAAGCTGAGCTCGTCCACTCACTGGAAAAGAGTTCGATCGCATCACTTCTTGACGGCAAGATCAGTCAGAGTGTTCGACATCTCCTTTCGTTACGTGATCGAATAGAGGATACTTCCAGCAAAGTCCTGGTTACTGGTGATCTCAATGCGGGAAAGTCAACCTTTTGCAACGCGTTGTTGCGGAGGAAGATACTGCCCGAAGACCAGCAGCCGTGTACAAGCATCTTTTGCGAGGTCTTGGATGCAAGAGAAAACGGCGGCTTGGAAGAGGTGCATGCTGTCCACAGAGACCAGATCTATGACCGTCATGATGAGAGCACTTATGACGCATATGCTTTGCAAGAGTTAGAAAAGATTGTGACGGACAATGATAGATACATGCAGTGCAAGGTTTATGTGAAAGACAGCCGGCCGGTTGATGAGTCGCTCTTAAACAACGGTGTTGTCGATATAGCACTAATTGATGCACCTGGTCTGAATTCCGACTCTGTCAAGACCACTGCCGTATTTGCTAGGCAGGAAGAGATCGATGTGGTGGTGTTTGTGGTTTCGGCGGCTAATCATTTCACTCTTTCTGCAACAGACTTCATCTGGCAAGCTGCTCATGAGAAAGCCTACATCTTTATGGTTGTCAACGGGTTTGACAATATTCGGGATAAGGAGAAATGCCAGCGAAGGGTTCTGGAGCAAATTGCTAGAATGAGTCCACGAACATTTAAAGAAGCTTCAGAGCTTGTGCACTTTGTGTCGAGCAATGCAATTCCTGTTGCTCCAGCATTGCCACCGCTTGGGAAAAATGTTGGTCGGGATAGTGAGGATGGTGAGCCACCGGGTCCACCAGATGAAGATCAAAGCGACGAGGATGTACCAATTGGCAAGCATGGCGAGCCCGGCTCTCCAGGTAAAGGTAAAGGAAAGGACAAGGAGAAGATTGAAGATTTTGGGAAGCTCGAGAGCGCTTTACGGCGGTTCGTGCTCGAGAAACGTGCAAGGTCAAAACTAGCGCCAGCAAAGACGTATCTCTTGAACTGTCTGGGTGACCTCCATGTTCTGGCCACTGTCAATCGTGATGTTGCGCAGTCGGAATTGGACAGAGTAAGCAAAGAGCTCTCAGAGATTGAGCCTGCTTTTGAGGACAGCAAGAAGCACAGAATTGAGGTCTCGGATCAAGTCGATAAAGATGTGGACGCGGCCTGCACAGAGGTGTACAATCATACTCGAGATGAACTTTCGAGGACAATCAACCGCGTCGGTGATGCTAATCTTGGTGTCGAATACCCTGGTCTCTGGTCAGCCTTCCAATACGCTGAAGATTTGAAATTGGCTATGCTAGACCAGATTGCTGCCTCTGTCAAGGTATGCGAGGACTATGGCAGGGCACGATCTATTCAAGGTGTCAGCATGATCAAGTCTCTCGGCTTGTTGCATATCGGCGACGAGTATCACAATCTCACGTTCAGATCTGATCTGATGTTCCAGCGACGGAAAGATGCACTGGCGCGTTCTGTTGATACGAATGTCGAAATGCTTGACTTTTTTGATCTGGGTGGATTATGGGAACGTCAGGAAAAAGTCGTGGGAACTGGTATGGCGATGACGGTGGTGGGCACTCTAGGCACTCGTGCAATCGGTGGTTTTGGATGGGTGGATGGCGCCTTCGGTGCCGCTAGGGTCATGGGCTCGAAAAACCTAAGACGCCTTATACTACCTGGTATCGTTGCAGCTGGTAAGTCAAGCTCACGGATGTCTCCTGCCACATCCCATGCTGACACTTGTTTTCCAGCTGCAGTGACCGTTGCATACGTCCTGTCAACCATCCCGACCTCTTTACCGTCACGCCTAGCTCGCAAGCTCTCGGCCAATCTTGCCTCGATCGACTACACTCATTCGAATGCCGATAGGATCTCCTCTGAAGTGCGACGTGTGCTACAATATCCGGCTCGGCAACTTACGGTTGGCCTACAGCGTGGTGTTGAAGAGCTGCAAAAGAAAAAGGAAGACGTCAGCAAGACCAAGCGCGAGTCCCTGGCGGCCAGGAAATTCTTTGGCAATCTCGTAAGGGAAAGTGGAGAAGGCAGGAGAAGAGTAGAGGCGGTGGACCTTGAGGGACCTTTGCCTGGAGGTGCAGCCTCATATGTCGACCAATGAGAGTCAGTAATGTACATGTCGCATTGCCTCAAGGATCCTGGGCTGGCGCAGGTACGGTCATTCTGCAGGCAGCGCAGCGTCAGGATTAGTTCCCAGCTCGAATATTCAAGAACGAATGAAGAATTGTTGTTAAAAACATGCTCTTAAATGGCTCGCATCATGCGCGCCTAACGTCTGATATTTGTAAAGTCGTGTATCTCTCAAATGGGAATGTTGATCGACACAAGGAGTGGAAGACAATATATCCTCTGCATTGACGTTTGCTGCTTGCAGAAAGACTGACATGGGTACAGTAACTTTTTGTTCTCAAGCTAAGCTTTCCGTTACTATTGGTAACACTCCGACCATTTACGTATCATTCAACAGTAGAAATTTCAAACGGATCGGTGTGCTATGCTGCTGAGAACTCTATGGGATGTATATCCTAGACTATTCGATATGGATGCACAAAGTACATTGCTTCGACTCAGCAGCCGCACTAGCAAGCTCTCACTCGACAACATCCAAAGACGTCCTACCAATGCTACTACCTAAGGTCCCACTTCTTTGCCTAGTCAGAGCGTCCTTGCAGCTTGACTTCCACTAGACAGAACAAACAGGTGGGCGGTAGGCAGTGATCCTACATGAACGCTACCGACCCTGACAGCGACATGTCCTCTCTGCATAGGTCAGGTTGCCAGACGCATTTGCTACACAAGAAGAACGTCAACAACTTGGTGGGAAATGGCGGTGAAATGCATCAAATCCGAAGCAGTTTCTCTTCAGCAAAGAGACTCTATGCTTGGTATAAGAGGGAGATTCCTCTCCCATTACCCACAAGTTCGTCTTGCCTTGGACATTTCAGAGTGAGAGACTTGAGGCAGTATGTGCAATAACTTCCGCAATCTTTATGTTTACGTCACTTGTTCAAAGCCGTCCGAGCATTACTTCCGGGTTCGCAACGAAGGTTCTGGTAGACCATGCTCATACAGTCCTCACCAGCGCTACATCACCTGCCCGGGCCAGTGCCCGCAATGCTTACGCTTGCAGGAGGAACAGGCCGCTCAAAAAGCATGAAACTATCTCTTCACTTTGCTCAAGCCTTCCTATCATTGAGTCCTACGACCCCAGCGAGACCGTTGGCGTATCTTATCCAATCTTGAGACTTTACGGACTTGTCCCCGCGATAGCCTTCGTCTCTTTTACCAGGCACATGCACACCGGGACCTCGATGTCTCCTATCTGCTTGATCAGATCTACGCAAGAGAGAAGCTGTAGGTGACTAGAAGCCTAGCTCTTTGTTTTCTACATATGAACTCATAAATATTAGCATTGGGAAGTGTCTTCACTGAGACTTTTGATACTCGACAATCTGCGCAAACGCCGATAGACAAGTTACTGGTATTTGGACATGGTGTGGATGGGGAATAGTGCCTGGAGGAGAACTTGGAGAGACGCTCAGACGATAGTACAAGATGAAAATCGCAGCAGAGGAGCTTGATCTTCTTAGATCGAAGCCCTCACTTAATGCTAAGCAATAATCTTAGCGCATCAATTTCTCAATCAACTTTTGAGGCCATTACCCTTCACGAATAGTATCTGGTACAGAGCCTCAAGTTGTTGTGAACTAGGAACGAACCGAACTGGTAAGTCCTTAAGGGGTAAGAGTGTAACATTGCGCTGCAAAATCGTCCCCGGCATATCCTTTATTAGGAATACGACGGTGACCTATCAGCTTCGTTGATCTTCGAGTAATGTCGGACAATTAGGCTGACCGAGTTCATTCAACCTATCACCATGCAAGAAATCACATAAAACTAGATGGAGATGCGTCTCTACATTTCAGTTTATTAGTCAAACACATTTCGCGATATTTGGCCGAGAAGAATCGACGAGAGGAATGAGCAGAGCACGGACTTCGAGACAGTTCACGGTATATTCATCCAGCTACAGGGGCCAAATTACGTCAAATCAAGCCATCCGTGGCTACTTGCAGCACATTGGGCAGCTTCTGGTTGCTCTGAACGAATGGGTAAGCTCCTGTTCAGACATATGAAAAATCGTCCTCTCGAATCTGGATGTATTCTTTTGACGGCCCAGTAGACGGCATGCAGAAGTCGCAGGATGAGCCATGGCCCGCTGGTTTCAGCGAAAGGTAAGAGCTGATCTGCAGATCGACGCTGGGTTATTATGTCTTTTGGATGGCTGCCCTCTCAATGCATCGGTGCTCAAGTGTATCAGGCCCAGGTTGGAATCCAACGATCCGCTCCAACCCCCTGGAGGGGGACTGTTCCAATTAAACACCAACGTCGTCCAGCTGTTGTACAGACATTACAGAGCTCAAGTCAAGCTGCGACCTACATCTTGCTCCACCTGCCCTGGACTAATAGATGCTCCTCCTAAGCATGTCACATATGCCAGCAAAAGCAATCGAAAGCATCTTGTACCTGAAGTGAGCACAGGTGCTATCTTGGACAAACCGTTGTGAAACGATTTAGAGAGAAGGTATAAAATGGCTGACAAGTCTTCGCATTCGGAAAGCAATGATGTCGCGAGATAGAGCTGAAATTCCTCCATATCTCCTTGCTTCACTCTTTTCGCCTGTGTAACTTCTTGATTAAAGCATTCGGTAGGACTCGGAGCATAAGCAGATTGCTGTTTTGACATTTGAAAGTCACATTCTGGAAGATGGGACTTCGTTACCGGTATAGGGCCAAGCATGCAGAAACAGGCAAGCTTTCTTTAGCCCCTACGCTGGCATTGGCTTGCTGGGCTTGAGCCATGACCACGTACCATGTTGCTGTGCATGAGATACATAGGACGTGAGGTCATATTCTTCAGGCATATGCATTGCCAGTGCACATGCTCATCATACAGTAACTGACCTCTGACCTCTGACCTCATTCTACTAGATCACTGCTGAAGTTTGTTGAAGGACAACGAAAGGAGTGCAACCATGCAGCTCAGGCTACCACAAAGCTGCCCAGTGTGTGCGGCGGGGGAACTACCTCAAGCCTCCCCTGGCGCCATACATTAAAACAAACAGCCGAATCGTGATGGCGCTCAGACCTTTGCAGCTTGCCGGCTGGCATTTCCCTCTTTAGCCTTCGGCGTATGGACGATACTCAACAATGTAGACGAGACTCCTCGAGGACGCAAGAGGGTGCGTCGTGTAATGCTGTGCGCACATTTAGTGTATGGTCTGTGGCGGGTTCAGTCGATGAAGTATAGGTTTAATGGGTAGGCTAGCGGAGTACACATATCTAACTCAGCATTCTTCATGTTATCATAAGAGCGGATTACCCCTGACGCATGTAGCTAGTTGGGCTTCTGTCCCATGAAACAGAAAGCCCTCTGGTGGGGGACTCATTCGTGTTCAGTTAGTTGTGGCGTAGTCAGAAATTCAAGCCTCAAATTTCCGATCTGCTTCATCGTAGTGAACAGGCTTCAGTGCCCCGGGCTATTGTTCAGCAGGCTCTCAGGCAGTTATTTCTGTCTGCATCCTAGATCAGTTCCTACCATGCAACAGCATAACTCTGTGCCCATACCGGCAGACGTAGGACAGCGTCCGGCAAGTATATGCAGGCATGAACAGGGCACCATGTCGGTGAGCACAGGGTGAAACGTCAACATTGATCTGTTCAACGTACGAACAATGCTGACACTGACACAGATTTCGTTGTTTTTACCCCTGTTGTTTTTGCTTTCGTGGCCTGGCTGATCTTCTGCAAACAGTCAATAGCTTCCACACTCTCGTCCTTCGAAGCACATCGTTACTTGCTGTTGTACTATTGCAATCTCAAGATTTCGGCTCTTAGCTGGGAAGCCACGGACTCAGGATGCTCTGGGTTTCTGACCAGTGGCCATGGATGTTGACAAGAATTCTATGCTCGCACAAGGGTCGTCAAACAGTTCCACAGCTCTAGACTTGTGGAGCTTCTGCGCAGAAAGACGAAAACTCACAGCATCCTGATGAAACAACAATACACATGAAGGTCTGATCATTCGCGGCACTAGTCATGGTTTTTCCATCGTCAAATGACCTCTCATCAACAGCACGCAATCAGACTTTGGGCGATACTCCGCCATATGATCGCGCACGATCTCTCCTACCTCCTCCTCCTCCTGCTCCCCCTTGACCAGCGCTTTATTCAATTCAATGCGAGTCCTAGCCATCCACCGTGTGGTCTCTATAAGCACATTGTTCTCGAGACAGCAAGAATACATCGGACCCCATTACTGAATAGGAATGGGTTTACCAGTTGTTTCTCATGTGTTGAGTGAAACGGGTGAGAAAAGCACTGATTCATATGAGAGAGAGAAGACACCAGCTCATCCTTGAACCAAGAAAATAGTGGCCTCCAGATCGAAAGCATATACTGCGGAAGCGCAACCGTATCCACGATAGCAAAATCTCTTTGTGGCTATATAATGGTATATCTCATACTTTGAATATGACCTGACATAATCAGCTTTGGCGACGTCTAATTCCAGTCATCTTCACACTTACATGGTGTGTTATCTCATCGCATTGGGAGGAATCATTTGGCAGATGCTTGTCAACACAAATAAGTGAAAGATTCTTTCAATATTCCCATGACAACTTCGCTGGAGACCTCGTTCATAAGTTGCATTACCAATTATCTGTTCTTCTGATCAGTTATTGTCTTCGTCCTTATTGAACCATTGGAGTGCTCAAGCAGAAACGGTAGGTAGGGTGTTTCAGCTACGATCCCTGTGTTTAGACAGAGTAGACAGGAGTCAGAAGGAGGACATAGTCATATCAGCCGCAAGATAGCACAGGAGTCAAGTCTGTCTCGCTCCTGCCGATATGCAGCATGGGTATTCGTCTCTTTACGTTTTTCACCTAGCACTTCAAATCACCCGAAGTAGTACTAACGCGGCCTATATCAGGCTTGGCAATATAACATCATTTCACCGTAGCAAGTACTAGTATACTAGTAGTAGTAGTATAAAGCTGAACATAACATGGGGACTACACAAACGTGTTCACCTCTCTGTAGCTTTGTGCTTCCAAGATCTACCAGTGCTATTTGCCAGGTATCCGCATTTCCCCATCCTTCTCATGCTCCCAGGCAATGACAACCAATACCTGATGGGCCCGCCAAACGGCGGCACGCATTCCCCTCTGCATGGCCATGTCCGGTGACAGAGGCGTCGTTGCGGGCAATCCCCAGGGGCAGCAAGAACGCCCATTTTTCTTGCCATGGGTACGATTGCAGGCTGTTATCCTTGATATTTTGACACTGACTCACAAACATGTAGAATCGCAGGCTTCGGCACCTCCAAGGGATTTCTGTGCGCAATTTGAGCATGGTCTCTACATCCAGTTACCGTCGTGGGAAAACTAGTACTGATGAAGATATTGAATACACCTCGAAGTTGCCAACCAGACTTTTTGTCCAGAGCGAAGCCAGGACCCTCCATCAAACTCGATCCTGTACGGACTTGAACTCGCCCGAGAATGAGTACAAAACTTTCATGCAGAAGAGCTCTTCAACTCTGCATGATATCAGTGCACAGAAACCAGGAAAACTGCGAAGAAGAAGTACCCTACACTGGACGGGTGCAAGTTCGGAAACGAGACAGAGGAAACTCGAAGATTTAGCACGTGAAAGAATGGCAGATGCGTGGTATTCTCTACATGTCGCAGGCGTACCTGAGCCAGTTTACGTCAGCGAGGTGATTGAAAGATGCACCAATCCCGCATTCCGATTCTTTGATCTCAATATCAATGGTCCACAGGTCGCGCGAGCCAACCAAGTCCAGCTAAAGCTATGGGTGAAGACCGACAAGCTGGAAAAGTATATCTGTCTTCTAGACCTGCAGATATGTTTCGGAGCTCTTCAATTCATCGGCAAGAGTCTTGACAACTTCCATCAACCATTGCCACCAAACTCAATACTGTTTCATTTCGAGGACGGAATATACACAAGCTTTACGGATATGTCATCTCACGAGCAGCCCATCGCTTCATTATTGAAAAGATCTGCAAAGACGGGTGTTTCAAGGCCGGGTAGAACTTCCTCTTATGATGCGCTGATGCAGCTGGCAAATTTGGATGACTGTATTCAAGACGCTCTTGCTACCAGAGCGAAGCTGGAAGAGCAGATCAATAGTCTTCTGTTTTGCAACAAAGAGGGGCTGCACATCCTTGAGGAGAGAAGGAAAGCTCAGGAAGCTCTCAACGCGGTTCGTTCCGCAACTTCCGCCGAACAACGACAGTTTGGATCACTTAACAAAAGAAGAGATGAGATCGTGGCGTCACTCGAGATGAGAAGGAATGCCATCCAATCGGGTCGATTTCGCCAGAATAAGAATAAGTCCACAGTCCGCACATTGGGCACGGCTATACGTGATACTAAAGCAAAATCCCGGACGACAGTTGATGCAGCAAGTGCCCAGGTTCGAAGGGTATGTGAAGACTTGGAATTCATCTACCCACTAGAGCCGATCAAGAACAGAGCTTTGCATTTCAGCATCCGCCACCTCTACCTTCCTAATTCAGTGTTTGACGACACCAATCGAGACGAAATCGCCGCGGCACTAGGGTTCACCTCTACCCTTACCCATAGGCTCTCTCTGTACCTTTTCACGCCTCTTCCCTACCCAGTTTCGCCAAACGCCTCAATGTCGACGGTTGAAGACCCTATATCTATCGGATTAGCACAGCGCACATTTCCCTTGTATCCTACTAATGTGTCCTACAAATTTGAGTATGGGGTGTTCCTGCTCAACAAAGATATCGAGTTCCTCATGAATAGAAACGGGTTGCGAATATTAGACATCCGCCACACGCTTCCAAACCTGAAATATCTACTCTATGTCCTGACAGCGGGCACTGGAGAGCTCCCAGCTCGGAAGGCTGGTGGGATCAGGGCGTTGGGCACAGGCCGGTTGACACCGATGCTCTCACGACAAGGCAGTGAAGACAGCATGTATAGCAGTGCCAGCTCCAATCTTAAGCTTCCAGACGGGCAGGCAGCAAGGCACGGGAGCCTGCATCAGCAGGTGAATGGCAAGGAGAAGGCGGAAACGGAAACGGATGTATCGGCCCGAGGGTATCCGTCCACAAGCGCGAAAACACATGCATACCGGAACAGCTCCCTCAGAGAAGCATTCTGATCAACTGGCTACAAGCAATTCAATGTCACAAGTAAATCCACAAGCAATGCTGCCACCTGTGACTGATCACGCAATGCAAGTGAGACGTGAATAACGGTTAGTCCTGTCCACAACCCGTAGATAATGAGTGCATCTCCTGTTGTAAGCCACACCGTCCCACCACTTACCTAACCTAGCTGCATACTTGACTACAGCTACCCATGTCAGGGCCCGATTCTAACTACTTGGAGTCTGTTGGTGACGACCTTGTCCACTTAGGTGGAAACTGGGCCAGCCTCCAGTATGAGCTCGAGTTGAACCAGGCCAACCAACCCAACCGTCCCGCTCCCCCTCCCACAGATTCAACTGCGGCTCCGCAGTCGCGCTTAGGGCCGGCACCTCTCCCGCATCAACCACCGACAACAGAGCTATCGACTGTGGCGATGACAACTGACGCTCAGCCATATGGCCAGTCTTCATCCTACGAATCTGCAGAGGCCGAAGAAACGAACCAGGAACCGACACCACCCCGTGACCAGCACCGACGAGGTTACCAAGCCTGCGATCCATGTCGAAAGCGCAAAGTAAAATGCGACCTAGGCAGTATGTTCGTGTGTACTTGGTATTTTTCTGATGCTGACATATTACCAGGCGTAGACAATCCTCACGATCCTCCATGCATGCGATGTCGTCGGGAACACAAGAACTGCGTCTTCTCGACAACACGGCGCAAGCGCAAGCAATCCCAGGAGGCAGACGATGCTAGCAGTGATGGCGGGCTAGGAAGAGACAAGAGACGTCTCACAGAACCAACAGAACCAACGGACGATTCAAAGGACGACCGTCTTGGTTACTCATATCCATACTCTTCTGCCTCACCTTATCCCCCAAATGTAAACACGGGGCCGCAATGGCCTTTGCACCCTATGCAAACGAGTTATCCTATGCAACCAAGATCGTCAAATGGTTATGAGCTCAATATGATGGTTGACTCCAATTCTTGCACAGGTGGAAGGTCCTCACAAACACTCTCACCCAGACCTCTTGCTCCAATCACTTCCCCACGTACCAACCCCAGAAATGCAAATGAGCACATGGTCAATAAAGAAGCTGCAAACATTCTGCATCCATCGATAGCTACCAGCCATGAAGCGCTGCATTTGCTGTCAGTAGCTGCAGGGCAAACAGAAGAAGCGAACCGCCAAAATTCACAAAGTCTTCCAAGTCACCTACTGTCACCTTCTACCACCCTTGGCACTCCAAGCTCTGCAGGTGCCCCTCATCGTCGCACAATGTCAAATACCATGGCTCCTGGAGAACAGACCTCTGATCAAGCGGCCAGCTATGGCATGAGGAGCGGCCCAAACTCCAATACTGCCGAGAACCAGAATTACCAGGAAGCTCTCAAGATGTGGTCAAGGATGAGACTTGTGAAGGATGGATGGTTCACAGCAACAGAAGCAATGGCATACATCGATTAGTATGTCACATTCACCTCTCCTGTCCTCTTGGGTTTACGACTAATATGTACAGCTATTACGAGCATCTTGCTCCTATGACGCCAGTGGTGATCAATAACTATCGGCCACTATCCATGCACACCAGTCTTGTCACTGATGAGCCTATTCTTGCTATTACCATGCTGACCATAGCTTCTCGTCACATGCAGTTAGCAGGTCCAGGGGCAACAAGTCGAGCATATCAAATCCATGATGTCCTGTGGAATAATCTACGAGGCATGGTGCAGCGGTTGGTCTGGGGCCAGGAGCAATTCGGAGGGGGATTTTGCAGCGGTGGTGCAGTCAAGACTCACGAGTCCCGGACTGGACAGATCACTTGGAAGGGCAGTTTGCGCACTCTGGGCACCATCGAAGCTCTGCTCTTACTGACTGACTGGCATCCCCGTGCACTTCACTTTCCCCCAGGAGATAATGAGAATCGATTGTTGGATGCAGACTTCCCTCTCAGCGAAGAAGATGAAGCTCCCAAAGCTGCTAGTCTAGAAGCGAATGAAGACGGCAAGGTGGCATTCTCGAGCTGGCTTGAGCCTGCATGGCGTTCAGATCGAATGTCATGGATGCTTTTAGGTGCAGCCGTTACGTTGTCATTCGAGCTTGGTGTGTTTGACAAAGAGCACTACAACTGCAAGCATCATCACGGGCCTGATTCTGAATGCGCCAGAAAGCAACGCGTGCGCAGAATGGTTCTAGTTTACGTATCTCAAACCAGCGGTCGTCTTGGCTTTACTCCAATGCTTTCGTTCGAAGCATGGCGAAAGGACGCTGTGTTTGAGGAGACCGACCCCATCCATCGCACCGGCCCTACTAACCCGATCGAGTTGATGCAGGAATGCTGGATGGGAATTGCTGGTCTGATGTACAAAGCCAATGAGGAGATCTTTTCATCTAAGCAGTACACCCGAGACCTGACCAGTAGCGGGCAGTATATCGAGGCCATTGCCAAATTCAAGCCAATGCTACAAGATTGGAAAGCCAAGTTTGATCGCGTACGACACCAGTTCGACCCGGTCATGCAGCATTTGTTGTCAATGGAGCATGATTACGCTCGCCTCTATATCAACTCTCTGGGTCTGCAAAAGGTAGTCGAGTCGTGGATCAACATATCCAACGAGGCCGCAACCACTGGCAACAACCACAACAATGGCAGTCATGGTGTAGGGGATGCATCTGCGGTCAGCGGCGGAATCACATTTTCACTGTTGCTTGAGATCTGGCGACCCAACAAAGAGTACATTGATGAGGTGTCTGACGCCGCACGAAGCATTCTCAAGACGGTGAAGGAAGGTCTAGTGCCCGGGGGACATCTGACTCATGCTTCTGTGAGGTCGTACTTCCGAATTCTCTCGGGTCTCATGTTCACTTTAAAGGTATGTTTAATTCACACCATGCTATCCTACAACCTAACTTCTCCCTAGCGCTTCAGTTTTGGTGCCTCCGAGCAAGGTGTTCGAGAGTCATTCATGCTCCTCGACTCGATCACAGACGAACTCTCGCGCAGTGTTGTCGACGACGTTCACCTGAGCGCTCGTACTGCTGAACTGGTCAAGATGTTGTCTTCTCATCTACATGCAAAATTCATCCGTCTCCAAGCACCTAACAGTGGCTCAACTGGAAGTAGTCGGGAGAATTCTCGCCATCAAACGCCTCAGCGTCAACAAGACCAGTCAAGCCTACAACACCAGTTCGCTGGTCAGCCTGGACAGCCGCAAGCGCGAACAGCACTGAATAACCCGTTCATCTTCGGCCAACACCTTCCTAGTCTACACGATCCTCTTGCAGGGATACAAGCTCAGTCGATGAGCGAAGTCACGAATGTCGCATACATGCCACCAATTAACTACAATGACTACATGGAGGGCAATCACGGTCTCGGGCAGAATCCAGCTGATTTTGGAACCGGCGTTGACGAGCTTGGTGATTGGTTCGCGCTTCCCTTGAACAATTTCTTCTCTACGGACCCTGCACTAGTACATCAAGGTTTTGGTGGCATTGGACCAACAGTTGGATCCCGGGATATGCTGGAGTTTATTACCAATGAACAGTATGATCGATAGGCAGGCGTGCGAACCTTGGGTAGGAACGGAATGGATTCAATCACGGGTGATGCGGGTTCTGCTATCGAAAGCATTTCAGCAAGCGACGGTGCTCTAGGTGTTGTTGCGGAAGTGCTATGACTGCCGGCTGGCCACTATGCTTGCTGCTCGTCCCCTCGTCCTTTTCTCGGACATGTTCCAGGGTTGAAAGCGTTCTAGCGGATCCTTCTTTGGCTTCAAGATCCTGCATTTTGCTCACTGAGCTGGAACATCCGAAGGCATTTCCAGGTGCTGAGCTACTACCTATTCAGTTCTAGCAGACTAGGATCTCCTCCGTACCCAGTACAGGAGAGAAACCCCAATCCTGCTTAGCATGCTATTAAACTTCTCTTCCCGTATCTGCGTTCCTTGTGATGATTGCCTGATGACAGAGCTTAGTGATGAGGATTGTGTCATTGAGAATGCGGTGGGCTAAGCTTTTCTTCCGTGTATCTATGGTTGCACGTGTGAGAGCGTACGTAGTACTAGTACTACCTAGTACTAGTAGTACAGATCCCGGTAGTTGTTTCGCCCAGATGCCGATGCCGATGCCAGGCTAATCTTCGGACTCGAGACCCTCATTTCACATTTCATCAGCTTCAAATGGAAAGTTGCGCTGCAGTTGCTTAGATGATTCCAAGCCTTCCTCCCCCACTGCAACCGTGATCTTTCTCTACAGAGGCGGCATCCCATGCAGATGTGGTCCCTAGATCTCAAGCCCTCGCTGATCAGCGCCATGCCCTGACATACGTACCTGCGACGAAGTCGACAGCTACCCGCCCCTAAGCCCACCAATGTCACCGCAGTTGTGGACAAGAGACCCCACCAGTACATCTGCCGCTCCCTTTTGCAGCCCGTTCACCATACCTCAAGGTTGGTCAAGTGCTCCACGACATCCCGTGCAGAGCTGACCAGGATGATAGGTTTATTCATAGTCAACGAGACGTTTGAGGTCACGCTCACCCAGAATGGCGTCTTCAGACCGGTGTGCACGGGAGGTTCCTCTGGGATTGTCCACGGCGGCTTCGGTGACAATGCCACCGTCACGGACCTTCGGAGGCCTTTCTACTCGTCGACCACTCCCCAAGTATTTGCTATCGCAGTGGCTACCGTCATCAGCTATTTCTTGGTCATCCTGATCTTCATCACCCCGCGCACCTTTTTCGTGGGTGGCCCAGGAGGAGGGGCTGGTTTCTTAACTCGGAGAGGCTTGAGTGGCAATTCTTCTGTGGTTGGCGTGGGAAGACGCCCACTGTTGCAAAAGATCGCTGCGGTTACCGTTGCGATCTCCATGACCATCGCGACAGCCGACACATTCAAAGTCGTCAAGAGGCAGTACGAGGAAGGATTTATGGACTCGGAGGAAATGGTGCAACAGGTGACCGAAAGCCTCGAGATTCGCGTTGTGCAAGTCATTTCCGACACCTTTCTATGGTTAGCCCAAGTTCAGACTCTTATTCGCCTCTTCCCACGCCACAAGGAGAAAGTCACCATCAAGTGGCTGGGTTTTGCTTTGATTTTGCTCGACGCCATATTCAGCAGCTTAAACAACTTCCTCGTAAATGGCACCAACACCAGACCGACACAGTCTCGCGATGCGATTCCAGCACTCAGCTATTTATTCGAGCTCGCCATAGGTTTCATCTACGCTTCATGTATCATATACTACTCGATATCCAAATATCGATTTGCCTTTTATCATGCCAAGATGCGCAACATATGTCTGGTTGCACTGCTCTCGATAACTTCTGTTCTCATTCCGGTTGTCTTTTTCGTGATTGACGTATCATCCCCCGATATCGCTGCCTGGGGCTTCTACATTCGCTGGGTCGGTGCGGCGGCGGCAAGTGTGGTAGTCTGGGAATGGGTGGAGAGAATTGAAGCATTAGAGAGGGATGAGAGAAAGGATGGAATACTTGGACGGGAGATTTACGACGGTGATGAAATGCTAGATGTTACGACGGCGAACGGAGCTGATTGGCCAAGGAAAAGACGGCTGGACAGCAATGGCAGTGACGATGCCGGAAGCGTACCTGGGTTGAAGGAGCGCTTTCGAGCCAAGAACCGTTCTCTCCGCCTGCGGACGCTCTTGCACAGCCGCATGAAGCCATCTGGAACTGTCGCTCCAGCAGCCGACGACAATGAGGCGGCGCCTTCAGCGGCCGAGCAGAATGTATCACGGCCTGCGCTTCCAGCCGCAGTTGCTACGCCAGTGAGCAGGGCAGAGACTACGAGTGCAGCAAGTACTGTCTATGCTGTTCGTTATCATAACTTGCACAATCCATCTCCTCAGATACTGGAGGATGGCCCGTACGAATCGATGGAATCAAATCAGATTTTGAATGAGTCTACTCCAGGAAACACAGTGAGTGAAAAGGCCATCGAACGCACCGGCACAGAACAGGATACAAGGGGCATGGAAACCCAACTTAGGCGTAATTCACGCCCGCTATGGACTGTTGTGAGTAACCCGTTCAAGAGGAAAAGGGTTTATCCACCTGCAGAAGTGGCTGGGGCACAAGTGTTGGATAGAAACTCTCAGCGTCGTTCGCCAGCAGCATTGGTCAACCCAGAAAAATGGAACATCAGGTCAAAGATGGATGCTTTCACTGCCGTCCAAAGAGACAAACTTCGCTCTCGTCGCCAGGCTGGGAAAGCTGATGATCCGCTTCCTGTGACAATCATTCCAGCTCAGCCGCGAGGTACGAGGACATGGTCTCCCGATGATCTCGCCAAAATCACAAGTGTGCCGACTCACAGCGGTGTCGGACCCTCGCACGACCCTTTACAGCTGCCAAGAAGTCATGATCCGAGCAGTGTCAATGTTGTTGTCGGAGCAGCTCGAGAATGGCAAACATCGTCTCCCGAAGTCATGCACCACCATCAAGAGCCACTGCCTCGGGGAGACCGCTACAGTCCTGTATTCCAAGGACACAATGATCCTACAGAGGGGCCTATGCCTGCTCTCAATGTCGCTCCTACTGGTAAGGACCTCGTTTGTGAGGCTCGTGAGCCTGAGCATATCGATCCGCCATCTACCATTAGGGACAGCAGCTTTGATGATGTGGATGGATCCGGCCATTTGAGTACGAATATCTCAATTCGCGCGGAGGGCGTGCTTGCCTCGAACTCAAGGCGGCCGAGTCAGGAGGCAGATGGAGAGGCCGGTGACACGAGCTGCGTAACCTCAGTGAGATCGGGCATACCAACTACCCCGTCACCACAGCATCTTCAGCTTCCCCCACCGGACCTTTCACAGGAGTCAGCAGACCCTGGAACAGAGCCTGCGGATGGAAAATCCAGTGTTTCAACCAGCCACACGGATCACCTCGCTGACGAAGCAGCCGGATCCGCAGAGGCAAAGCAGCATTAAATGTCACCTATACCTGGCGTACATCGGAATGATCACACATATCTTGCTTTGTGGACGGGCGATCATCTATCTGAATTTAGCGGGGCGTCTGGGGTCTCACTAGGAAGGCCATCACAATTGGATTCTTGTTCAATTTTGGACTATGTGTATATGACTCCTTAAAGAAGAAGCGGCAGGTGGGCATTCAGGGAAAGATCCGGGCATACAGGACAAGTGCAATGGATTGTGGCCCCAGGAAGGGAGAGGGCATTCAGCTTTGGATATCGCTCAACCTGCCTAACTTTTGGTGAGTAGATGAAGGAGATCCATCATGCCCCATCGGCTGGGGCTCTGTTCATACAATATATAAAAACCATACAGGCAGATACATCTATATGTTAAGACACACCCTACAAGCAATGTAATCGGCCTGAGGATATTATGTGCACCGTTTCCTTTCATCTCTTTCCCAACATTTACTACTAGTAGCTGAAGGCTATGGCTTTTTAAGGTATTTCTCTGCAAAGTCAGTGGATAGCCCTCGCTCAGATCAGGTGGCATGCGAAGTAACTTACTGACAGGGACATATGTAGGTTCTATGAGAGTCTTCGCTTGCTATTCATGCATTCTGAACCATCCTGAATGTGAATGTGGAATTGTAAGTTGAATTTTTTTGGTGAAAGCAATCTAGGGGATTCTTCTTGGCACCTCACGAGTACACAATTCTGCGTCGAGTTTGCCTCGCGCTCAGCCCCCTTGACGCCGCCCTTTTAGGACTCAGAGCCTTGTGCGTACGGTTCAACGGAGCCTCCTTGGTTATCCCCATGCCTGCTTGGTTCCTTAGCTGTCTGTAGTACAATCCCCTTCACCAGGTTTTTAGCCTAAGTTAGGTGTCTGCGTACTTTTGCCAGACCCGGACCCATTCTTCAGGGGCACGTCATCCCGAGGAACCTATGATAAGCAATATCCGTGCCCCAATAGGTAGATCCCTCCGGGACGGGAGGACCCACTTACAGGGGGTTCCACCCCACAGTAAGCCACGCGCTGCGCTGCGCCCGGGCTTACAGGGGGTCCAAACGACTCCACCCGATGGGCCAGGATAATGCTTTACAACCATCCGTTGTACTTCTGTCAACACCTCATATGTGCACATGTGGCCTGTGTCATGCTTGAAATATCAGGCATCTGACCTGGCCGATTGCTCCGCCTCACTATCAGCATGGCTTTTGTGATAATGCCCCTCACGATCGCTTTTGTAAGCAAGGATGGGGATACAAAGCCGTTGTTTAAGCCTTGTTCTGGATGAAAATGTCCACGACTCGAGCTCATCAGCTGTCTAGGCTCAACCAAGTTAAGAAGGCCTCTCAGCAGAATCTGTGATAGGGGTTTACCATTTGTCATCAGAATGGGTCCAGAGCGGTCGCCACGCCGGACTTCAAAACGATCTGTTGCCAAAGGAGGCTCTGGGGTTGACCTGGACACTCACCAAGAACTTATTACCAGGCTTTATCATACCGAAGAAAAGTCGCTGGAGGAAGTGATGAGAATCATAAGTGAAGAATGGAACATCAACGTTTCGTTCGTGTGCCTCCAATAAATGCTGACTTATGCCTGTTCAACTAACTAATCAGCAGAGAGAGGGTTTTTAAAGGCAAGATCAGCCAGTGGAATATCCAGCGCAATCTAAGCAGGAACGACGTGGCGGCCGCTCTACATCTAGCTCGGCGGGCGGAGCGGAACGAAAGAACATGTAAAGTTTACATCAGGGACAAGCACGTTAGCTGGGAACGGATTCATGAATATTTGAGGAAGAAGAAAATAAGTGCAGAATCACTGGTAGAGAGCGATCCATGCGATGTCATACCGCCATATATCACTGTCGAGGTTGTGGACTCGGCTGCCACTACACCATTGTTGTCCATACCACCCATTGAGCCCGGATTGGATCTTGTCACTAGCTACAACTATCCTCCGCATTCAGCGCTCAATGGGTCGCACGCCACTACCATGGCCCCAAGTAGCGGTTCGTTGGCCAAGACCACTCCTAGACACGACTTAGCAAATGGATCTTACAATGCGGCTTTCGGTGAGGCAGCTTCAGTCACACTGTCGGCAGAAACATACCAAAAACATCTGCCCCTACCATGGCAACATGATCAGGTAGGGCAGGTTGCCCGGCGCGAGCTTGCTGAATCTACATCAGAATCTCTCACAACGATTGTCCAACAGTCCGTTGGAGATCTAATTGATACCACAGATCCGCCAGTCGAATCGCCTGAAATGTTGAATTTCTACGGTTTTATGTCTGTAACACCGTCGTCCGTTGGCCGTGTACCTGGACAAAGCCAAAGCATAAGTCCTCTCAGTTACACTAAGAGCTCGCTTTACCCGCAGGATCATCTGTTGGACGATACAATGGAAGCGGAGCAGCACAAACACTATTCAAGTAACGACGGATCGTACAGTCATTCGCAGGTAGGATCTGATACCCTCCAGCCACTCGATTGGCCGGCTTACTTCCTCTCACGGTCCATATGGGCCTTGTTACGTAAGAAGGATGGGTTGTACCATGAAGCTGAATTGGCAATGAAAGATGCCTCGAAAAGTTTCGAAAGAATGGTTGCCAATCGTCATGGAAGCTGCTTGACAAGCCTGAACTACTTATTGGGGCTATTGGAAGCTCATGGTAAGCGCGACGTAGCAATGGAGCTTTTGGGGAAGTTCAGCGTTGCGGCATCGTCCATGAAAAGTTCGCCTGAGACGGAGTCAGTCAAACGCACGATCCGATTCAAAATGGATATCTTTTCAGGATTGAAGGTAGAAGAAATGTTTCCTCCAGCTACTTTCAGAGACATCCACTCCTGCTTTGAAAGATCCTGGGGGCCGAATTCACCTTCTACATTGGCATGTCTCTGTAATCTAGGCTGGCGGCTTGCTGGCGACAAAGGTGCTAAACGACATGAGGAAGCACTAGAAGTATTGTCCCAAGCACGCGTCAGCTTGGAACAAAACCTCGGTCACGACAACCCCCAGACCATCATGTGCCTGAATGTGCTTGCCCGGGTGCTCTACAATCTTGGAAATTATCCCGAAGCATTGGAGGTGATGGACATATCAATGAGTCGCATCACTACACAATTCCCTGCTGAATACCACCCATTCCGAGTCGCTGCTCGTCGCAGACACGCCCTTTTCATGGAGAAAGTTCGCAGCGGCAATGCCGAGCCCATACTCCGCGATGTAGCGTCGAAGCGTTTCAGAGTTCTTGGGCCCGACTGCGCGCTGACTCAAGGAAGCATGAAGGAACTGAGAGACTTCTTGAGAGATCAGGGAAGACATGACGACGCAAACAATGCCCTTGAAGCTATCAAAGAGTCAGCGTCGAGCATATCGTGTGGGGAGTCCGTAGTCCCATTGTTCTAGCCACAAGACTAGGCCATGGCATCGCCTAGGATTTACCCTAGGTCTCGCCCCCGCACAATGCAAGAGGGGAGCATACGGGGGCGAAATGTAGGATCTGTCTGTACCACGGAAGACATACCGAATTGTTTGTTTCCAAGAAGGAAATCGAAGACTTTTGAGAGGGTTCCTTGGAAATGCACTTCTAGGAAGGGAAGGCAAGGCGCAGCATTAAATCTGTACGATACATCCTTGTACGAAGTGTAATATAAGCATCCTCTTTGATTCTGGTGTTGGTAGACTTCACCTCGAAGAAAATGAAGTGCCTGAGGCTCCCAGTGGTGGTACCCACCCATAAGTTTTCGTATGCATAAACGCCAAGACTAGGCCAATTTCAGGATCGAAGGTGCTGATTTGATGGGGACGACAATTTGGCTCGGAAAATGTCACGCACACACAGAGGGCATCTTGCATTGGCCTTGCAAGTCCATTTTCGTACTACCCATGCCAGTTGGCAAATTGAATTCGCTGGTCAGTAAGTGCTCGAGGTGACCACAAGCCACAATCAGCAGATGAACCACCGTCCATATGGCCGTATCGTCGAAAACCGAGGCAAGATTACAGACATGCCGACAGGCTCAATACTTGTACACAGGCTGCTTCACAATATTTGTTGCCTCACTCCCGTGGTCCCCGTAATAATAGTGATAAACCCACGTAGAATGTTGAATATAGCCGGAGAAACTCTTCTATTGTTGCGTATGATTCTCAAACAGACGGACAAAAACTACCCTAGAAAGCCCTCCCTCCTGCACTCCTATACCAGAGGAGGTAATGTTGTTTGCGGTGAGTACTGGCTGTCACTAGCCCTTCTTTGAATCGTTTCACCTCGACTGCGATTTACATTCCTTCCTGCCTCTTTCAGGTAATCTTCCCACAGGTCCATATCCTCTTGATTGCAGAGAGTGCTGGCTTATTTACGATGACCAAGCACCAACCAGTGCAGCGTAATGCTAAATATCATAGCGACCGAAATCCACAATGGTGCATATGTTATGGCAAGATAGGATGGCAGCTCTTCCAGTGTTGTTGTGAGAGCCGCAAGCAAAACGGAGATTGTTATCCCAGCAACAAGAAAGTGATAGCGATAAGGATGATGCCTATACCGCTCGAGGATGAAGACAGTGGTAATTCCCCACGCAGCGGAGGCACAGAGAAATACCGTGGGATCTGGATTGCGCAAAGACCTGAACTGGAATCGGTCAGCTTTCCTACCAATTGCAATGACGGATGACTTTGAGCTGTCTTCGTAAAGGATACCATATTTTTTAGCCATGGCCACCCTGAGATATGTGTCCAAATTCCTCCCTCTAGAACTGAACCATATGTCCATTGTTCTGTAGAATTTGTGGCCGAAAGAGTGGCAATGCTACGGTGTTGAGGCCTGTAGCGACTGGTAATATAAGCTGTGCCCAGGTGACAAGCAACACAAGCCCAGCTCCAAAAGTTACTGCGCCGGTTCCGTGGCCACTCCCTACGTTTCTCTCGACCTGATTCTGTGGTCGTACTGTCTCGATAGCAGGGCACTGGATGGTATTGAGTGGGGGGGAATTCTCCAGCCTGCGAACGTTGGGTCATCCCCATAGAGAGTAATGTTGGATTTCAGTCTATGTATAGCGCTCATCGAGTTCTGAGGAAAACGTAGAGATGCCCGGTGCTGAGTTGTGGATGCGCAGATGCATCCAACGACAATGAATGGATGTGAGGGTGCGCTCTCCATCCCTGCTTCGGAGCCTCAAACATAACCTAGGGGCAGTGCCGCTGCGGGACTAGTTAGGCCCTTCGGCCCACCGCCATCGGATGTCACTTTATGCCATGCAGATTGTGGAGAAGTGCCGCAAAGTACGAAACCCCCATAAGAGAACCATCAATCTTTGAATTGCTTCCACCATCCTCTGCTATGGATCTACGTCACTGACATCGAGCTTCTTTCTGGTCTTTCTGCTTTATTTACGTGGACTGTCACACCCCATTGTCACCGTAACGTCCAAGCCTGGACCCTTCAGGTACGCACAGCTTTGTGTTAACATATGTCAACCACGGACGCAAGTATTCGCTGATGACGTTTACTGCTTGCAGAGGCCGTTCTACGCGTTCATAGTAGTATTTCTGGCAAAGAGTGTTCCTGACATACAGTCCAAGTCTCGAATAGTGCGCAAGGTAACCAAGGACCACTTTCGCCGGTGTAAAACCGGGAGTATAGGTAGCAACGACATTTCCGTTCCCATGACTGATCTTTTAAGGCCTGGACTCATTCATCTTACTGATGGGCAATCTTGAGCTGACTTGACTCTTTGTAGAAAACCCCAGCCTTGTCAGAAAGCATCAATCATTCTGCAATTTTCAGGCTCCAATATCGATCCTCAAGCGCTCTTGAATCCTCTTGTCAAGTGATATATGCAGCGAATCATGCCAAAAAAATCTGCCGCCAAACCTCATATACCCGCGAGACACATGAGTGTTAAGGATCAATTGCCAGAGCCCCACCAAACGCCAGAGCTCGTCTTTTTCACCAACTATTTACGCAACATGTTGATTTATGTCGTACTGGGAATCGTATCGGGTGCTCTAGATTGGAACCCGAACGTTGTCTCTATCCTCAATGTCTTCGCCACCACGCTGCTAGCATATCTGTGGAGCTTCACGACGGGAGAGCTCGCTGTTGCTTTAGGCCACACGTTGAGTTGGTTGTGGAAAGCCAGTTTTGTCAATTTCACGGAGGCTATCGTAAGCTGTTGTATCAGTCAATCAATGTTTGATGTCGCTAATCATGGCGTAGTTCAGTTTTCTCTTCGTTCTCAAGAACAATGGGATTCGAACCGGAGTGGTTTCATCGGAGTCTGGCAGCAGTCGACTTGCCATCCACGTACGCGTTCGAGACCGTGGAACCTTCTGGCACCCAGGGGCATGGCCTATCACGCAAGAGCAGCTTGTTAATAAGATCAAAGGCATCCACAAGGGCCTCATGCTGGTTCCCAAAAAACGCACTAACCTAGTTCAACAGCACGTTATGATAATGATCAAACTCTCCATTGAACAGTGGCAGCAATTTGGAGCAATCTATAGGACCTTTCTTGACCGGCACCATGACATCTTCTTTGCACCTCAACATGCATTATGCTCCTCCTTGAGACAAAAACTGGCCATCAAACACGTGATGCATGTCGGTATGTGGCCTGATGGTGTTCACTCGTTCTTGTTGATGGAAAGTTTCAGAGAGACCTGGACTGAGCTTTTAGAAGGTCTGGCTCGCTGTCGAATGGCCAGCGAGGACAAAGATCTCCGTGACTCTGAGACCTGGCTAGGAGTCGCTAAGATGTGGTACAATAACGCCGCTGATAAGCTTCCACATGTGGAAAGGATTCTTTACCGCTTCGCTATGCTGACGAGGCCCGAAACCATTCAACAGCTCTTACGCACCTTGGCGTGTGTAAGCGTTGCACTATTCCAGAGCGCCCGCGAGATTGCTATGCTCTTATTCAACCTACTTCGTGAAGTAAAAGAGAACACCAGCCAGAGGTATCCGCTAATAGTATCCACTTACGTCAAGAGCCACACTGGACTCGGTGAATTTGTGGTGGCACTTCTGGAAAATGCTGTTGGCATTCTTTTCATTGTGCCCAGTACTCTTCGACACATCGAAGCTTATGTGCCCTGGGCCAGGCTTATGTGTCTTCTGAACACGCTAGGAAACCCCGGAAGGGCCAAGCGGCAGGCTGCGTTATTTCCTCCGACGGAGAGGGGTACCATACGTCAGGTTCCCAAGCATTTCGTAATGCGAGGTCTGATCTATTCTCCCTCTCACTACTCAGTTGTACAGCCCGGCCAATCGTTGGTGAATGTGCACGGGACCTCCTGCGAGCCTGCCATTACAAGATGTCAAGAAAACGAGTCCAGCGTACCGATCAAGAATAGCACCGCGCACGCTGAACACGGAGGATCGAAACAAGGTGGTTTTACCGAGCCGGCTACTATTTCGAGGAGAAGCTGTAACAGAACACTCACGCTGGGCAAGGTCTTGCGCGCCTTTTCGCAGCTCGCACCGACCTATCTCATCCTGTGTCAGATTCCTATAGTACTTGCCCAACAAGATCATGATATCTCATATATACCGACCCACCTGGGCTGGATAGCCACACTCTTTCTGGCGAGTGCAGCCGGTATCATCGCCCAGAAGACTAAGGATAAGCCATCACATACTTTGGGGTGGTCATCATGGATGTTCTGTGTCATAGCGTTTGTTTGGGACCAGTTGGACTCAGCAACGCGATTCATTGCTGTTGCTATAGGACTGTCTCCTCTGCTTGCCGTTGGAATGTCCCAGACTTGGAAGAGATGGCGTGAGAACGACTCCTACGAACAAGGCAAACACACGTATTCAAATACGGGAAGCGTTAACCACATTTTGGAGGCGGGCGACAATCCTACACAATACGTTGACGGGTACGATGGGTATTTCTGGACAGATAAATCCTGTCCCGGAGCCGAACTCATCGGAGATCCAAAGAATTCAGTCGAGGAATCGTCTCCGCCTGACTATTACGAGGACCGAGATAGCAGTCCCGAGCCTTGGAATGGGACAGAAGGATTCCAGTTATAGTGTGATGGATGTTAATGATGCGACGATTCGAGATGAGGCCGACGTATAGATCAATGGGTACAGTTAGAAACGGTGCGGTGTGGGCCTTGACGCCTGCGGAGTTATTCTATCCGAACTTTGTATTTAGATTCCTATTAGCTACACATCCCATTTCAGGCATTGAGCTCATCCTGCTCTACAGCGGAAAATTTGTAGAATTGAATTAGGAGTATTTTAAGATTCCATGGATTCACTGCATAATGTCTCCGTGAGCGGATATGTTTGAATATCAGATCCTGTCAATTCCAGTCCAGCTTTTGGTTGATTTTGCTGTCAAGCCTTGGTTGAATGAGCTTGGCCGGAGTTCTTCTTTGCAGGGAGAGACTCTCCAGAGGTTATGCCATCAACGATTGCTCAGTGTGCATAACACACCTTGGTAAGCCATTTGTAGACCAGATAAATCCCGCTATTTCGAACGCATTTTGCCAACAATATCGCTACACTACGGGCTAATACATCCCTTCGTCATACCAACTAATATGGTCCTTGCTTGACAGAATAGTTGTTGACTCTGCTAACGCCATCTAATTAACTAGCCCATGTCTTTTAGCTAGTTACCCCTTCTTCTGGTGAGCTCTCAGAGGCTCTTGGCCATGAACTAGGCAAAGCCTAATAACATAGCTTAAGTATGACAACTTCTGCCCATAAGTTGGAAGTTTCAACGAGCCATCGCTTGTATCACTAATCTATGCAGTCGTATCTAGGCTTGCCAGAATGACACTCACTATCTTGGACGTTCCGCAAGACGTTCTCGAAATCATCTTTCTACATCTTCACCCAAAAAGCTTCCTCAACTTCTGTTGTATCACCAAACAGTTCTGGACAGATCAATATCGAAATCCAACCTACTGGCGTGTCTCGGCGTCAACCACTTTTCGCATTCCCATTTCACCACTATTGCACGCAGAAGGTGAAAGATGGTACTGGCTATACAAGAAGCTACGGACCCAGACCAAGGCTTTCACCTGGGGTCAGGGTTCTAATGGCGAGCTCGGTCTGCCCGTGCTTCCTCGAAGTCATACATCTGCACAATTACCGGTCGTGGACACAAGGCTGAACCGTAATTTGATCCGTCAGGGGAATCCATCACGCCGGCAGCCAGTCAATCGAACTAACGGGCCGGCAGATGGAATGCCATTGTCTAACCGAAGAAATATCTCATGGCCCTCAACCATGGACATTCCCGAAGAAGTGGGTGCTATCGCAGATCTGCAATGTGGTGGATGGTCGACCACGCTGCTCAGCTCTCAGGGTGATCTATATTCAGTCGGATTGCTCTGCGGAGAGGAGTATGTGTCGCCTGGACAGTCTTACGACAGATTAACCCGGCTTGACTATCGATCGAGAGTACCCATCAAAAGCTTTTCAGCAGGTCGAAAGCACGTGATTGGTCTCGACGAAGAAGGATATGTGTGGTCATGGGATCGTATTGAGGCACCTGCTTGGCAGATCTGCGACAAAACCCCCATGAAGGCATCGACCGTTGTTGGTGGGTGGAGCGTAAGTTCTGCTTACACGAAAGAAGGCATTGAATATTGGCGTGTACCCAGTGGAATTTTTGGTGAAGGCACGGATCAAATGAGGACGCCATTAGGCTCGGACAGTCTAGACGCAGCGGGCCATGAAGGCGAGTCGAGCGCTGATGCAGGAATGTTCGTCAAGACCACGGTCATCCCCGGAACCGGTTTTCGCTCCCAGCAGCCGCAGTCGGAAATAGTCCACCAACTGGGCCAGGTACTGAGCCATATTGTTCTGGAAGCCTACATCGTCTTCATCACAGACCTGGCTAAGGTGTTTGCATGCAGGATTGTTGAGGACAGCGATCCGGCAGAGCTCTCGTTTGAGGTGTCAGGTTTCTCGGCGCCAGGCCGACAGCTAAAGGATATTCAGGGTTCCTTTCGAAACTTCGCCATCTTTACAGCCACGGGAGAGGTCTTGTCTGGCAACCAAGATTACCTTGACCGTCTTTACAGCTGGAGGACGGCCTCTACCGAAGCTGACCACTATGTCATTGGTCTAGAGGAGGCCGCAATGGGTGAAGCACGGCTGGGAGATATTCCAGCATTGCAGCACAGAGGAGTCATCTCCATCGCTTACGGAGATTACCACTTCCATGCACTTCATTCAGATGGGCAAATCACTTCTTACGGCGTCGAACCTCGATGCTGTGGTGCTTTGGGTTTGGGTGACACAAGCGGCGGTGCAAGATTTCGCGGCGTCAAGTTCGGAGGTGGTAATATATGGAACCGAGATGCAAGGTTGCTGCCCATTGGATATCGACAAGGGCGAGAGATATGGTTTTCGAAGTCGCAGGAGGCATGGCTCAAACGATTGGAGGATCTGATACGAACACCGGAAGCGTATCCACTTCACCATCCCACGTTTGCGGCTCTTGATGGGCAAGAGGATAAGCAGGGAGCCTACAGTGAGTGGGTAGAGCGGGAAGGACGAGCGTGGGAGGACGGTATACAGAATCAGGATGGACTGCGGAGTTACTTTGCCATTTCCGTTGCAGCGGCAGGCTGGCATAGCGCGGCATTGGTGTTGGAGAACACTGAAATGGCGAAGAAGATCGAGGAGAAGTGGTCAGACAAGGAAGGAAGATATATCTGGGAGAGTCATGGATTCCCCAGAATCAGCTTGCCCACAGGCTTTGAATTTCCGGGTTCGGGAGAATTGCATGAATGGAGGGGAGGTATGCCTTCGGTCGAGGAGCTCGGCCTCGCTGAGCAGGATGTTGACACAGCTTGATTATATAAGAGAATGGCAGATATTGATATTGATATTGTATTTGTATTATGGTGATGGTGAGATCTAATTGCTCGAAGACAAGGGTTGATGTTGATGCTGATATTGATGTTTTTCTTCACATCTATTCTGGGCTCTGAAATCTTTTCCCCTAGCGACCAGCCCAACAGACACTAAGCCATAAGTGGAAAGTGCCTTGTGTTTGTTTAATGCCCACCAATTCATCCCCTGTCGCCCAAGTTGTGGCCCCTGTTGGCCTTGTCGCCGCCGTCTTAGTCTTGTCCTTGTCCTTGCCCTGGTCCCTCGTCCTGGTCTTATGTCCTGCGCTTCGCATCCGGTCGTTACTCATTCGTAGCTACATTCGTTGCTCTCCTCTTCATTCCTTCTCAGCAGTCACTCACTTCAAGTTAGATTCATCAGATGCATTCAGAATAGCCCTGTTGACGCAGCAAACCCCCGTGTACTGGGCACAACCCCTTCTCGCCATCCGGGCTCCTTGAGCCTCCTCTCGACCCGCCATCCCCCAAACACGCTCACTCTTCCTCCCATCAAACACTTCAACCACCCACTATGCCCTTCGGCGACTTCAGCACAATATGCGCTCAAGCCTCTATCCCGCTCTGCGGCCTCGTCGGCCCCGGGACATCCGTCTCCTCCACCTCCTCCACGGGGATAATGGCCACCTGCTACGCGCGCTCCATCGAACTGGCCAACACCATCATCTTCCAGGGGGCCACTGACACCATGCACATCCTCGCGCTGGGCATGACCATCATCATGGTCCTCCACGTGCGCAGCAAATTCACCGCCGTCGGCCGCAAAGAAATCACCACCTTCTTTTACATCTACATGCTCCTGACCGTCATCAGCTTGATCTTGGATGCCGGCGTGATTGCACCAGGCAGCGCGAGTATATATCCGTATTTTGCCGCCATTCAGAATGGGTTGAGCAGCGCGCTGTGTACGTGCTTGCTGATCAATGGGTTTGTGGGGTTTCAGCTTTATGAAGATGGGACGACACTCTCGGTCTGGCTGTTAAGGTTGGCGAGTTTGGGCATGTTCGTCATCTCTTTTGCCGTCAGTTTGCTTACGTTCAAGGGCTGGGCGGGACTTGGACCGATGAATACCACCGGCTTGTTTGTCGTCTTGTATCTGGTCAACGGGATCGAGTTGCTCATCTACGTGGTCATGCAGGTAATTCTCGTTGCGAACACCTTGCAAGATCGCTGGCCGTTGGGGGATATCGCGTTTGGGGTTTGCCTTTTCGTGATCGGTCAGGTCATGCTCTACACTTTCAGCCAGAAGATCTGTGAGAATGTGCAGCATTATCTGGACGGCTTGTTCTTTGCTACGGTCTGCAATCTGCTGGCCGTTATGATGGTTTACAAGGTATGTCGAAACAACCCTGCCCCCCTTTTACCAGCCATTGCAACACCCTCCTCAACTGACTCTTCCTCTTCGACAGTACTGGGATTCCATCACAAAAGAAGACCTCGAATTCTCCGTCGGCACCAAGCAAAACAACTGGGAGGTCAAGGAGAGTCTTCTTCCCTCTTCCTCGTCCGACGCCGCCCTACTACCAGTAGACGATCCGCGTCGCACCAGCGCCTTCGAACAATTACCCCCACCTCTTTCCTCTTCAGTGGATTATGGCAGTCGCAATAGCTTTTATCAACAGCAGCAGCAGCAGGGTAATAACAGGGCGAGTTTGAGTCAGCAGCGAACAAGTCAGAATCTGGCGGCGAGTGGGTTGCATGTTGCGGGTGCAGGTGGGTATGGGAGGGACAGGGAGAGGGAGAGTTATAGAGAGAGGGAGCGGGAGCGGGAAGTGATGTACTGAGTGCTCGATTGATTGTTTGATAGCCATAACGTGGAGTTTTGTCCAGCGGGAGGAAGAGGCTAGCGGGGGGGAGGGCGAGGAAAGGCGAGATGAACGCGGAGAAAGGAAGAAGAAAGGAAGAGGAATGGAAAAGAGGAGCAATGTAATTTTTGGGGGATATACCTGTCTTTGAGCTGAGATACGCGAATGCTATCATGGTGGAAAAAACAACACTCCTCGTACCTGTTGTCCCTTGACCTGTTGATTGATCCATTGACAGATTGATCCATCCCACCCCAACCCATCTCAGCAAACCGCGTCACAACCTCGCACTTGCTCCCTCCCAAGCTCAAGCTCAAAGCTCAACCCCAACCCTAAGCCGCGAAGCAAGGCGACCTGAAGCCAGGCAAGATGTTTCAGGTACCCCTCCGCCAGATCAAGAAGTCCAGACTATCTCCTTCCGCTTCTCTGTCTTACCTGATCCTACCACCCTATCCTGCCTCGTAGATACTCAGTAGTAATTAAAATAACCAAGCACCCTAAACGCACACACAGGTAGATGGACAGATAGACAGACAGACAGACGGGATGAGAATCACCTGTTCATCATCTATTCCTTACTCCATCATTCGCTCACTCCATCATTCGCTCACTCCATCATTCGCTCACTCCATCACACATACGACATCATCATCGTCATCTGTTGTTATCATTTGCTTAAGGTAGAATCCAGGGTATTTGTTATCCCATCCATCCATCCATCTACATTCCTAATCGAACTGAGTTAGTCTGCATGATCATGATCATGATCATAACCATAATCATAACAAACGACCCCTTGCCGGGGGCCCGGGGGGGAGGAGGTATTGAAGGCCAGGGAGGATGCAATATAACATGCAAGGGAGGGAGGGAGGAAGGAAGGGAAATATTGGGTTGTCGATGATGATGGGTCATGATGATTTCATCAATGTGAAGAAGCTGGATAGCTGGATAGCTGAATAATAGATATTATTTAGGTGATTGAGACAGCGAAAAGGATGATTCTCTGGTGCTTGAACCTTTTTAACATCACACGATCGCGGAAATCAATTGGCTAACTTAGATCTGGCTTCAATGGCGAAAATGCTGATGCGCTGGTGTGTGTGTGTGTGTGTGTGTGTGCCCCTATCTCTGTGGATCATACTTGAGCGCTTCTTCCCTTGCAGATCTACTCATAGCTGTATAAGAGGTGTTGAGTAAATCCTTGTTGGTTGAAGTGATAGATCCGAATTGAGTCGTTGGTTTCGCCTGCTTGAGGATATCCTGTCCGATGAGATGAGCTCAATGTTCAGATCTTTGTCGTATTTTGTGACGCTGAATATCAGGTTGTTGATGTGGGTGGCTTACCGGTGGCCGACTATCCAGACACGATTTTTTTGAAAGTGATGTATTGACAGGTCTTGTTGGTCTGCATTGTTCCAGCGGATAGGTCAACGGAGGATTGGAAAGGATACACAGGTAGCCGATATCACTGGACGGAGTGAATCTTGTTGATCGGTTGTATATACGCTGAGAGCTGTTCGGATTCGTATAAATCGGCTGGAGGCGAATGGCTGTATATTATACAGCTGTTGATGAGATCCAATGGATAGGTCCTGTGGAGTGAGTAGCGACGCCGTAAGGTGATTGATCTGATGTATTCCTCAGTTGTGGTGATGCTCATGCCATACCATATACCAGCTACTCAACAGAACTGGGCCGCTCCCGATGTCAACGTGCGTTGAAGAGACTTGTAATTTGGTAGAACATAATACACTATTGACTGCCCCACATATCGAGATAGGCGGTGGATTGGTAAAAATCCATATTTTGGCAGTAACAGGACAGGAGGAGATTTGGCCGTGGACATGCCGCATCCATAGTGATCACCAAGGATTTCAACATATCCTTGTCATCCCTTTCAGGGCCCGCCAATTACACTTGGTGGGCGGAGGACGGCTTGGTTCGAATTGAAAGAGGAGCGACCTTATGTCAGTCAACGACGGGAGCCTGAGAAGCTAAGTACTCCGTTCTTCAGCTGCTTCGGCCGATAGCATCCTTGGCTGACGGTTATATGACCATGGAGACGAATGGAGAGTGGCGAGCAATTGATTTACAGAGAATTGTAACGGAGACCGTGGATCCTAGGAGTAATGAATGCTTGTCGACCTGAGAAACTAATGATTCTGTTCAGCTGAGAGTATAAAATGGAACGCAATTGTATTATTGGCCAGTCGGAGATAGAGGACCACGGAATCGGAGGACGACTCCGAGGTGGGATCGACCTGCTAAGGGCCTATGAGAAATCGAGACTACAGGGACCGCGAAAGAAAGTCGGTTCAGATTCGAATGGGCTGAAGTGTGTCAGCGACAGCCACTCAAAGGAAGAGAACAAAGGACATCAGATCGGGGGCAGGTAGTTGCGGATTTATCGAACACAGAATGTCTGCACTCTGATTTGGCGGTCCCCAGTCGTAGTCGTGTCTCATACGTGGCCGGAATCCAATCCGTGTACGAAGTCATCCAGCAATCCGAGCACAAGTCCATCTTCGAAGACGACATGGAAGAGAGCAAAGGGTAAGCCTAGAGCATATTGATCTCGAATCTAACGTCAGGTTGTTGGAGCAAACCTAGGCCAAATACTCGGCATGCTGACGCTATGATTTCACCGTGCTCAATATGTTGTGATAGGTTGACCAACGGAAATTTGGCATACTCTGCCCATAGACTGGGTCAAAATCAATGCTCCGCGTGGTCTAATTTGACATTTGTTGCTGTAACATGGTTGAGGGACGTCCTAAGTACGGGGCACAATATGGTGAGTTCAAAGCAAGCCCTCGACACGACGTCTGTGAAACAGGGCGCGAGTTAGGCTCATCGAGTTTGGAACTTCAGTGTCTTCCTGCAGGCAGTAGAAGGAAAACGACAAGGCGGGTATTGACTCCTGGTGGAGAGCAACCAGTGGTCTGGCCCCGTTACAAGGTCAACTTAGATAGAATGGATGCTTGCATGAACGTTGTTCTTGTGCAACAGAAACAATGGGGTTTGAACTTGATTGAATAACACAACCACCAGTTGCGCAGCAGATAGTACGGAAAGTAGATAGAGAACGAAAGCTGGGAGCGACCATGATTCAGAAAACGCGGAGAAACCTCTTGGGACTCATATCCAAAATGCAACTAGTGATATGAATGGTAGATTCGCGATGGGATGGCGGGCTAACGGCCCCCAAGCTGGCTGTTAAGATGCAATAGAAGCAGCAAAACAACGTATGGTACGGAAGAAGTGCCTTGGGAAAACTACAATCTCAGGTAAATCCGTCAGAATCTCAATCAGAAGCGAGGTTCAAGAAGCAGGATACCGTTACTGCAACTGACACGATCCAAGTTGTACAAAGTCTAGCCAGAGACAACAACGTTCTGCCAGAAGAATGGTGGGACCATGTACCATGACTGAAGCTATTACCAAATGCTTTCCTGCCAAAGACCGGATGGGAGCAGGCGACACTGAGCAGCGAAGTCGATTTCTAGGGGTGATGGCATCCCATGTTAAACGTAAGGATCAAGGGTCAAGTCAGACCGCAGGACGTCATTCGAAAAGAATCAGCAGACAGTTGCCAGCAAAAGTTTTTAAGCATATCTGTGGGCCAAATCCAGGTCCCAGAACGACACCACTCTTGCCAAATAATTCTGACTGGTGCTGATCCGGGATCTAGGGGCAGATACGTCGCAATGTCCCAAGATCGTCGTACGTCCCTCCCTGGTACGTCCTCCCTGGCAGGAAGACTCATCTTGATTAGCCGGAGTGCCAACTGCGCAGCTATCAGACCTTTCTCAACTGCCACACCGCTCAGCTCGATTTTATGACAACCAGCGAAAGAGCTTCCGGCATGGTGCCAATCTGCTCAGAAGCAGCAGCATATCATTAGTTTCTTTTGGTTGATAGTCTGCTTAATGCCCCGTACCCGAAGCCTAGACAGCGAGGGCTCGGGTAGTATGACCAGGGATACTTACATGTAGAGCCAAACTTTCAGCTCTATGGAATAGTGGCGGCCCGGATTTGATGCCTGTCCGACTCTTCTCTGGTTGGGGGCTGTACCGCCTCATCAATTCGTAGGGTTTTCAGGCGCCCCTTCAAGTCATCCTGGGTGATTGAGGTGTGAGCTGGATTGACACATGCCAGCAAATCTTCAGATTCCAGCCTCGATCGCCCGGATGATAGTGAAATAATAAACGACAGCCCAACGTGTAATATCGGACATATGACAACATGGTAAGGGGGCAGCTTACATGGAGTTCACAAGTCGTTATGAATAGGGCAACAAGTGTGCATGTGTTTGCCTGAAGAAAAAAAAACAATAGTACGTAGTCCTCCGTAGACAGTAGTTAATTGGGTGGGTGTCCAGGATACAGGATCTGGATTAACACGGGGCCTCGGCACCAATTTCCCTCGCAAGCCTAATCTTCGCTTGGGTACAGAAGCCTACTGCTACGTAGTAGTAGCAGGTAGTGCACCCCCGTATTACTCATCAGCTCACTCGGCTTCGGTTCCAAGGATGCATGTCTAGCTTCGCTACTTACTGCATTGATTGCTGCACATCAAGTGCCAGACAATGCCCGCTGTCGTGTTCTTTGGGCTTGTCCGCTAACGCGATTTTTGCCATTGGCACTGTGCTGGAGTATACAATGATCCATCTTGAACATTGAGAACAACTGCCTCAAGCCCATTGGATGCTTGCCGTTATGCCGATGGAGGGCCGAGCATCCTTCGGAGAAATGACCGTTTGAACATATTAAATCATGACATGTACGACAATGAGGAACCAGCCTCGAGCCTCCTTGCATTTCCAAAAGGGTCTCAGGACCAGCACCTTGCAAGCGATCAATTCATTGGTGCTGGTAATTGGTCTTCCAAACATAAAATCCCCGTATCCTCAGCAATATTGAGATAATTAGCCTTCTTGTCTAATGTCTTTGGACAACGATGAAAACGGAAATTCTTGCGGACCAGGATCAAATCGGAAGCACCTCTTGGATCACCCATCAAGAAGTGATCAACAATCAACTTTATGATCTTGCATCGAGTATTGCACAAGGCCCTGAAATAGCTGTCTCAGATGAAAAGTAAGATGGGGTCAAAACACTCTTGCGGCATTACCTCTTCTGGAGAAGGTTGTAGTGAATCAATGGATCGATCAGAAAGTTTTTGGTCGACATGCTGCAGATGTGTACGAGCAGTCAGGAACTCAACATCCAGATCTTCAATCAATAAATAAGGATCTCTTCTGATTTGCATATGCCACGCCGATCTCTTGTGTCCAGGTGTTCAATCCCGACGGGATGATGTTGCAACCTGAATGTGATGTTCTCATGATACCAGAGCACGTCGCAGAATTCGAACACTGGTCCCTTTTTGGTACATTCTGGACTTCAAGTTGGTGGGACTAGAGTCCCAAGGCTGTCGGCGTTGGCCAGGATGGGCAGATGTGATGGCAGCCAATCATTACTGACTGGGTGTGGATGCGTGGCGGAGTCAATTCAAGAACGGCTCACCCTTGCGTCGTCATGATATTTGGTCTCGCGGCCTCCTCGGCCTAGCCTGGGCTACGAGAACTATGTAGCAGAAGAAGGGATGTCAGGCTAATTTCCAGCAGGTGGGATTTCCAGCTGCTTGAGTTTAGCGTGGGTTTGAGCTTCGATATGCTGTGGTTACTCCTGTATGAAGCACGAGATATGACCGGGCCAGGTAGATTTGCCGACTGTTTCGGTGGACACTGGCCACTGATCAGCTCGGCATCTTTTCTTCCACCTTCTCAACTTATTTTCTACAACCGAGTGACTGATATCGCTCCGGGGGGAGAAAGGGACGTGGCTGCATAGTTGGAATTCTTATCTGCCCAATCTTACCGCGAGGCCTTGACACCCGCAACACCTGCACTAGAATTTCCACCGCCTCTTCGAATCTGTGGAAGTCCAGCGGATATAGTGCCGCTCTGGAACCGCCCGACACACACGCATGCACCATAACTTCTAACCCGGATCACGAATCACCGGGCGGCTGAGGAGCATAAGCCTGTGACGCCAACATGCTGCCTGGCCTTCGTAATTCTGACATGTTGCCCTGTGGCCCTGAATCTTGCCCAGACCAGTCTTTCAGTCGGTTGCTTTGGAAAGTCAAATCAATAATACGAATCAATGCCCTTTCCGTGTGCAGCCCTTGGACACTGCAAACCCGCTAATTCGATATGCAACAATACCTACCTATAGGACGGACTCGTGCGCTAAAGACCACAACTTTTCAGCGATGCGGCCTGTTGCGGGATAAACGGCTCCAGTGGCACGATTCAGGACCTATAGGAAGCGTCTCAGACGACATGCATCTTTTCTCACTGTGAATCAAAGGATTCACGGCCGGTCTCATTTGAGTCATTATCCACCAACGACCCTTATCGGAACTACAAGACAGGTAATGCTATTAGGCAAACACCAACCTTGCCAATTGATCCTGGCAGAGCATAGCGTCGATCGTAAGACTTTGATTGTGAAATTATTGAGTATTTAGTCTGTAGCATCATTATTATGGTTCCTGAGACCTGATGCCCGGCGTCCTCAAACCGGAGCCGGCATGGAGCTAAATCCACCAGAGGGTATAATGCAAGCAACAAATGGGTTGACGCAAGACCATGCAGGCCGTGACATTGAAGTCGTACGTAGTACATGCACACAAGCACTTCACTTCCGAGTTGGGGCCTAAGCTGAGTAGCATGCTGGTTGTAACTACCGAAAAGGTGTGGAAGCACGGCTGAATCAGGCTTTGACTGGATTATTCTTAGGCAATAATAGTAATAATAACTCAGAGATTGCCAACACCATCTTTGTCCCCACGCATCGAAAACTCAGCGGCAGTCGGTGCCACAACAATGTTGACCTTGAAGGCTATCTTGTGAGCGCCTGAAAAGATTCACCATCCCCTCCTGAGTCGTGACAAGGCTACCATGAGAAGTCGTTGTGAGCCACCCGACACCGCTTCGGACTAGGCGAAAAAGGGGGTACCCACAGGGTTGGCCGACTACTTTTGCGCAAATGACCATGGAAAACGAACAGGTTTTCCTAGCAGCTGCACTAAAAACCCGCTCCACGCTCAAACACGTCGAATTTAATATTTGTGCCAGTGGCATCGTGATCGTATCGAAGGGACCCGGCCATGGTGCACGGGGCTGGAGCTTCCGTGCAGAAATCCTGTGTATGATCTGACTTGGAAATCACCGAAAGGGCAGCCATTGCAATTCCGCATGCACAGCCCCTCAAGAGAATCAGCGCCGATGCATGTAGCAGGCAGACTCCAGATGGCCCTGATGGCGCGGATGGCCCTTACAGATCCTGAAGCTGAAGCTGAAGCTGGTTTGGCTGCACGAATATCTGCTCGGTCGTAGGTACCAAGTAGATGTAGATTTAGATTGCACGTCCTGATCACCTGGGCTTGGTGTTTGATTTGAGAAATGGCGGCCAATAACTACTAGTCGCTGGCGGAAGTGTTCAGGGGTCGGGATGGGGATGGTCCACCAGGCTTCTCAGAGTTTTGCAAGGAGCCCGAAGTGTCAAGCCGCCAACGCAGCATCAGCGACAAGCCGCGAGGAAAGTGCAAGCCGGAAGCTGAAAGGCAACAGACAGATCGTTGCCCACCTGCTGCTGCCACTGCTGCCACTGCTGCCACTGCTTGCCACTGCTTGCCACTGCCTGCCACTGCCGCCAATGCTGCCAATGCTGCCACTTTGCTGCCAGCCTGCCACCTGCTTTTGCACTTAACTCACTTAACTTAGCCCCGGGGGCCGTACTCCAGCCTCTCTGCGTACTTTTTCTGTTGGTCAGGATGGGAGAGTCAAGCTCAGACACTAGTGGCACCTCACGTTGGACTGGATTGATGCAGTTCTCACTGCTAACACGTAGTTAGTGATACTGACTACTTGTATGTACCCACCTTGCCGCGGATGGATCACTCTTCGTAGCGAGAATTTAGCGCTGGATTCTCACCCACAGAATCTCACCACGCATAACGCGCAGCAACTTTCTCTCCTTCTGAACCCCACTAAAATGCTAACCCTGCATGGTTACGCCAGCATCTCTCCTCGCTCACACGCTGCTCGTCCCAGCCAGAGGACGCAAAGACGAAAAGGAGAGTCTGAGACCAGACCGTTTTGGCCTCGTCCTCCCATCATATCATCATCATCATCATCATCATAGTCCTCGTCCCCGTCCTCATCACACGCGCGGTGCCAAACCCACAGGCTGGGCAGCTCAGCTCCAGTCCATTCCCGGAACCATCCCCACTCGTCTCGTCTTCCACCTGCCCCGTACTCACACCCTCCTCCCTGACTCCGACTGACTTTCGCCCATCCCCCTTCCTGGCGCCGGAGAAGCTTCACAGCTGCCACGCTAATATGCTAACATGCTCCTTTGAACCGCCCCTCTCTTCCCCCTCGTCCATCTTGCTTCCTCATCGACACCGTTAGTCAAATTGGCGGCACACTGCAATTGTTGCAAACTCCAGCCTAATCCTGATCTTATTATTGGATTTTGATACTGCCTATTGCCGACTGGTCCTGGTCCTTGTTAGTAGTGTGCATCGTGCCTCCGACCCAGAGTCCAAGCCCACACGCTGGGTCTGATGTCAAGGCCGAGCCTGAAGTCGGCTCATTCGCGAGACATCACCAAAAATGATCGCCTGCTTCATCAGCCTACCATTCCACGCCACAAAATTTGCCAGAACCTCCATGAGTACCTTCCTTGTGGTCACTGCGTTCTCGTTCTTGCAGTCTTCTCTTATTGTCACCTGCTTCTTCACCTGTGTTGGACACATAGCAATGTGTCCGGTCGGTGAAGGGTACGTTTCCAACCCTCACCCTGTCTCCACCCCTTCGTTGCGCCTTCCATTCCACAGCCTAATTAGGTCTCACGTTCCAAACACATATGATCTTCAGTCATTTGTCGATTGACCTAGTCTGACCTAGTCCGTTTGCACTGGCTCCTTCTGCAAAGAATATATTTCTTCTTTGCATTTGCTATCACCGTGTCAGTAGATGGGCATAGCATGTTTTCTTGACCCCCACACATATTTCGACCAAAACCGATGACCAACGAATGACTTGGAAGCGACCTGTGTCTGAATCCACTACCAGCACTTTTACTCTATGTCGTCAGCTTTAGCTCACCCTCCTGCTACTGCATTCCCTGAGCCCTCGAGATCAGAACTTACAAGTTTTCGAGAAGGCCATCAACGGTATACTGGGCACGTCAAGAGTTGGCAGTCATTGATCAAGGAGGGCAGATCTGGAACCTATTTCTCAAGTGGTTTGCTCACACCACCGGAGAATAGGGCTATGACTGGGGTTAGCCTCAACCAGCACAACTCGAACACTGTGGCATCTCAGAACTATTACCCATCGAAATTCCCCTACTCTAGCTATCCTTCTGGTAGAGGTGCGGAAGTCAGACATCATCACAATGCTGACAGCTACGACCGCCACAATCGACCAACAGAGGATCAACAGAAGCTCTGGTCAACAACCCAGGAAAGAGAGGATCGGCAAGCGCCGAAGGAGACTTCAACCTCGGACTCGACTATTGCGTCGTATTTACAGATTCCGTCTTCCATCAACGACAGCAGAGGGAGTTTGGCAGAGTTTGCAGCAGAGGTAAGATAAGATATGTTCAAAGTTTAGATTGTTCTGACACGCTCTCGTAAGATAACGTGTCTCTTCTGGTTCGAGTCAGCTAGCACACTGCAGCGTGCAGATGGTGTTTCACTCCTCAACGGCAGTATTGTGAAGCCGCTGGCTCCAGACGCAATGCCAACAATGGGTTTCCTGAAATGGGTGACGACGATCTTGACCACCACTCAAGTCACGCAGAATGTCATCCTTCTGGCTCTGCTCTTCATCTATCGACTCAAAAACTTCAATCCCGGGGTTAGTGGAAAAAAGGGCAGTGAATATCGTTTGCTCACGATTGCCCTGATGCTTGGCAATAAGTGTGAGTCTGAATCGAGGTGCAAATTGTAGGGACCATTGCTGATTCTCGCAGTCCTGGACGACAATACCTACACCAACAAAACCTGGGCCGAAGTATCTGGCATCTCGGTATCCGAGATCCACATTATGGAGGTGGAATTCTTGAGCAATATGAGGTACAATCTGTATGTGTCCGAGGAAGAATGGAAGAGGTGGCATGTTAAGCTTGCGCGGTTCTCGACATACTTCAACAAGGCTTCCAAAGCTCCTCCAGTTGAGGTTGCTAAGCCCGCAGCACCCGTCACACCGACCGCCCAAACCTCTCCATATAAGTTGCCTTCGCCGCCTTCGCCGGCTCGCCATGGGCCGCCAATGCAGATGTACCTCCCATCCCTACCCAACCCAATGGCAATGGCACCACATCTGTCTCATTCACCCGCTCGACATTATATTGGGTCAGAGGATTTCCATGGTAGTCGAAAACGAAGCCTCGAGATCTCTACGGACATGCCAGCAGCAAAGCGGCTTATGTCAACCACACCTTCCAGCCATTCTCCTGCCGTTCACTCCCCGGGGTCTCTGAGTGCCTATACATCAAACTCGAATGCCTCGAGCAGCACTTTGGCAGACATTGCACTTAATAGATCGCCAATCGCTAAGCTACCGATGCCAAATCTTCCGTCAACTTCTACGCAAAGACAACGACAACATCCAACCCTTTCAGTCGCCCCAGCACGATCGATGTCCATGGTATATCCAAATGCTCAGAATAACTGGTCCCAGCCAGTGACGCCTGTCGGAACAATGCCACCCAACAGCATGAATCTATATGCTAACCCCATACCTGCTTTGGGTGAATTGACAAGAAGTCAATACGCCTCTGCGAACGCGTCACCGAGTACAGCAGGATATGGCAGCGTAACCCCAACTCGTCAGCTATCACCTTCATATTTTCTAACCAATCGCAACTCACCCTACCGTCCGGTGCGGAGCGTCAACACTCTTCTGATTCCGCCGCCATCTGCATCACTTCATAATCCTACCCGAAACATTGGTCTGGACCAAATGCGTTACCAACCTCTTGGGAAAGCTGATACGAGAGCCGGTGTCGTGCCGTATATGCATCACGACGCCTGGCCGCAACCCTGGAGTACAGCATCGGGCATGCCTTCTCAGTACGCCTTTCATGCTTGATCACACCTTCCTTGGAGATCTCGTCATACTTATTTTCTTCATGCTTTCTGTGTTGATTGTGTACATACCCGAATGCGAAATTTCCAGCATAACTTGGCGTTGGGCAAATGGTCTTCTTGATTGAGCCTTCATATCAGCAAGCGGCATTGCTAGGGCGCAGGGAAGCAGACTCTGAGAGCATAGCAGGGCGTTCGGTTATTCAGCTCTCCGCATCAGGATTGAGCATTGAGCATTCGGTGGGAAAGAAGTTGCCGGGTTTTCTAAAGCATTTCAAGGTGGCGGGACGGAAGCAGAGAATTCGACAATAAGAGCAACCAGGTCGTTCTCAACAAACGAGTTCATTGCACTGATAATAATTAATTACTCCATGACAAAACAACACCTATTTACTAACTAATACTACTACTACCACTACTACGTAGTACCTGTGGGATGCCAAGGTCGCTCAGATCGTGTGCCATGGCAGATCTGCCGGCCCCTGAAGCTACGGGGAGTACTAGTTAAGTTAGTAGTGGTGGTCTTCTTTAAATGCAATGCATTTCCAGTTCCTGTCACCCCCTCCTGTCACTTCCTCTGTGACAGGCTTCGGCTTGGAGTCGCTTCATTTATCCGTCCTTTCAGGAGCAGCAGGAGCAGCACCAGCAACAGCAGCATCGTGTTGGCTGACCTGATATACAAGCCCAATGTCATTCCGTTGAGACTGCTACTGCGAGTGCGACTCTGTCTAGCCCAGGTCACCAGTCTCAGTGGAGAGAAAAGAGAAATAGTGCGCACCGTTTTTCCTTCCATCTAAATCACGTGCAATCATGTCGAGCAGCTCTGGGTTGACTGCGCCCCTGCCTTTCTACAAGCTCATGGCTCTGGAAGCAACTGAGCTACCTCGGAAAATGCGGTCAGATGCATTGGCGACCTTCAAGTCCAACGCCCGTGCTTGGGCTCCCGGCTTAGGGAGCACAGCCTTTGGTGGACATGTATATGCGCAGGCTGCCTGGGCGGCAAGCAAAACTGTTGTTGAGGGTATGATTATACATGTATGGTCAGTCCTGTCTTGAACTGTCAGTGAAGAAACTTGTTCTGCATCAACCGTGAAGGAGAGAAGGCAGTTTCAAGAACTCTTTAGTGTGTGGAATGGAGACCGCTGACAGCATAACACCCCCAGAACATGACAGGTTTCTTCATATTACCCGGCCGGGCTGAAGTACCTTTCATCTATAAAGTGCGCAGAGTCAGAGATGGGGGTATATACTGCCTTAGGGCCGTGGAGGTGTATCAAACACTAGTAGAAGAACCGTCCGAGTCAACGTCGAATGCCACCAAACAGCAGACAATCCTGACAGAAGGACTGACCGAGGCAGAAGACATGGCACCATGTTTCACTGCAACGGTATCTTTTAAGAGAAGGGAGGATCCGGGCAGATACACCCACTTCAGATATCAGACACCCCGGGTTTCAGCCGGCCACCTTCGGAAAACATATGGAAAGGTGCTGAGTGGCAGAAGACCAGAGGATCAGCCAATGGCGCCTGGTGCGGATGCCATATGGTGGACTCGAGGGATTGAAGAAGATTTATGGGAGGAAACTGGACAGCGGTTTCCTGGTGTTGAAGTCAGGAAAGTCGACATGGGTTCCTTCACCGCTGGTTTCGACCCTCCAGACAGAGTAGGGGGTTGGAGACAGTTGAGCTTCTACAGGCTGATCAAAGATGATGCGGTAGACTTTGACGGTGACGATAACAGGACATCGACCTTAAACCTATATGCCTGTGCACATCTCTACGCTTCTGACCGCAACTCATTATTCCTCATAACCAATGCTCTAAACTTCGCCGATCAACTCGTTGCAATGTCATCACTTTCCCATACGGTGATTTTCCATGGAGATCCGGCGGCGCTGAGCATGTGTGACCATCAGGGAAGACCGATCTGGTTCCTGCAGGAAGCTTGGACAGCGAATGGTGGCTTGAACCGTGGATGTCATGAGAGCAGGTTGTGGAGGTGCAATGACGATGGTCAAGACGAAATCATCGCCACAACGAAGCAGGATGCCGTAATTAGGGTACCGGCAGATTTGTTATCCGTCGAGGAACTTGCGCAACGGAGAAAGAAGATGGGACCCAGATCCCGCAAGGGAAAGCTGTGAAGAATAACACTGGCTACCATAGCTTCCATCATCCATGCATAAGTGCTGCTTTTGTCTGACGACTACTCCTGCTTGCTCGCTCGCTCGCTTGCACCATCATCTCAGCATGACCTGGAGCATGCCAGCCCTTTCATTGAAATGGCCCAGCCCTACGCACTTCACCACAACATCTCAAGCTCTGGCAACGCATTCCTTGAGCCGCGAGCGAGAATCATTCATCTACTCACCCTCCAACCAAAGTCTCTCGACATCTCCGGAGCCTGCCTCTCCATTCCTCGTTGTAGTTCGCCCACTTGCCGCCCTTTCCCTCTATCGAACAGTCTCCGCATGCCGCTGTTCTGACTTCCTCTCTCCCACCATCTTTCCTCTCGCCCATCCTAGCAGCTTCTCCTTGTAATAACTCTTCTGCGTAAGCCGTTGCGTTCTCGCCCTCATCTCTCGAACGCTCCATTCCATGCAAAGCTAAGACGAAGAAAACAACGAAGAAGATTTCGTCCATGCCACTGAGTTGGTCTGAACGTCCTCCTCCTCCTCCTCCTCCTCCTCCATTGATTGTGGAGATGAACCGGAATGAAGACGAACATGCACATTCCGCGCTTAACTCCACCCTTGATCAATCTCGCAGATATTGTGCTGATGCTTTTCGCTTTCGGCCTACTCGGCGCTCTCGACAAGATCGGTCATGCGGTGTTTTCGTCCCGAGAGATTTTTGAGGAAGAGTAGGCAGAAGCTGAGTTGTTGGGTGGACGGGGTGATGGATCCATCGGTGCCATGTCGACGAACCGACGATAATATCGCAGGCTTACGCGGTAAGCGTTCGGAGGGCATTGGGATGTTACTTGCTCGCACACAATCGGAATTTACCTTTCAAGCCTCATACCTGTAGACTTGGGCGTGTTTGAAAGCTGAAAGGGACGTGTGGTTTGGTATATTGTGGATTCTCATACCATGAAAAGATCAGCTTGAGGGGAGATATCTTGATGGAACTGAACTGAACTGAACTGCTGTTTGTCTGTGTGAGGCTCGTACCGAGAAGAACAGGGGAGATATTGAGGGAGCACTCTATCAGGCTTCTGTTATAAGTCACTCTATCAGACTTCTGTTATAAGTATACGACGACGAGATGTGCCCTATAGATTTCTGGAGGTGAGAAAGACAACACCAGACACCAGACACCAGACACCAGACACCAGACACCAGACACCAGACACCAGACACCAGACCCAGACACAACCAGACACCAGACAGGTTTGTCCCACTCACTGCAGTCACCGATCAGACTCCCTTGCAGTATCAGATGCAAAGGGGGCTTCTGCTTTATGCCCCTAGGTCCTCCCCCATTTCATGTCAAGTTTATCCATTGATGGACGGGCAGGAGTTTGTTGAACCATCATTACCTTTTCATGTAGATCACCTGAGAGAGAGACGCCAGGGAAAGGAAGAAGGAGAGATGATAGGTGCTGCTTAATATACATATCAACTCAAATAACTTCCCAGTAGTACCCATCCATCAAGCCCATAAGCGTCTGTCTGTCTGTCTGTCTTACCACCTGGTCTTTTCTTCTGTTTCTGCTTTCATCATGGCAAAAATATATATATACGTGAGAGAAAGGGACAGCTAGACTGATGAGTCAATTTAACTTAACTTAACTTAGCTGCTCCTCTTCTTAAGCAGGTGGCTAAGTAGGTAGGTAGGTATTAGCTAACTACTAAGTACTTAATGCTCCCTAGAGATATCCCCGAGACTCGTTATTTATTTGCAGATTTTTGCAGATTTTTGCATCCGAAGTGGTATAATTCTCCGTAATTTGATATATCCCTAAATTAGTGGTTGTTGTCTTTGCGGATTTCATGGTCTAGATAAAAGGTGTTGATATTTATGTTGATTGACTTGTGTTGTGTTAATCTAAGTTAAACTCAAGGTTAGAATAGAATGAGAAGGGGAGGAGGGAGAAGGGGAGCGAGGAAAAGTAAGTGATCGTTTGTTTGTCTCTTAGATGTGTTTGTGTTCGTAGGTAGTAAGTAGTTTCCATGCATCTACAGATGTGACTTCTTCCTTTCTTTTCCTTTCCCCCCCCCGATCCGAGCGGCAGGCCTACCCATGGCTGTTACATTCCATATGGTATGTCGTGTGGTGCGGTCCTGCCTGCCGATGGATGGAGTCCAGTTCACGTTCGGTCAGGATCAGCCAGGCTTCAAGGCCTACTTGGTCCATATGTACAACCCATGACCCATAATTCATAGCCCATACCTCATAAACAATATCTCATGAGGCCTTGTCAACAAGCACACTGCCCTCCAGATCCTCCGCATCGACACTCCCGTCCCTCATCTTGACATCCCCATCCCCATCGTCCTCCGCATCTTTCGAATGAACCCACACATGTTCCGAGGACTCCTCCGCTGCTTTTCTCCTGCTCCCAGCACCCGTACCCTTCCCACCTACCTTGCTTTTCCCAGGTCCACCTCCGAGCTCTATTCCAGCTCCAGATGTAAACTCTTCACTGCTCTCATACCACCCTTTCCCGCCGTCTTCCAAAACCCACCCCGCAACAATCTCCTTACTCTTCTCCCCCAACGCATAAAACCCCGGGTTATCCCTCGGATAGAACATAGACGTATGCGCCTGAATCTCAACACTCGCTTTCTCATTGACAGCGGGAATCCATTGTAAGGCTCCCCCTCGTCCGCCATCTCCGGTCTTCTCGCCCGAGATAGGGCCACCAATGGATTTCTGCGAAGCCTGTTCTTGTTTCTTCCTTTCCAACTTCGGAGGTGGCACTTTGCAAAAGGTTCTCTTCTCCAATATCCCATCCACGAGGATCTTGGTGCCGACATGTTCGGCACTATCGGTATTGGTTGCGCCTCGGCCGAGGAGGGTGTAGAAGTTCGCGGAGCCTTTGAAACCATTTCTGCTGCCACTTCCCTTCTCTCCCCCCCCGCTTCTCGCATCGCCGGTGCTCTTCCTCTTCTCCTGATTTTGCAACTGCACCGGGTTCGGGTTCGGGTTCTGGTTCTGGTTCTGGTTCTGGTTCTGGTTCTGGTTCTGACTGGAGGATAGCGCACGCAGCCTCTCCACTCTTAATTTCAACTCTTCTCCCCTCAAAAGACACCCCACAAACTCCAAATGTCCACCAATCCAGCCCCATCCGCTCCTCAACTTCTCTCTTTGTGAGTAAAGAGCGGCAGCAAGCACCACCTGCGGCAACGGCCCCCGCCGCACCAGCAAACATAGCATATTTGCCCCAGGATTGCCAGCGCGGGGTTGCTGCTGCGTCCCCGCCGTTCGTGATCAGACCCGCTGGCTGTGATGGAGATTTGATTGGAGCAGAGTTCTTGGGAGAATTGGTACCCGAAGGTGACTTGGGGCTGGTGGCTGCGCCGCTCCATCCGAAAGCGGAGCTGAGTTCGGAGAGGACATTATATGCTGATGAGGCGGTTTTGTAGTGTCCCTCTGCGCCGTGAGCGATCACTCCAGGGGAGATGCCGAGGAAAGGGGTGTCGAACGCGAGGAGGCCAATGATCTGGGGGAACATTGGGGTTGCTGATGGGCTGAGTTTGGGGCTGTTGGTGTCCGTGCTTGGTTTGTGATTAGACGAGGGAGTACTGGGTCTGGTTTTAGGTGAGGATGTAGTGCTTGGTTTGGGATTGAACGAGGGGGTACTGGGTCTGGCTTTTGGTGAGGATGTGGTGTTTGGTTTGTTATTAGATGAGGGAGTATCAGGTCTGCTAGTCGGCGAGGATGTAGTGCTTTTAGCGGTGGAGCTTTGTGGCTGGTTGGACGTTGGACGATTAGTACTAGGTGTAGAGTTGACGGTTGTATCTGATGGAAAGTTGGAGGCTGTAGTCTTCTTGGATGAAGGAGAGGAGGAGGAGGAGGAGGAGGAGGAAGGGGAGGCCGGAAGAAGTTGGTCGTTTGCGAGGAGGAGGAGAGTCTCAGCTGCCACGATGCCGCCCATAGAATGGCCTATGAGAACTGTATGTACTGACGGATCGACGGTCGGGGAGGGCGTGGAGTGCGCGACTTCGATGTCTATGACTCTGTTTTGTAGCCTGTTGTTCCGGAATCATGGGCCAGACGGTCAGCACAAACGATTCTATTCGAAACTGCTGCTCTGCTCTTGTCCGTGGTGTCTATCTCACCATTCTCTAAACCTCTCTACACAATCCTTCAATTCTCCTCTTGTCTCGAACTTCGGATACTGGACGGCGAGAACATCGATTCTGGGTAAAGCGTGACTGAGCAGTGCTCGAAGATGCTCGGGAAAGGTTCCGAAGGTATCATCACCACCCTAGAATAGTGTTGGCTGGGGTCAGCTCAACTGATCACGATAGTGCTCGAAGTGTGCGAAGATGTAGGGCTTCCCTTGGATGGCAGCATACCTTGAAGCCATGTACGAACACAAGAAGCAGCGTCTTTCTCATCTTAACAGTATTGGCCCTATTGGGCAGGGTCCGGAGTCCTCATTCTTTGCTTCAATTAAGCTGGGCGGTTGGAATGCGACTGTTCTGAATGTCTGACTGTTCTGACTGTTCTGACTGATCTGTCGGTTCTGACCCTTCTGACGTCGTGTTCCTAGCTGCGTCATCCTACGGTTTGCGCACTCTACGGAGTATTCCGCCTCGAGTAGCAATCTTGTTTTTGATTGACCACCAGATCTGGCGTCTGGTAATGATTCTGGAGGGTCTAGACTTCTAGACTTCTACTACAAGGGCTTGTGTTGCGACAGCTGCCAGTCTCACTCGTTGCGGCTTAGTCATCACACTCGATCTGCATTTGTTCGATTGTTTTGGTGGGCTAAACGACTGGACGAACAGGTATCGAAACGACATCGACGAAGCATCCAACCTCGGAACAAAAGAAAACATCACCCCCCTTGGTCAAACCTCCACATTACTCTTCCTATCCGCCTTTGCCTTTGGCAAGAAACATAGCACATCTTTGCCGGGTATCATCTTCGCTTTCCTCGTGGTATTGTACAATGAAGAGGGTATCAACCAGCATAAGCCCATCCCCTGCCCTATCAAAAATGCGAGCAATCCATGTTTGAGCTTTGCGTTCAAGTCTTATTGACCAGCCGTCACTGCACTATGGATGCCACTGGCGTGTGGAGGCCCATTCACCTGTGCATTCTTCATGTTGAAGGCTTGGTCAACCTGGTTGCCAAATCCGCCAGCTGAGTTGCCATTTGTTGATGGGTATTCCGGAGATCCTACACCTGCGGCGCTCGCACCCACACCTTGGTTATAAGCGTGAGATGTGGTGTTGGTGCCTTGACCTTGGCTGAATCCGGGAGATGACAGATTTCCGCCGCTAGATTGCAGACCTGATCCGCCACGAACACCACCAGATGCTGCGTTGTGAGGCTTGCGAGTGACAGGAGACAGTTTGGGAAGATCAGTAGATTCCTTCGCGCTGCCGATACCAAAGACTGGTGACTCCCACTTGTCTCCCTTGGCTGCAAGATCCTTAAATTCAGTAGCTTTGGTCGAGATACCACCTGGAAGTTGGATGTTGGGGAAGATGGACTCGTACTGGGTGACAGCCATGTTGACTACGCCATTGTTAGACTCGAACCAAAACCCGAGCGAGAGGAACTTACCCTTGGTGCCTGCAGCCTTTTCCTGAGCCTTCTCCTTCTTGGCTGTCATCTTCTTCTGAATAGCAGTCACATACTCTTTGTAGATGTTGCTGACATTATCGGGGTCTGGGTTGGCCTTGGCTCGATCGACAGCCCGTTGGGCTTCTTGGTGGATGTCGTAGACATAGGCATCGGCTTGAGTGAAAGAGTCCCGGATCTGTTTCTCCAGAACTTTCTGAATCACCGGACGCATCACCTTCAACAAGATTGGCTTGGCAATAGAGAAGAGGAGTTTGTGATCGGATTGCTTGATCTTGATCTTCAAATTCTTGACGTCGACAGTGACCTTGTCAATCTTGGCGAAATGTTGACGATCTTTCTTGTGGGCGTTGGAAGCAGCAATCTTGAAGCTGAAGCCTTCACCACCGAGGTAGATGTCCATCACACCTTTGTCAGTGATGGAAGGGAAACCTTGCTTTTTCTTGACATAGTAGGATACATCCCGAAGGTCCATCTGCACACCCGACGCGGAGATCATGATCTTGTTGTCATGCTTGTTGCTGATCTTCTTGCGGCCCCAGCGGAAGTAGTTGTCGCTACCAAATTCAATGACATTGGGTGCAAGGTTGTCGCTTTCGATGACCAAGTTCTCGACCACAGCATCAATCATGGGGTCTGAAACTTCAATGCGAGGAAGGGGAACGTAACGAGTGTGCTCGAAGATGCCGGGCACAATGACATTGCTGATATCCTCGAGAAGGTGTTTTTTGAACACAGGCTTGCCACTCTCGTCAGTTCCTAGATCGTGGAACAGCTTCTCCAATGACTGGGCAAAGGCCTTGTTCTGTGGGTCCTGGTCGAACTGATCAGCGAGGAACTTGGCTTCATCGATGATACGATTGGTATGGTCTCGGTATCGGTCGCGTAGGAGGAATTGTCCCTGGTCGTACAGTTGATGCCCTTCGTCGTTGGCCTGATCTTGGAGGATAAATCCCTGCTCTTTCAAACATTTACGGACGAACTGGTCAACAGATTTGAACCAGTTCCTCAATTCTGGGTCGCGGTCGGCATCGGCGTAGATGTTCTTGAGGGCGTCGAAAAGATCTTCGCTGCTCGTGCAGTTGGCAAAGCGTTCGATTAGAGTCTTGAGTTTGGTCAGCGCTTCTTGATTTGCTCTGAGGAATCCTAGATAGGAAATACCTTAAGGTCAGTCTCGGCAATTTCCAGACTGTTATCAGCATGGGCACCTTTCACAGTTCCAGCACCAGCCTGCGACAAATCACGGCCATGACGACCATAAGTTTCAGCAAGGTCGAGAAGGGTTTCAATCGCCTGCTGATCTATGTCAAGTCAGTATATCTGAAACGAAATGGGGCTTGATGCACGTACAATCCGAGTGACCTTGCACCTCGGTGATCATTTTCTTCAATCGCCAAATGGTCTGCTCACGGCGTTCCTTTGGCATTTTCTCGCTCAGGTAGTTCTTCGTCTTTTGCGAGACCTCCCGACCACGTTTTTTAGTGTCCTCCGGTACATTGGCCGATGCCTGCTCACGAAGAGTTCCACCAGCAGCCTGTGCGCCAGCTTGGCCAGATTGTTGGTCGTATTGACCATCACCAGTTTGGTTTCGATCTGCAGCATTGGCAGCGTTATTGGCCGCCTGATCGACGTCATTCTGGGAAAACGGCTTTTGCTTGTCGTAGGTAGACCTCATTTGAGATTTAAGGTTGTCCCTAGAAAGATTTGGAGCATCGTGCCAGGTGTTATCCTCAGCAGGCTCGTCGAGCTGTGCAAGTTGATCCTCTTTTGGATTCACACGGTTTGCGGCATTCTGAGCGGCATCACCAGCCATATCTCGGATGAGGATAGTCGCATCATTGAGCAGCTTCCGGAATTGACCGTTGGTGATGAGCAATGTTCCAAGTGTTCGCAGGCCTTCCAGTGCCTGGTTGCCATGCTGTTGGGCAGTCTGCTTATCTGTAGGAGCGCCGGGCAGCTTGGCATCGCCTCCGCTGATATGTTGCGTTTGCCAGATGAAGTCCTGGAGCAGATTGCCCTCATTTTTGGTGAGAAGCAGAACCTTGGCTTGTTGTATGACCTGTTGCAGATCGCCGACGAGTTTGCGACCTTCCTCAGACAATTTCGGAGATGGCTTGGCAAGCGCGCGCGATGAGAGGGTACTGTTTAGCGCAACGTCGATTTGCTTGTTCTGAGGCAACGATCAGCTTTGACGGGATCTCAGCATAATACACAGGGATGAAGACGTACGGATGGCACTTTGCCTCTGGAGAAAGCTACATGTGAAAATGGTCAGTTTTTACTGATAGGCGGTTGAGCGGGACGTTGCAGCAGGTTGTGTGACGTCAACTGAGGGAAAAAAGGAGCTGGTGATCCTACCATTGAAGATGCCGTAAAGCTGCAGCTTTTGATTGATGTCCTGGCGGAATCGTCAATACTTGCAATCTGAAGGAGGCTATGGGATGAATCTCACCTTCTCCTTGAGCTTGGTGTCGGTCGGACGATTAACGGCAGCCATGATGGTGGACGACTTGGTTGGTCGATGCAGGAAAAACAAATGCGCGCAAATGGGGTATCAAATGCAGGTCAAGTAATTTGGACTGACAATAAGGTCAGTTAATGGTATCGAGATGTAGAAAGTAAGGAAGTTGTGTGGTGTTGTGGAAGAAAGAGAACAGAATTGGTTTGAAGTGGTGGCAGGGTGAGATATTTGGTGACGCGCCTGGAGCTTAGCTTGTGGCTGCTAAAATTCTGGGCAGCGTTGCACAGGGTGAGCCAGTGAGAGCAAGTGAATACCGGCGCTGCAGCCAAATTACGAAGACTGACACTGCTGCACTTGAAAATTGAACAGCAGGTCAAGGCCAAGGTGAAGACTAACGTAGTAGTAACTAGCAAATCCAAGTTCTCAGTGCACTTCCCAGGCGAGGTTCACCTCAACCGGACAGGGATGAAGCTACAATTACATCACTGTTGCAGGGGCAAGACATGGTAGCATCATATTTGCCAATAGCTGCCGCCTCTAGCCTGGATAAAGTAAGATTGCGTGGAGCGGAATGTGCATGTCACCGGCGCCAAAGGCTGAATTCTCGACTCGCAATTCGATCAATTATCCCATAGTTGCAAAACGTTCGCATGCCACCACTACGCCAGTTGCGAGCCACTTCCGAAATATGGGATCGGCACCTGCCTGCCATCTTCTCTCCAATATCGTCTCCCAACCTTGATCATCGTCGGCGGGGATCAGACCAGGCCTCGGGTCCATGGCCACATAGAGCATCGGACCCGAAAGCGGTGGATCACATCTGACCCAACAGAGTCAACAGAATCAACATCTTCAGTAGAGTTTGGAGTCGAAATCTATCGCAGTCAGATGTCATGCAGTCTACCTGCATGCCCTGTTTCAACATGGCATCGATGAAACATCTTCTATGTGATGCCCCTTTCATATGTTGTGTAGATTCTGGTCCCAGGTTAGCATTGAACGGATCCATAATGACGGGAACGATCACTGCATTCAATACATGCTTTGTGAGGATATGCCTGGGTGCTCTTGCACATGGTCATCGTGTTCAAGTTGGGGTGGATCTTTTCTGCTAAGTTAATATTCGCGTACTAAGTAGTGCTTTCTCCATGAACCACTGTTGACCTTGATCTTTGCCAAGCTGTCATACCCGTCTGTTTCCCGACCATCCAATCCACTTTCTTCATGATGACGATGTCTTTCTGTAAAGGTCCTGCAGCATCTTTGCTTAGCCACCATCTAAGGGAACAATTTCCAGCCAATCCTTCTGACCTGCATCAAGCGCAGAATCTAGACTCTTTTCAACGGCGGCCGCTTACAATGGTATCTATAGACTGCTGTGACTGTGTAGGTATGAAGGTGTTGCAATAGTAAAGCACCAGCTAGCATGAGTTGTTTCTGTGCTATGCCGTGCTGTCTTGAAGCAGGTACAAGTAAAGCACAGGAAGGATCACATGATCACGCGACACTGCCAAGACCGGCGACGTGTGGTTGCCTGCCAGTGCTGCCAGTGCTGCCAGTGAGGCTCACCACCATTCACTCCGTACTACTTACCACGTAGTACTACATAGTAAGTTAGTAGAAGCCCTCCTTTCTCCTTGTGCATCAGTAGCACAATACAAGACGATGCCCCGCAGAGCGCAGACCCGTCTGCAGTTCACTCCTCTCCCATCATCCTCTCCTTCGAAAGGGGACTACTCCCCAGGTGTACAGGATCGATTAGCAAACGTGCGCTTCAACAGAGCCGACAGACGAAGCTTACGGAAGCATACATCGACCTCAATACCGACACCGGAACCATCGTCGCAGCCTCAAGCAGAAGGTGTCAAAGGGGCCAGCGCCACAATAAGTCAGAATGAAGATGAAGATGATATTGAATCTCCAACTGCAAAACGTCGCAGAACCTCTTCAAAAATGCCTCGTCAGACCACGTTGACTCCACGGAGGTCAGCTAGGCTTCACTATCAGTCTCCTGTGCATATTAGATCAGTCTCTACTGTCTCCTCGGCATCAAGTCAACGTCTTCATTCAGTCGAGATCCCAAGTCCAACTCCTTCCCGCCGTACCCGGTCTGGAAACGCACAGAAAGTTCCATTACCGTCCAGGCCATCTCCACGAAATGGTACAGCCCTGTCTGAATTTGGCTCGCCAGAAACAAGTGGGGATGATGACGATATGATAGCTACCAAGCCTGCTACACAGCGACGCCGCGCAAGACGATCACCAGCTGCTAAGGATGATTTTGTGGTTCCGGACAACACTGATATTGCACCTTCCACTGATGGAGACGGTGTTCCGACAACACCTTTAGGGCAACGAACGCCGAATCGAATCAACCAAACTCCCAGAAGTCGTCGACTGAAAAGCAGGCGCGAACATCAAGAACTTGAAGAAGATTTACAGGATCTTCAGGATTCAAATTCTTCCTGGATGCAAAGCTCCCGAACTCGCGGCGCTCCTGTAAACAAAGAACGTGAGCGGCGGAGAGAGTACATAGAAATCTTGAAACGACGGCGCGCAGGAGCAAAAGAGCCAATACAGCTTGACAGTGAGGACGAAGAGGAAGCAGGAGACAATGGGTACATTGCAAACTCTATCCCGAAAGTGTCTGCAGCGGTTTTCGGGCACGATCAGGAGTCCTCATCGGAGGAAGATGACATCCCTCAAAATCCTGATCTGGATAGCTACGAGGATGATTTTATAGCTTCCGAAGAGGAAGAAGCTCCAATCGATCGCCTTGGCCGCCCTCACCCTGACATACCACTCGAGTTCACATCTTACGCAAGTGCCAAACCACGAGAATTGTTCATCCATGTTATCGAATGGCTGGTCAAGAATAAGATAGCACCTGCTTTCTCACGCCATGATGCACTCTGGAAGCTGGCATTCACGAAGATCAAAGATGAAATAACCGCCCAGGCAGGCTCTCGACTCAAGTCAAGTGCCTGGACGGAGCTCTTCATGAACGCACTTAACGCGCGTCCAGGCCTGACAACCACGGAATTATTTCAAGGCGAAAACTTCCTGCGCGGCTGTGACGCCTGCAATAAAGCCAAACATCCTGCGAAGTACGATTTCGTCTTCTCAGGCTCAGCATACCACCACGACTCGCTCGAACCCGTAGATCCAGACTCCTCGGAAGCCGAGGCCGAAGCCGACCACGACAACGCGAGCGTCGACTCTCGAGGCCACACTCTCCCTCCGGCTGACACGCATTTCTTCCTCGGCCGCTACTGCGCCGCCAACGCCGAACTCGCCCACAAATTCACCCACTGGAAATACAACCTCAACGAAGATCTGATGCAGTATCTCGACTCCCAAGGCGTCCTCTCCGCAGAAGAGATTGTGCGCCGCGAACGCTCAAAAGGTGGACAGCGCAAACGGGAGAAGGAGGCAGAGGAGATTGTGGATCAGATGAAAGCTACCGGTGTGATTGATGACCTGTGGAAGGGGTTCAAGGCGGATCTGGACGATGCGCGGATTGGCATGGAGGGGCATGATCGGAAGGGTGCGAGGGGCAGCAGGAGGATTGGCAGTGTCAGGGTGCCGGTCAGTGATGTGTTGAGGGTGGAAGATGATGGGCTAGAGAAGGTCAGAGAGAGAGACTACAGAGGGACCAGGCATCGGGACAAGCCGAAGATGTTCCCAAGCGATGATGAAGGGGAATGAAACTTCGGGACTCAAGGACATGATCATATTACGACGATACTCATGCTGAACGCGAGCGGAGCTAGATAGAAAAACTTTGATGCCATTTCCAAACGAGCATTGCGAAATTGCTCTGTATGATTCTTAGCACAATCTGGATTCCTGTGATCCACAGGTACACAACAAAAAGACACGTTTTTCCTGCCCCTTGAAACCAACACAATTGCGCGCTGCTTCTGCTTGAAGTTTGAGCCAATTGAAGCTTTCGTGTCGTCTAGCTAAGTGAGTACTCTACAGTCTATCTTTCCTTCTTTCTTTCTCTCTTTCTTTCATCTGTGCAATGACGGAGGTTACATGTGTGTGGCGAATGACATGAGCGCTTGGTCTCAGCTGAGCGGAGCGAGCTATCCTCTTGCGTAGTCCAGTCTTGAATGCGCTCGTCTCAAGCAGCCATACCCAACCTGCCCTTAACCCAACCAATCACGCCCTTCCGACGAGGAGGAGGCGGCTCAACAGACACGCTCTCCCTCTCCCGTTCCTTGCGACTCTTTCTAGACTCGTCGCCCTCAACACCATCCCCTTCCGTATCTTCCCTTCCGTCCTCGTCCTCGTCCGCCCACAAAGTCCTCGACTGACTCCCCCGCATCCACTCCTCGTCTCCACCCATCTTCATCCCGCCCATGACGTGCACGCTCCTCTCCACAAAGACGGGCGGAGCGTCTCCACTTCTTCGGCCCGGACGTCGCGATACGGCCAATCTCTCCAGTTCGCCGTGGAAGACAATTCCGGGCCATGAGGCTGCGAAGGTAGCGTCGCGGAGGTCGGACCAAAGGATGCGCACGGCTGGTGGTGGTGGTGGTGGTGGTGGTGATGATGATGATGATGATGATGATGATAAGGAGGATGAGGATGGCTCTGTTGTTGGAGAAGTGGTGACGGCCCTGGTATCAGATTCTTGTGCCCCTTCTCTCTCTTCCGCATTCCCACTCTCAATCTCTTTAGCATCCCCTTCCCTGCCAGGCAAGGTCACTCTCGCCCTCCCAATCCTCGGATCAACAATCAGCCCGCCATGTTCGAGCGAGATCCTCCTCGCCGAATACATGTCCAAACCCCACTTCGTGCCCTCCTGCACCTTCCTTGTCATATCTATATACCACTGCTCCCTCTTCTCCTCCTTCCTCCACTCCGCCCTCAACTTCTTCGTCCGCCTCTTACTCGCCTCCTTCAATCGCTCTGCCCTCCGCTGTTTCATCAGCTCCTCCACAGAAGCCGCGGAGCGCAAATGCCCCTCCCGCTGCATCAAGTCCACCACAAACGCCACATCAGCCACAGAAGTGGCTTTCTGGTTCATCAACTTCCTTGCACGCTCGCGTCTGTGGGCCATCTGTGCATGGCCGTCTGGGTATGGTTTGCCTTCGTGTTCTTCGTCCCATTTCTCCTCTTCTTCCCTAGTCATTTTTGCTCGCTGCTCCTTCGAAGCGGTTTGGATGGTGGTCTTGATGAGGTAGTCGGGCGGCTGGAGTTGGCGTTGCAGGGATAGCTCGCGCAGCTGGTGGTAGGCGAGCAGGCCGGAATAGGAGGATGGGAAGTGTAGTGAGAAGTAGGGGGTCCAGAGGTCGCGGCGAAGGGAGGCAGGAACCGTCTTTTTGCCATGGAAGACGAGTTGGCGGAGGATGTTGTTATTCTGCGAGAAGTGGGTTCTGGGTCAGCAAGATAGCTTCCCCAGTAACAAGTCGAGTTCATCAAGACCAACAAGATAACGAAGCAGGAAATGAGATCTCGGAAGAAGCGCATACATCCATAACCCTTGTCAAACTGTACACCACCTGCCCCGTCCCAATATGCGCATACGCATACACATTCTCCCCATGGTGCTCATGCCTCAGTGCTTTCTCTATTCTCCGGCTCTCCTTGAAACGTTCAGCCTTTGCGGCATTGGAGGACGCGTCGCGCGGTTTGCCAAAAGCCTCAGGTTTGGGGGGTGGAGGAGGTTTCGGCTCGGAGCGGTTGATGGTACGGGCCCTTGGTGCTAGAGAAGACTTCCTGAGTTGCTGTCGTCGCCGAGGACGCTTTCGCTCGAGCGTTTCTTTTGTGTAGAGCCTTATCTGGGGAGCTTGATGGAGCCGGCATAGAATGAATTGCGGGCGAGGTCTGAGACCTTGGGAGAGTATGTCCATGCTCGGGTGCGGCAAACGATACTTGAACGCCAATGAGGCAGTTGACTCGGACTATCGTGGTATCATGATGCTGCGTGCTCACAGATCATCAATTGATGGGGTTCGTGATGCTACGAAGTAAGTTAGCTGCTCAACTTGGGGGGATATTTCCAGGTAGCTTTGGGCACGTGACATTACTGTACCGTAACCCCGTTTCGCTACCATCAGTCACAACCAGTAATCAGTCACAGTAATCAGTCACTACTCACCCATGCCAGACATACTCCGTACACGCCTTAATTGGATTTCACGAATCAAAATGTCGTCGATGGAACAGATTGTACCTTGTGAGGAGACTCATTTGATGATCAAACACACTTGATCTACCCAATCGCATGCTTATCCAGCTAACCGCCACAATCCATCTCCGCCGTCGCTATGCAGGAACAATATATATTTTGGAATCAGTCATTCGCAGTTGTCAAGATGGTCTTCTGATCAAGGGCTTCGCGCCTTCTGTCTGGTCCTCCTGCCGGTACCCCATCCTGCTGGCATAACCTTCAAATCATCCTTGATCTTCTTTCCCTCCTTCGTGTCCGGCGGCTTGACATCCTCCTGACCCCTGCGAGTCCGATTCCTTCTTCTCTCAGCTAGCATTTCTCTGAGAGCCACCGCATCGTCAGGGTTATCATATCCGAGTTGAGTCATCTGGGGCGCTTCTTCTTCCTCCTGATATTCCTCACGGTATAGTGCCGCATCTCCCAAATCCCACGAAGCTCCAGTGACGCCTCGTTCCTGTGCAAAAGCACGACCAGTAAAGCTACCTCTTCTAACTGCACCAGAACTGTTACGCCTGCTTTCAGAAATCTCGTCCAGAATGACACTGCCAAGTCCGTCAGTGTTGGCACTATCTATCGAGCTGGCACGCGAAGCTCGGACATTGTTTCCCTCCCGAGACGAGTTGGACATATTACTCAGCGCGCGACCCAGTAATCTCCTTGTCTTGTTTTCGCCATTGGACGTCGCAGTCGTCGTATTCTTTGCTTTGCTCCTATTTAGTAGCTCTTTTATGGCCCCATGGATTGACTCTGCTCGCGGAGGTAGGTAAGTCGTTTTCCCTGTTGCGGTTGCTTCCGGTGCTGATGGCGTATCGTCGCCCTGCTTGTGATCTGGCAGGCTGGACTCACCGTCCCCATGACCAGTCAAAGATCGTCTGCGGGGAGACGCGGCTTTCTCGGGTTTTGGTGAGGAATTAGTAGAGATTTCTTGCAGAGGCAGACCAATCCCATCCCCCTCATCATCATTGACACCATTGTCGTGCGCTTCGTGCTTGCTTGCAGCCGCTGCTAGATTCATTGGGGCATAAATCTTGCCCCGAGTCCTGCTCCTGTCCTTATTGGGCTGTGGGCTCGTTACAAATCCTTCTCCAGGTAACAGCTTCGGCTTTGGCGTTTTCGAGGCGGCATGACTGTCACCATTCTTAGGAAGGGCCTCCCGGCACACAGGACTCATTGCAGGACATACTGGTTTTACTTGCTGACTGTGCTCGGCAACTCCTCCTTGGACTGTTGTCCGTGTAGTTTGAGGTCGTGCAGCTGCGGCCGTGGCATTCTTGTCTGAGATGATCTCTTCTGACTTGTGTCCATCTTTGAGCAAAAATGCTTGGAAAGGTTGTAATATTCCCCGCCGGATGCATGTCCAAAGCCATTCAATTGATACTGCTGGTATGTGCCACCCACGCGCATGTCGCAACTTCTCCCCCGAGGCTTTAACTGGATTGCACAGCAGGACTGATATGCCAGTCTTCAAGACCTGGTCGTACTTTGCGCCTAGCAGAACCACAATCTTGGACACGTGGAGGAGGTCGATGTCGGCTACGCCAGTCGAATTGATGACGAGATTTTCGAAACCAGGGATTGGGAAAACCTGAATCGGCCTACTCAATATATGATCATCGGGCTCGAATAGCTGTTTGGACTGCAAGCAACGTTCCGCCCACATGTCTGTGACGACTTCTGGTGGGGAATCTAGGTGCTTCACAGAAGGTATATCAGAGAATGGATGCGAGTGGGGGACGATGAGAAATAGCCTGTACAAGTGGGAAGTCGCACTAGAGGCTGAGTCTGTCAGAGATTCAAGTACTTCTCCATCATTGCTGAGGATGTGCTCTCGCAAAATGGATGCCTTAACAGCGTGTTAGCAAAGCCTCTTGTTGCATAGGAGCAGACTTCCCTTGACATACTTGTCTCGCAGTAAAGCCGAAAAGATAGATCCCCAGCCCGGCAAATATTCCTCTTCGATTACACTGTTGATCGACGACAGCCAACTCTTTTGTGGCCTGTCTTTTTGTGTCATCCTCCGCCGCTGTACTATCGGTGGCAAACGATTTCGGCTCCAATACCCCAGGTTTCAGGATTGGGAGGGATTTTGAGGGCCGCAATTTTTCGTTCCTTGCCGGATCTTCGCCTGGCGGGCCACTTACAATTTCACTCCAAAGACTTTCACTCTGGCTTCCCAATTTCACACTGGCTGTTCTTCTTAGCTTTCGAGGCACATCTGGTGCGACCTCCTCATCACGGGGGCGTTTGCCCAGCTGGATAATGGCTCTGGCTTGCCGATTCCATGCTCCTACCCCGAGCTTGTCCCTCGCGATAGTGGGATGATAGAAGTCTTCCTCGAGGGTCATGCGACGCTCGATACTGTCTTCCAGCCACTTGAGATCGACAACTTTGACTTCCCATTGTGTAGCATATTGATATTTCTTTCCCTCTGGTGCAAATGCAATGAGATGGGTGACTTCTTTTGTAAGGTCTCCACGATATTCCCCTCCATTGGCCGAAATTTCTTCCTGAAGCCGCGCTCTGAAAGTCACTACAGCCCATCATCAGACACACCTTCTACCAGAACAGAGATGCTCACAGTCTTCAAATCCGGTGACACATATCCTCAGACCAGCAAATGTGGGTAGTCGGTACTCTTCGTCCAACGCTTCAAGGTTGAACTCGTCGCCTTGCATCCAGGCCTGCCGCACAGCTTCGACCCATTCTAATTGGAGGACCTTGACATCTTCTCTTTCTCGAGCAACGTATTTGTACTTGGGGGTGCTACTGTCCCCAACTATCAAGTGGGTGACATCGGATGTTAGATCCAGCTTGTGTTCTGCGCCCATCTGGATGGCAACTTCGGCCATATGAGTCTACTTCGAGTTAGAAGATACTCCATACGGCGGTTTTCTGTGTGATAGCGTACTCTTTGCTCGGGTGGGATGGATGTGCAGCAAAGCACAGCGCCGCTGAGGGGCCTCTCCATATTGTCTGCTGTAACCTTAGTTAGTCAACGAGACTTTCAGATGAAGAGTCACAGACTCCTGCCCCCATCTTTGCTGCTCATACTCGTTTAGCAATATTGCTGTTTTGTTCATCAATGCTCAAGCCTGCCACATCATGAGCTGTACATAATACTACTAACTACAGAGTAGTAGTACTAGTTAGTACATAGTAAGTCGCGTGCTTGAACGCGCCTCCGCCGCAGCCTCGAGTCTTGGCAGCCATTTCCCCGTGAATATCGAAAGCTTGGCGCTCGAAATAGTGGTCCCACTGCCCTGGCAGGCGGCAATCATACAGCATTAATTGTTCTGTGCGATGCGTTTCACGCACGAGTGTCTATTTGAAAACGCTGCATACGTCAGGCGCTGCTCCTACACAAAATTTTGGTATATTCCAAATGAAAGGGGAAACAACTCGAGACCATGTCACAGTTCATGCAGCAGGCCTGGCTCTATGAGAACTCGGTTGGCGACCTGTTCGCCCCCCTTCCTCGTATCCGCGTTTCCCCGTCCTTATTTACCTATGGCCACAGCATACTACTAGTAATAGTACTCTCGGGTATTTCTTGGCTGGTCAAGGGACAAGTCCAACCTTCTCCCACGGAGCAATACTGGCAGATTCATTAACTAGTGGAGCAATCACAATTCAAAGGGCATTTGGACCAACATGCGGCATATTCTTGACTACGCCCATGCAGGCCTGAAATGAGGATCATCCATTGCAACCACAGCATCTATGCGCAAGCCATCAGTCTGGAGTAGTTTATCTCGGAGATGCAAGAAATCATATTAAGCCTACCACACTGGTAGTTACTTAGTCGTTCCAACAGGGAGCAGCATCAGCAACGGGGCCGACGGTGGTACGCAATATGTATGACGATCCATCCGTGTTGGTTGGCGAGTCAGCAAATCTCAAGCACTCCAAGAGACACTATCCAGAGCAATGCCACCTTCTCCACGTACCACTTCCTTGATTCCTGAGCCTGCTTCTCTCTCTTTAGATGCCCGTACCTGGTATACATGTGTAATCACCTATTGGCATTTGCATTCTGGTATGTAAGAAATTGCCAGTTGTGATTCTTGCAGAGAAACGGTCGGTAGGACAGGACAAGGAATGCTGCTGGTTTTGTGATTATCATTATTATCCCCAATTGACCTTGACGCGATCTCAACCTTCAAGTTGAGTGATAGTTAATGATCTCGGCGTTGCGGGTGCTAATTTGGCTGTTTAACCTAAGTCAGCCTGGTCCTTCGGTCCTTCGGTCATCATCATCTCATACAGTACCAAGTCTCGATCGGGCGCCAGAGGATGCCACACAACTCAAGAAACGCTCCAGAGTCGGACAGACAACTGTCCATCTCTACAACATAAATGCTGGGATTCCTCGTCATAAATAAACATTGCTTCGAGTTCCTTCGTTCTAGAAGCTTGTACAATATCTCTGTCGTCTACAGCCATATTATCTGATACAGTACGGGGAGGGATGAGAGACACAACCCACCATCGGAGACACTCTGGATACCCGCATTCTCCTTGCTTGACCGCTCACTTCGCAATTGCACTCCTTTGTTTGTAACTGTAAGTCACTCTTCTTGAATTCACTCCTTCGTTCCGTTCAAGGTCTCACTGCCTTTTGCCATGAATGCAAAAGTCTTTGCGCTGCGGAATCCATCATTACATCTGGAAACAGTCTGCGCATCAGAACCCACCAAGAGTGTACCACAATGTTTTGCTTCGCAGGCCGGCGGCCAGTTACGGAACGTGCACCACAAGATGACTTGCTGACGCTCACTAGACCAGGTTTTCAGCAGGTTCGTTCTTCACAGGGCCGTTTATTCTACCTTCCAGCATTTCCGACCAATTCTACTCCTACCTACCCTGGGTTTTTTCGAAGCCGCACACCTCGATCGACCTGTCTCTGCATAACATCGGTGCGTGCAGACGCCCGCAGCCGAAGACAGCCTCTAGGCGCAAGCCGCACAGCTCAACTACCTTTCAGAATTCTGGCGCGTTCACGAGAAAGTGCTAAACGTCTCCTTCGTCTCAACTTATCCCAGCCCTCTTCCCAGCCGGTTATAATCCCAAGTGCAGCTCAGTCGCTGTCAGAGGGCGCAGCGAGGTCAGGGAACGTGCAGGATATGGTGTCTGCCGATGGAGGAAGGCACTCTCCAGTCCGGAGAGAAAGGGGTGGATCCAGTGTAGGCGGGCCTGTGAGTGGCATGGTACATCGGCCTCAGCTTGTCGAAGAAGCTCGGACAGCATCATATCAACCAAAACACACTGAGACTTCTGCTCCTGTCAGCGCACTCTGTGATGAAAAGCCTATTGCGTCTGGAAATGGCCTGTCAATCTCAATATCCCTTGCCGAGCCGGTGCTGTACCTCCAAGGTTTTGATCAAAACGATTCCACGAGTGGCACTACTACCATGCTTCGTGGAAGCCTCCATCTACATGTGACTAAACAGGCGAAACTCAAATCGATTTCTCTGAATTTTAAGGGCAGGTCTGACACGGAATGGCCCGAAGGGATTCCTCCCCGAAGGACAGAATTCCGTGATACAGAGATCATCATGAATCACACATGGCCATTTTTCAATGCGCAGTTTCCGCATGCTGAGAATAGCTATTGTGCCGATCTCGTACATTTGGCAAAGGGCCCAGTGGTTTCCACCAAGGAAGTCGGTGTAACGGCTTCGTCATTCGATCTGTTTCAACGTACTGCGTCGCCACGACCGAACGTGAGCTCGCGCGAAGCTAAAAGACTCTCTTTGCAATTGAACCAGTCGAGAAGTTTCGGCAAGGGCGACAATATCAACGGTGGCCCTACAGTAGCTCAAAAAGGCTTCAAGGTCTTCCACCCTGGTGATTATGTCTATAATTTTGAGCTCCCGGTGGACTCGCGACTTCCCGAATCTATCAATGTTGAGCTCGGAAATGTCAAGTACGAGCTGGAGGCTCTGGTAGAGCGATCTGGTGCTTTCAGAGCAAATCTGGTAGGAACCAAGGAATTGACCATGATTCGTGCACCGGCGGAGGGGTCATTGGAACAGATCGAGCCCATTGCCATATCACGGAACTGGGAAGACCAACTCCATTACGATATCGTCATTTCTGGCAAATCTTTTCCATTGGGTGCGTCTGTACCGATTGCCTTCAAACTGACACCACTTGCAAAAGTACAGTGTCATCGAATCAAGGTTTTCGTCACAGAGAACATCCAATATTTTACTGCCAACAAGCGCGTTCACCGTCTAGAACCAACCCGAAAGGTGCAACTATTCGAGAAGCGAGCGGATGGTCCAAGTGTCTCTGCTTATCCAGGAAGTTCCATACGTGTTACAGCAGGGGGTGGTATTGCTTGGGATCATCGAGAAGCAGCCGCTCGAGGGGAGGAGAATGTTCCAAGAGATCCATCGAATCTGCTGGGTAACCTTGAGCACGATAGCGCCAGTATCGGTCCTACAGAGATGGAGTTTAGCGTCAAGCTTCCCAGCTGTCATCAGATGAAGGATCGAGCCAAAAGTGAGAAAATCCACTTCGACACCACCTATCAGAATATCCAGGTAAACCATTGGATCAAGGTACGGCTCCTTATGCATTCGACCATGTCTTTCGAGCTAATTGAGGACATAGATCGTCATGCGCTTGTCGAGAGCAGACGAGAACGATTCTTCGAAGAGAAGGCATTTCGAGATCTCGATAGACTCCCCATTTCACATTCTCTCGTGTCGAGCCACAGCAGCAAACACTTATCTACCAGCCTATACAGCTGGTGGAGTGCCAGCCACACCTGCTGATGAATTCGAATGTGGATGCCCTGGTGCGGCAATGAAAAGACGTAATACTCCTACCACTCTTCCAACTACAAATGCCTCCACCACCAGCCTCGACTCTATCCCAGTATTGCCTACACGAAGCTGGACGAACAGTACAGCGGGTCTCACGGCTCCAAGACCTGCTCATGTGCATGACCCTAGTACTGGTGTACAAGATCCGAATTCAGGTGCTCCACGACCCATGCATCTTTTACGCAATCCATCCTTTAATCCGCCGCCTTTCAACGAGGAAGAACCACCACCACCTGTGATGACGCCTCCACCCAACTACGAGAACATCGTCAATGGTGATTCTAGACACGCTTTGGCAGATTATTTCTCCCGACTGGCTGACGAAATGGGTGATGACGACGAGCAAGAGGATAGAGGAAGAGTTGATATTCCTTTGACACCCGGTGGAAGAATTAACCGCAGTATGGATGCAAGCAGGACATGGTTGCCACTTGGTGCGCCTGCTGGAGTGTGAAAGTAGATGAAGCATGACTTATGAACATGTGTGGTACATTATTGTATGTATGAAGCATTGGATAGAAGAACGGAGGGGTGGAGAGGACTATTCTTTCGGCAGCATAGCGGTTAAGGTTACTTTGGTGGTGAGGAAATGTGATGTAAATATTTATGAACCAATACTCGTGGGCTCGCGAATATGCTGTGGGCAAGAGTAGTGCCCTCGATCTGCAGGTGTATTGATACCAATATTTACCATCTTCAACAAAGCTCTAAACCAGGTTGGTTCCGTTCCTCCTACGGGTGCTTGATGGCAGTTGGCGCCAATTTAACCCCGCCCCCATCTCAATGCAAGCATATCCAGTGTGGCCACTGACTACGGAGTACAGCATGTTAAGTCTCTGCAGCACAAGACCACTTAATGACAGCAGCATATGCTTCCGTGTGTAGCGTGGAAGCCTCCATGAAAGCAACAGCATCGCCCTGAATGATATACAGGTACCATGCCGGTTGAGATCACCCCCATCAAGCATGAAGACATCCCAGGGGCTGCCAGGTGCATCCAGAGTGCTTTCAGCTCCGACCCATATTTCAAATGGGTATTTGATCCCTCAAATGTAAGGGACCCAGAACTTGTACTCAACCAACCATGCTCAAATGAAAGGACCTAAGAAGACTGGATAGTATAATAAAAACCGCAACATCTCCTCTCTGACTCTTCGCTGTGAATGGGGCATTCGAAATGCACTCTTCTACGTGGCCAAAGATACCGATTCACAAGAACCCAGCAGAGTCCTGGGCGTCTCCATGTGGCTGCCTCCGAAATCGGCCAATGAGCCCGAATCTTGGTCATCTTTCCTCGGCTCCTATCTCCTCTGGTTCAAGCAAGGTCTCCTGAACGTCCAACACCTCGGTCGTGGCGGGCTGATATATCGTCGCTACCAGATCTGGAAGCGCAGTCAAGCCGAGGCCCAACGAGAGATCTGGACAGATCCTAACGGGTATTACTTTTGCAACATCGTCGTGGTGCATCCCAAAGAGCAGGGAAGGGGGTTGGGGAGGAAGCTCATGGAGATCGTTACTGATCAAGCCGACAAAGAGGGGAGAAGATGCTATCTGGAGAGCTCGAGAAAGGAGCCGAACGTCGAGATCTACGGGAAGATGGGATTCAAGGTTCTAAGGCGTATGATCTGTGAGGATGATGGGGAAAAATGCGATCTGTATTGTATGGTCAGGGAACCACTTCAAGGCGACAGGCAATGAGTGACCGGGAGAGTGATGATATATTTACTTATTGGCACATTCTACACGGTAGTGACTCCACAACAATCTGTAGCCATGTGTTGAACTGTTTAAGCGAAGTTTGACCATGCGTTTCATATACGTTTTGTTACAGATCTGATACGCGTTTCGCATGAGATCCGCATGTATTTTTGGTATCTGCGTTTCACGCTGAGCAGCATCTGTACGTATAAATACGTGCTCTTCGCACTCATTTAGATAGAACAACTTGCTATTTCAACACTGATCCGTCGATTAGTCAGCAAGTTCATCACCATGTTTCGGATGCCACCGACCATGGTATTACGGACTAGGATCTTACATAGCCCGGCGGACAGGCTTCGTGGTCTGTTGGAGATCAAATACCGATGCGCTGATGCGTTTATGCAGGAGCACAGGCAGACAGAGCCTTCCGGCTTCCACGAGGCTTAATACTTACCAAACATTACCGAAAGCTGTTGCTCAGACATCTTTTCATTCAAAGCCACGAAGAGTGAAGCCGTGCTATGTTTACCTATGGCTTTTCTCGATCTGCCAAACGAACTCATACTCAATATCGTTGAGCATCTTGAGCAGCATGATATCTGTCCCATTCTTCGTGTTGACGGACGCCTTCATTCTCTCCTTGCAGACTACCTGCTTCGCTACAATATATGATTTCACAAAGGCAGAGCTCTAATATGGGCAGCGAGGAAAGGGCAGTTGGCATTGGCTCGCAGATTGGTCAACTTGGGAGCCGATGTCAAATCGTCAGACCGACATCTGCAAGCATGCGCTTGCTCGACCCACCCTCCTTCACGTCGCAGCCAGAACAGGTAACCTCGCCATGGTGAAACTGTTGCTGAGATCGGGGCAGACCCCCGTACAAGATGGATAGCCTGGGTCGTGCAGCGCTCTTCTGGGCTTTCCGCGGAAAACATGAACTGATCGTAGCAAGATCTCTTCGAAGATTTCGAATTTGTGCACATTCATCGTCGATGTGAATCATACTACGGTAGGAGGCATAAGTATTGTTAGCGTGAGCTAGTGATAGCTAGTTTTGGATACAAGAGTCGGGCGTCCTCCGGAGCTTCTGTAAGTCTCGACCCCTTATCAATCATGATGATTGGTTCTGTTCTGAGAACGTTGCAGACTAATGTCGTTTCAGTAAAGTGTAATCCGTCAAGGCTGTGTAAAAATACAGAATTTCTGGCTTGAAGCTAACAATACTTATGCCTCCCACCGTAGTACTCTTACCCTCTTACACATGGCATGTTCCTCTGGTCTTGCAAGTCTGATCAGGGACTACATTGAAATCGGCATGGATGTTGGTGCAAGGGATGAAGGCGGGAAGACTGACTGACAATGGAGCAGCGTAGAAGATGTCGCAGAGTCAATCCGTTGTGATGGACAAGGACGTCAAGGCATAGAAGAAGTGGTGGCAACGCCTCCATACACTTGGCAACTTCTGCTTGTGGTGCCATGCTGCGTAAATGATGCCCAGTCTCCCCCATATTATGGTCTACAAGACAACGACTTATTCCGAATATAGCAACTTACGTGTTTGCCTTGTAAACAAGTATATGAGCGCAGCCTGTGGCTACCTAACGCTGCTTGAATTTCAGATGGAGAGCGCGATGCAATGCAGGGATATTATCCTCACTCGGCCACGGAACTCGACCGCTCCTGACCCATCATGTCCGGTTGCTTGTACAACTGACAGGCGAGACATGATAATTTTGGCTCATCTAGAGGTGGCCGGGCGTTGTTTTGAGATCAGGTAAGGCGGTTGAGCTAGCATAGACTGGATACAGGTTGCTGTAGATGGTATCACGGATCTATCAAGACGAGGTAGATATGAGCGCCACAAGCATGGTAGTTGTCAAGCAGCAGGTCAAACTCCAGTCATTCGTCCATAATTGGTAATGGCAAGTTAAAGCAAGTGGTGAAGCTGTGCACCATAACTTAGCTGTGACATGGTAAAGCCAGATGTCATGTCGCCAGATGCGAAGGACAGACTCATGGACTAATCCCAAGATGTCCAAGTCCTGCCGCTTGCTTAGCGATAGTGACTCATTTCAACCGATTTCATTGGCTGTACTTCTTTTCCAAGCCCAATAGGCCTAGACTGGGCGCGAGCTGATGCACAATTCACTGGCCTTGGCACTGCTCTGTTCCCGTTTTAACTCCCGGCCTCAACCTCGACCTACCCAGCACAATCAAGCCTGGCCATTCGCAAAGCTATGCATCAGCATTCAATGCAGCGCTTGCTATCCAATTGCTCTGGAAGGATACCAAAAGGGTGACGTCGTACTTCTGACATTGCTTCTGCTGCCCTTCAATGCATCAGCAGGACATTACGTCTTCAACTCGCCTGGAAATGCTATTCTTGTCCTCAGGTGTATCAGCATGCTCCTGCCAATATGTCTGGCGTATCAGTGACAAAGAGAAAATTTGCAACCTTCATCTCCGGAACAGTGTGTCTTGAGGCAGGCGGTAAGTTGTTAATGCCATCTCTCTGTTCTTGGAACAGTCTGCTGCTGCTCGTTCATCCTCAGCTCTACCATCATCCACTTGTCCCTTCTGCTGTCATCCAGGACACTTGAATACTCTTTCGCCCGCACCTGCTAGAGAAATAAAAGAGGTTGTCTTTTCTTGTTTCCCATTGACCTCTACTCTTCCAAGTCGAGCCTGGAGACACATTAATGACCAATGAACCCTACCGGAATGGATCATCTACCCTTCACAAGGGAGACACTGGATCACGGGACTACCTTGTCACCTTCCTTTCATTGTACTTTCCCTCAAAGAACTTTGTACCCTGTCCCAGAGTATGAGACGGAGAACTTCGCAGGGACGAAGCCGCTTCAGTATAACTCCTCCCCAGTGCCACCCAGTGTCAAGAACGCGCGTCAGAGTCAGCTGCGGAACGTAAACAACTTCTCCATGTCATCAAACCATCCTCAATCGCACGTATCGAGGGCATGGTTTAGGCGTATGATGCAGAAGCCTGGCAATCAGAACTCTGGGCGCAGAGCCCATCCCTGGAGGACACCTGTTTACCTGATATTTCATGTCGTCAGTTTGGCGGCAAGTACAGCAATTGTGGCACTCATCGCTCAAGCTCTCATTTCCCATCAAAAGCTGCGTCACATTCGACAATTCAGTGGTGCTGAAAATGCATGGCCCAGGAAGATGTCACTTACAGCCAGCAATATTCTTCTCACAGCAGCCGGCGTAAACTTGCTCAAGGCTACTACCTGCTCTGGCATCGAAATCCATCATAGAACCAAACCGTACAGCAATAGATTTCTCATTCTTTCAACTGCATGCTCCGCATTGATGGCTAGCATGTGGGTACCTGCGTCTGTGTTTGCGGAGATAAAGAGGCAAAGTGATAATGACTTTGTGACCTGGGCATGCGCAAGGTCAGATACGGCATTCAATCAGGTCATTCCATACGGGGCAATCTGCCACGAAGAGGTATGTTGCCACTTTCACCTTGACCTCCAGATTAGATATTGACAACAGCATAGGTGGTGGCTTCTCAACTTGCGCTGGCCGTTCTTGTGATAGAGATTGTACTGGCCACAAGCTTCGCTGTACAGGTCATTTTGACAAAGTCTCGTCCAGCGAAATCATGAAGCTCGGAGAAGAAATGAAATTGATGATCAGTATGAGCTCAAACACAAACTTAGAGATACAAAGGCATACGGAAGCCCACTTGAAAAAAGAAAGGAATCTATGCAAGCGGATGGGCGAAGGCATGGAGTTAGAGATCAAAGAGTGACCTGGAATGAAGTACTTATGCTCATGCTTCAGACTGCTCCTCCTGCAGAAACAAAATCGAAGTATCAAGCTCATGCTAGAAGGTCAACCGCCAACCAGACGTGTGCAAAGAACACTCGCCGGCCAGAAAGAGATGCGCTAGTCCACTTCCAGCATTACAGGAACATTCGGGTGTTCATGTGCACCTTTTTAACTGAGAGCACAAGCACCGCTTGCAGTCGATCTTCACCACCTGCAAGATCTGCTTCTATCTGTTCATTTATCTTCAGAAGTTCACGCTTTGGCCCAGCCTCAACCGCTCTTCATCGTTCTGCTGCTGAGATACTGAGATACGTGATCTCATCACCAAACATCTCCCTTCCTGGTACTATGGACGAAGAACTGCCTCTTTCTTCCTCTCCCCAAAAGAGGAACCCTGAGGAAGAGGTCCATGAGATCGTCGAGCAGCTTCGTACTTCTGCCTATCTCAACCCGATCGTGGTAAATTTCCTGAAGGAACGTCGTCAGAAAGACCTGTTCTACGAAGTTATTGCTCGTCAGGCAAATTTGATCAAGTCACGCAGTCAATCTTTCGATGATGGCCATATCACCGTCTACGACAAAGTCCTTCTTTGCCTCACAGATAATGGGAATCGATTCGATAATGCCGCAGCGCAAGAGTATTTCTGTGAAGAATTTCTGGGCATAAGCAAGGATGGCAACCCTATGGTGGCTGAAAGGATCCTCCGGCATCATGTCATTCTCAAAGCCATTCTAGCCCAAGGTAAGGACTCTTCTCCAACTGTTTGCCCCTTGGGATACCCTTGACCGATTTCTCACCTCTACATCCTAGCTGCAAATCCCGAGGGCCAATACGGTGACAAATACTCCTCCGAAACGAAATATGGTCAGAGAGGCCAAGATATAGGAGAGGCCGAAGCTGAAGGAACAAAGAAAGATACGATAGAACACAAGATTGAACGACTGACCTCTGTCTACCAAAAAGCCAAATCTGACTTTGAAGCTGTCCCGTATCGTGACGGTATTGCAAAATTGAACGCCGCTCGTTTCCTCCGTGACACAGCCGAGAACACAGTCATGTACTTCCGCGACGTAACCAAGTCTGGAGATGGCCATGATGTCAGCAGCAAAATGCAGGATCTCATCGCCGAGCTTGAACAAACCTGCAAAATGGCCCAAGCATCGGTTGTCACATTGAGCGGTGGACGCAAGAGAAAATTCGATAGACATGACTACGAAGTTGCGTCACGAGGCGGGAAGGGTACTGATTCCCGCGGACCTTCTAAGCGGCGTGGAAGTGCCAGCCACACTGGCGATGGAGGAGATCGAGGCCGCATCTCTAAGAGAAAAAAGGGCTCTCCAAGACCCGATCGCCGTCGCAATGTGCAACCGATTGCTCAACGCTCAGGATTCTCACGAGAATATCCCCTCAGTGAGCATCGTCCATTCGGATACACCCGCCCCGTCGATTCGTACCAGCCTGGAAAGGAGGAGGAGAAGGGTACAAGCCACAGCCATCCCTACCCGCAGCGCCGCTACCCCGAAGGATCAGCTTCACCCAACCGTGGTTACGAAGGCCGCGGCAGGAAGCAACGCGAAGAAGGCATGTCTGAAGACCCCTCTTTGCGATACGGACGCGGGTTTGGGCAGGAATGGGAGGAGGAGGGGAGGAAGTACTACGGCTATGAGCGTGAGCGTGAGCGTGAACGTGAGCATGGGCATAGTTATGGACATGGTAGTAGTGGATATGGGGGTGGAGGTGGAAGACAGGAGCGGTACTAAGTGGCTTTGGTCGGTCGGTCGGTTGGGTCAATAGAAACTGCAAAACATTGATATCTGCTGCATTCTGGCAGCATAGAGCCCTCCTGGAGTAGCTACGTAGCCAGTCAATGAATGAAAAATTGCTTTACAAAAACTGTCCAAAGTGTCTCAGTCACTTCTTTAAACGATCGTAGCCCCTTTTCTGGTTATGTAAACGGAGGCCTCCTCTGTGATACCTCATGTTCATGAATCATGAAGTCAATGACCTGAGAAATCATACATCTCGGTATTCACGGGGGTGATGATAGTGGTAGGTATGGAGGTCTCCCTCGAATACTATACGGAAGATTATCTGTTATCATATATCTTTCTTGAAACATAACGAAGACCACTACAGGTGACACAAATAGTTGACGGTATGAAAACTACAAATGATGAGTTAACGTAGCTGAACATGTGAACGACTCCTGCAAATTGCCTTTCTATACCAGTTGGTGCATCATACATCATGCTTCACATATTTCTCATCCATCCCGACCCCGTCACGTCATGAACGAGAACTTGAAAACTGAAACGAGGAAGTAACTGAGCAGCAGAAGATAATCCATCCGAACTAAAACATGTCCAAGGTTCACAAGCAGATTACAGGGCAAGCAGCCTCTCGAGCGCTAGATCACAGTTCATTACCGCACGCTGCCCGGATTTTTTAGTTGCCTGATTCATGTCTCCCCCCTATTCGACTTGAAGAATAGAAGTATAAGGTAAAGGAATGGAAAGAAGATAATTCACGATACGTCGTTTTTGCGATAGTCTGCGTGACTGGACCCGGATTGGACCGAACAAATAGGATGCTAAGAGGTTGGTGTGTGTGTGTGTGTGTGGGTGGGTGTTTCCTCCCTGAGTAAGTCGAGTTGGTGGGAATGGTGAGTCTTTCTGTATCAGGGCGGAATGTATGAGGGTCCAAGGGCTTCCTGCTGGTGAGGCAAGGAAAGGTAAGGAGATGGCTCGTGTAGGACTGCTCAGTTATCACGGCAACGCTTTGACTGATGCAGTTTAGTCCATGTCAGAAGATTTTGATGACGGATAATAGATCTTCTCGTTCTGGCGTCAGCATGACCTTCCTCCCGCGGAGGCGAACGCCGAAATATTTCAGTTCAGCCGGATCTAACACAGTGAATAGTCCGATGCGTGTATACTCGTCAGAGGATCTGGCTAGTGGCTGTAGGACTAGGCCTGTCAGAATGGATGATGTGTCGGGCGATTTTGGTCCACATATCAGAGCGAGAAAATAGATTTGTGTGCTCTGCTCGCTATTAGAGTTGCGTGTATCCTCTTTAACGTATAATCTCATGTGGTCATCTCCTATCTTCATCCATCTAGGTCCTAGTACTCCAGGGTATGCACTATGGACGATACACCCTTTGACCACAACGAAGCCACCCGAGAGCTGGCCAGTATGGTCACCTGTGGACGGTGTGATTTGTACATCGAACACATCGATCAACGGAATTGCAGACGGAGTTATTCTGGGCATCAGTACCGGGCCACCGACAGAAGCCCATGACCAAGATGGTGCACAATACTCTGACGATGATTTGGGAATTGGCTTTCGAACGTACCACGCCAAGAACCAGGGAAGTCGAGATCTCCACATGCCGGCGACATATTCATCACCTGTAGCTTCTTGATACAGCTTTGCTAGGCCGGAAAGAGCAACTAGCCTATCAGTGGATCTAGTCAGAGCACACTTGGAGTATGCATTAATGAAGTCAATCCACAAATCGTATGCGAATTCAGACAGTAGTCTATCCTGTACATTTCTGGGAGCTGTTGCGCCAAATAGCGGCTCAAAATCTTTGAGGCGACGACCGAACCGCAACTCTGAGGGGAACCCTTCACATTTTCGGTCGTTAAAACATTCCCAGAAGATTTGCTTCTCGGTGAAATGCAGTACCCTCGGTGCCAGAAGGCATTCTTGGAAAACCCAGCCACGGCTATGGAGGACCGTGTCTGATACCTGACGATCCCAGTACAGTTCGTCGAAGATAAAAAAGTTCTCCTGGGAGAGATTACTGAACTTTAACTGCACCACTCCTGGTTGAATATCTGCAGGGTAGCGAAAGCGGAAGAGTCCGCCATGAGGATCAGAAGAAACGGCGGCAGCAATGTTGCAAGACGAGTTCGCATATACATCTCGCATCGCAGATGATTCTTTGAGCCAGTCTTCTTGGGAGTCCTGCAGAATACACAATCGGTCAATCCACAGGTATCTTATTGAGAATCGGCGGGCAACAGCTATTGAATCTCTAAAGGTCAAAGGAAGATCACGGATGGGTTTTCCAGTGCTGAGCTCTTCTATGTTGGATCGAAGAAGCTTGAGGCATGGCACAGAGCCCCACCGGTAGCTCAAGGTCATATAATTTGGAGACGAAGGAGGCTCTTTGGAGCAGGTACGAAGCGCCCATGTAGAGTCTCCTGAAACACCAATGTCGAGCAGCCGTGTAGGATACCACTTCGGCCTCTTCACCAGTCGGTTGCAGCGGCTGTGACAGGCACGACAAGACATGTACCACTGGTAGGCTAGACCAAGGCTCTGGGTGGATGAAGTCGTTGGCACAATGGTGAAAGACGAAAATTGACTTCTGAATTTTGTATCTGACAATAGGTGAGAGGACGTTTGATTCAGGATCGATCATGGCAGTCAATATGGGCCCTTTCAGGTTATAATTACGGAGCATGCTAGGGGGAAAGAGGTCCGACTACATGTCCGCTAACACTCTAGACACCAGTATTGGAAAGGAGTATCTAATAGACTTCTGCCGGCATAATTGGGAAAGGACGCCTTAGAGGGATTTATGAGACGAATTCCAACATACCTTCGAAAGAAATTAAATGGAGACGTGAAGACTGCCAGAAGGTATCTGCGGGATCGCGATAAAGGACCACGAGGCTTATAGTAAGGCTCCTCTCATCCTCTAGATATATGCGATAACGCATATCTACGCTGACAGCGCGATATTCAACGCAATCATTTTGAGAATCTTTGCCCACACATTTCCAAACGACGGAGCAGACATAGCATCCTTCCCGTACAGCTTCGCATAATTGGTGTAAAGTGTAATGATGCGTCACCAAACTACTGTATGGCTCTTGTCGCAAATGTCTTTCGCCTTCTTCACCACAGAAAATATCTATGCAGGCAGCACACAGTTTGCTGGTGGGCACCATAGCTTTAGGAGGTCTGACAAAGAACGTGAATAGAGTGCTCTTGATGAGAGGAATAGGGCTATGGCTGTTGGACAGCGCTCGGATGGAGAATTATGACAGAGCTCTTGCGATTTTGGGCAGCAATCTGGGAAATACTTACTACTAAGGGGCTTGAAAGTATTCTTAGTTCAGCGATTGTATCTTTACTCGAAAACGTTCTTTGTACAAAATAGCTAAGCCCATATTAGACTATGGATAAATGTTTGACTCATTTAAATGGTCAAGATTAAATCAAGCTTTGCAATAACAAATCACGGCACTACTAGCTGCTACTACTACGGCTACAAGCTAATTTTTGTACCCCCCTGCTGAAAACATTACTATCTGTATGAAACGTACTATATAGGATTAAGTATAAACGCCCAGAAAATGGCCTAGATAAGACTAGTTTCCAAAATTAAGTTTCTATGTCCATTGGCATCTGTAACTGCTTAACATCTTCTCTGCATACACTGAAGCAGCTTCCTAAGATATTGAAAAGACATAGCATCTTATAAAGCATTAATAGCCGCTTGTCGCTTGTTAGGTTTATCAGTATCTATGCAGAATTAGCAGAATACCTACAGAGTAGAATAAGCAGAATTCGCAGGATGAGCAAAATTCATGCAAAATAGTAACAGGGATGCTGACAGGGTGGGGCATGTAAAAAACATGTTTGTAAGATATTTTGACTAGGGGGGGTGGCACAAAAATTCGGCCTGTAGCCGTAGTAGCACCAGCCTAACAATACTTCAGGCCCCCCTCTAGTATGGCGAACGGGAAAACCCACTTGCTATTGGCCAGCTTCCTGGCGGTCTCCCTGCAGGTTTATCGCACTTTGATTGGCAAAACTTGAGCACGACTTCTGAAAGCATTCTGGTAAGTAAAAGTTCTGCGAACATTTCCCCACCTTGCTATACATATTACTCTGAGGATCATCGCAGACACTTATCCCCTAGTGGTCGTCTCTATGTCAGAAGAAAATTGTGAGGCAGGGCCCGATCGGAATCTCTACTCGCCAGGTTGCAATCTCTCTAGCTGTCCCGATCTCCTCGTGGGCAGTCTCAAGAAATCAAGTTAACCCTACGCCATATATCGCGCATAGCTAGCTGTTTGTATCCGCGGACTAAGCTGTGTCCCTACAACTGCATCCCCCAGAAGCTCTGGTATTGCTATACTCTCTCCTCTTCTCAAGAACCTACGCCTTGCAACCATTGTGTGGTCAAACCGCATGTCCTCTGGGTATAGCAAACAAGTAAGATGCTGACGGTACACATGCTCCGCTATTGAACCAGTATGTGCTGGAGAACTCATCATCGAGATGGGCGATATTGAGCTTCCGAACTGCCGTCTCGGTGTCTCCCGGCTGCTTCAGTGCTTGCTAATCACTTTGACCATATTATGCGCAGCATGCACCTTTTCGGAGTCATACGCCCTTCGTCCGGAGGCGACCCTATCAAGCGCTAAGTGCACCGTAGTAGTGTACGCTTCGTCAAGCCTGATCACGCCCAGGATAAGATCTTGTATCAATTCATTTTCCAGCGGTTTTCCATGCATACCACGTGCGGAAGAGACAGCTACGTTAGCTGGGTCTAGTTGGGGGTTAACTTATGACTACTCGAAGAAGACCAGCTCATGAGTAGGTTTCATACACTCTCCTAGCAATATCCCATCCAGTCTGACAGGGGTTCTGCCCCATCATTGGTGCACAGGCCGGAGCGTCGTGATAGCTCCCAATGTAGTTCTTTGACCCGCTGTCAACGTTCCCATGACAGTATCAATTATTCCCAAACTGCGAAAGGTATCATAGCAAGAGAAGACGGGCACTTTCTTTTGCGACATAGTTCGCATTCGCTCTCGTGCAGCTTTGATTACACTGGCATCATGTGAGAGGAGGGAGACTTCTGTGTTGACTATTCCAAGACGAGTGAAATAATCGATGTACATTGATCTATAAACTCGCCCTGCCCTTGTGGTCGCAATGCAATGTAATAAAGAGCTATGAATTCCTAGTCTATGGCTCCCTACCCTAGCTATGCTGATTTGTGCCTCTTTTCTAGTCTTGCTCTTGATGTAGCCGGTCGCCACCGATTGACCCTATTTGGCGTACACCGAGCTCCTTGTGATCTTCTCACAAGTTTGGTTCCCCTGATCACTAATCCTGCCAACCGAATTCCTCCTTCTGCACCATGACTCACGCATACTTGTCCCACTCACTCCTAGATCTCAGCCCAATTTCATTTTCGATACTTGACCATCACATAAGGCACTTCGACATCCTCCTCCGATGCATCCTCCGCATTGATCTCGAAGATAATGTTCTTCTGGTGGCTAGGGATGGGTTTCCTCGATACCGTTTCGAGAAGTTGAGACATCCTGTAATATAGTAGCACTGGTCAGCAAATGACTTTTCTATGCAAACGGTGAACATGCAAAGAGAATAAAGTGTAGAAGAACATAATGACTCACCGCATAGGCATCCGATCCTTGACCTTACTGGGTGGGTAGAAACTGGCGTAAAGCAAACTAACCCCCGAACTGACCATGTTGACCGTCAAACCCTTATCCTCAAAGTACTTCAGAAATTCCGTCAAAGTCACGTCATCAACTTCAAATCGATCCCACAGCTTATCGATTGTTACTTCCTCTCCCTCCTTGTTCTTGTACTTGCCTTTCGGACTCGCAATCGGTTCGCTAAAGCCGAAAAATGGAAGCGCTAGATTGACAAACCCATTCTTGTATTGCTCTAAATCAGTCTTTCCATCAATTATCTTGTACAACTCCAAGATGACCAGACCCGTCACAAGTGCAGTAGTGGTCGCGATGGCAGGAATGATCTTGCCGGCGATAAATTTTGTTTTGTGTCTATCCGCGACAGGAATGTCATAGTTCATGGCCCGCAGGTTGCTTGCCGCGGTGATGAAATCGATGTGGTGGTTGGAGTCGTCATCTTTCTCAAATTCCACAGGCGTCAGACGGTAGCCGGCGAGTGATTTGGGCGACGGAAGGCTTTGGACGATTTTGTCAAGTTCTTCTGCATCGTCAGCGAATGTGGGCGGTGCTGCATTTGGATCGGGCTCTTTGTCGTCGGCTTGAATACGGACGTTGGAGTCAGGGCGGAATTCAGGGATGATCATCGATTCGGCCACCTTGGCGTAGTAGTCTTTGGAGATTGATGGTGGAGGATGAATGCCGTAATTGAAGGCATGAAGATTTGCACCAGCAATGATGAATGCAAGGTGGGTGGGCTCGTTGGCGTCGAATTTCAAGGGCGTTGGAGCTCGTTTGGGACCAGACCAAAAGTCGGCGCCTGTGGAGGTCTTCGCATCTCGGGGAAAGTTGTAAAGAAGCTGTTGAATGGCATTGTTGTACTGCTTCTCAAATTGATTGCGAGCCCACATGATGCAGTCATCAAAGCTGAGTGGCTTCTCCGTCACGAGAAACTCTTGCAGACTGTCGAGTGTCTGCTTCTCATTCCCTTGTTGTTTCAATGTTGTTTGAATGTAGTTCGGCTGAGTCAGGTAGAGGTTAACAGTCTCAGGAGGGCTGACGAAGTACTGCTGAAAGACGTCCCGTGCCCATGCGATTGTATGATTGATGTTATTGGGGAAACTGCGGAGGGTGCACATCGGGAACGATTGCTCTGGTGGATCTTGTGAGCTTGAGTAGGATTCGGTGAGGCGTGGCAAGATGACTTGGGTATTTCCTTTCGTACCAAGAGTGCCACTTTCCAGTAAGGGCTTCATGAAGAACACACATCGTCGATCAACGTACGTGCGAGCTTCAACATTGTCAAGAGCATTAGTGACCCCGTCAAGTCCTTCCCAGAAGGTTTCGTTGAAGACCTGTTCGCTGTCTGGCCCAACACGATCGCTCATGCGGTCGATTTTGCCTTTTAGATCAGGATTCATGGCTTGGACAGCTTCAGCCGCACAGTCACTCTTCAGCTTGCCTACGTCTTTCGGTCGGAAGAGGAACTGGCGGTTGAGATTGCTTTTCTCGATCGAGTCATTATCAGTAACGGTGATTTTTCCCTTGTCACCGGTCGCAAGGCCAATCATGGCGTAGTTCTTAAGCATTTCACAGCCAATGGCACCAGCTCCGACCAAGAACTCCTTGACGTTAGAGATCTTTTCCTGAAATTGCCTGCCAAAAACGGCGATTTGCCCGTCATAACGACCACCAAGCGGCCTGCAAAGTTCTTCCGAGCGTTCTGAGGATGTAGGTAAAGACTCCAGCGAATCGAGGTAGAGCCACTGTTTAATCGGATTGAACTTGCCGGAGACAGATTTGAGCACTTCTTGAGCTGCCAGACCACCAAAAAATGCTGCCATGGGACTTAAATCACCCTGTGCTTGGTAGCTGAGCTCTATGATCAGTTTCTCATCCAGCTCAACCTCGACGCCCGCATCTTTTGCGGTCTTCTTAGCAGTCTCCAATATCTCCTTTGCATCTGAGTCATTGTGCGGTCGTGGCCAGCTCCCCTTGGTGTCGTGGAAATTATGGAGAGCTTGAATGCCGACATGTAGTTGCTGAGGTCGATCGAACTTTGCAAAATCCGAAATCATCAGCTCGGGCTCCTTCAACTGCTCTGCTAATGGCTGGAAGTCGATGAATTTAGGCATCTTAACTTGCGTAAACAATCCTCCACCTTGATATGTTCCCAAGCCTGATACATCTCCAATTGAGAAGGAATACGGGCCCTTGACGGTAATCTTTCGCGGCGCTGCACCATTCAACCCTTCCATTCCTCTGACTTCCGAGAATTCAACAAAGTCGCCATCCTCAAGGCCATGTCTAGTTTCGTCCAGGGCGGAAACAAGTCCATCCTCGTCAATGTCGGCAATGATTCCGTTGACTGGGTTTTCCCCCGTTGCATCTCCAACGGTAAAGTTCTTGCCAAAATCGGTGAAGATGTATCCAAATAAACCAAAGGTGTCAGTGATCACAAGGTAGATCCCATTCTTATGACAGTGTTCTGCTATCGCGAGCTGGTCTTTCAAAGACGTGGTAGTGAGGACAACCACCTGATACTGGTTAAGCTGGCTCAAGTCATCCACCAGACGTGAGGACTTGTGCACGTTGACAGGTGTATAGGAGTTGAGCTCGGCGACTCTAGGTGCGGTCACCTCTGCTCGCGATTTACCGACGTCTTCAGGGTGCAGGAAGAATTGCGCAGAGAGATCAGAGATAGCAACCTTCTCTGGGTCGTATAGCGTCAAAGACTTAACCCCAGCGAGTGCAATGTTTTTGGCGATCTCGGCACCCAAGCCTTTCAACCCAACAATGAGCACATTCGAAGAGCCCATCCGTTTCATCGCTTCATGGCCAAGCACATATAGCTGTCGACTATACAACGACTCATCGATATCGCCGTTCTTCATGCTCTCGATGGCCTCGCTGGGGTTGTCCACGTCCATCATGGTATCGGTCATGATTTTTTTCTCAGGTCGGACAACAAGCTCTTCGGTTGAGGCCTTGCGTTTGTTGCCCAGCTTGACACTCTCGGAAATCTCGGCGTGGGGCGAAATCGTGAATGAGTAAGGGCGGTCCTTGCAAGAAGCCTTGCAGGACCTGAAATGGTGGAGAGTCGTTGGATAAGGTCAGTTGGATGACGGTGGCTGATCTGATATAGAACAGCAGGCGGAGGAGAATACTGTTCCAAATACGTAGAGAAGCTCGAAGGATGAAATGAGGGAGAAATTCTAAAGGGCAGCCAGTAGTATATGTTGTGGTCAAAGTAAGGGAGCGAAGGTCCAGAGCCAGTTGTTCTCTTAGTAATGAATCTTCTGGAAAGAAGATGCAATCGCAGGTTGACAAGCGATCAGTTAGGCGCCACTGCAAGGCTGTGTGATCTGCAGGAACGAATTTCTAGACAGAGCCAAGTCCCTCTACAAGTCAATCGTCCGATCTACGAGATCGCAACTCTACTACGTAAGGTGCACGATGCATAGGTGGTTTCTTATGCATTTACAGGAAACGCCAGTCTATAAACAAAACATAAGTCTCCATGGTCGCACTGATCAACATTCACCCAACCGCCCAAGAAGCCTTCGGCGCCATGAGAAGCCACCGCTATGACGGCCATCTGAGCGAACAGCATGTTATTGAGGCTAGCAATAGCAGAGCATATGACTAGGCGAAGTCTGTCCTTGAGGGGTGCTGTGTGACTTATCTGACTATCGGAGGTGGGGTGGGAACCAAGGAATGCCTATCCAAGCCCCCAAACCTGGTACCAGGGACCTCCGGACAGTACTTATCCAACAAAAATGACCTAGTGATTGAAACTACTACTTGAATCAATGACATATCGCGTCCAACTCTTCCTGACATGTACTTCTTCCTCGAACATACCTCATAACCGAGAGTTCCATGATGCCAGTAACTCTAACATCCAACGTCAACACCAACGGCTTCCTAAGCAACAACTTCCCCCATGCCCCACCCCGCCTCTATTTCACCGCGGAAGACGACGACTTCGACGACCTGACGTTGGAGGAATGGCGGGATGAAGGCTTCGATGTCGCTTATTTGCCGATGGGCAAGGGTGGTAAGGAATATAGGGGGAGGTTGAATGGATTGGGTAGTGGACTGGGGATTGGGGAGACATTTGGGATTGTTGGTAAGTGAGTAGACCATTGAATCAAGGTAGTCTTGTGCTTTTTTTGCCAGGTGTAATCTATTTTATTTGCATCCAGTTTGTTGCCTCTTTCAACGTCATTTCATAGCTGTCAATTGATGCATAAATATATTTTGTCCACAAGAATACTGATTCTACTATGCGACAACCTTGCTCGTCCTGTAGTTGTATGATCTTGTGGAAAATGTCTTCAAGAGGCTCTTCTAAGCAATTGCAGCGTACGGCGAAGCTGCCAGCTTCTGCCTAGAACATTACCTCCACCCAGGCGCCAACAAGCTCTGCGCACTCATCGCCTACTACCCAACCGCCATCCCAGACACACGTTACACGCGCTTCCCATCCTCAATTCGCGTGCTCGTTCACCTAGCTGGCTCCAGCGTGGGTGTCAACCGCACCCAGCAACTTCTCGGGATCCAGGGCAAACGTCGCACAATACAACGGCGCATTAACCCTGGCATTGGGGCCGGAGGGTTACTCAAGATCGCGTATCCAACATATACGTATGATGATGCCGAACCTGGGTTTGCGGAGCATGATCTCGATGAGTATGAGAGGGTCTCGGCAGAGTTGGCGTGGAGTCGGACATTGGATGTACTGCGAAGGGCATTCCGGAGGGACGTCAACTTGGAGAAAGTATGGGAGGAGAATGTGCAAAGTGAGCCCAGTCCCCTTTGTAATGTATCAGCAAAGTTTTCAAAACTAGTGTGTCTGACTTCATGTTTTCCGCCCTCAGATAAATTCTTCACTCGCAGCACGTCTGGGACTCTCCAGACACTGACCACGCAAAAACAGCCTCGTGTCACCTATGCTCCAACGCTTACCGGCGGTATCGGCGCAGATGAACTCCGCCGCTTCTCTGAAGACCTCTTCATCCCGTCTAATCCACCTTCGCTTCGAATGCGCCTTCTGTCCCGCACTATTGGTGCTGATCGAGTCGTGGACGAACTCCACATGTCATTTAAGCATTCGCAGCACATGCCTTGGATTTTGCCCGGCATTCCACCGACGAACAAACAGGTTGCGGTAACTATAGTCAGTATTGTGTGCATCCGTGGTGGAAAGCTGTACTCTGAGCATGTTTACTGGGATCAGGCATCGGTACTGCTTCAGGTGGGCCTGCTAGACCCGAAACTTGTCCCAGAGAAGTTGAGAGAACAGGGCGTCTATCGACTGCCAATTGTTGGACGGGAAGCTGCAATGCAAATACTAGAAGGAGAGGATGGGAAGCAAATGAATGAGTTGGTCCCTGGTTGGGGCTCACGGGTTAGCGTGAAGGAGGAAGGAGGGCAGGCCGAAGAAGAGACCGAGACAGAGGAGGAAACAGCCGAGGTAGACGAAGAAGCGGAACAAAAGGAAGACGACGAACAAGACCAAGAAGACAAAGAGGATGAAGAATCGACACAGACAGAGGATGAATCAGGTGAGGTAGAGGAGGACACAGATGAAGCAGAGCGAGAAGCAGCCGAGACACAGAATGAAGACGACACGACTGAGGCAAAGAATATCTCAGATGGAGACGGATCAAGCAGAAAAGAGAGAGAGACCTCTTAGTAGGAACAGAAGCCTCCTCAGAGAATGAGAAACGAGGACAAGGGCAAGAGCGAGAGCAAGGTTGAAGAAACAGAGAATGAATAGAGGCGCGGAAGTAGATATGGCAGATGAGAAAGCTGAAGTGAGAAAAGACACTATCAACAAGGCAGAGAGATAATATATAATCAACCAGACCGATAGGATTTTCCAAGCAGCTCCTTATGTCAGTTGATGATTGCTACATTTGTACGTAGTAATGTAACATACAGTCACTACGCAAAAGTCTCCGTCCACTTGACAAAATCGTACCCCACCCACCTTTCCGACCACCACCACACAAATTACTACTGCAAGGCCAGGAATGATCGGATTTCTATGAAAAATAGCTCAAAATGCTCGTCAAAACCTGCAGATTCAATACACGCTAATTTCCTGATTAGGCCTCTTGATTCTAATACTTAGTATGCCAACCCTTGGCCCTTCTCAGCGTTCTGATCCTCGCTGGCATGCTATCAATTAGATTGTCAATCCACCCTTGAGGAATAGCCTCCCAGCCCTGTACAATAGCTCTGCAGAGAGCTAATATATCCTCCTCTCTCTGGCCCATGTCATTTAGCTCCGGGTGAGTACTACAAATGACTTCTTTTAGCTTTTTCCAGAGATGCTCAATTGGGTTTATATCCGGAGAATAGGGAGCCTAATCAAGCAGCGGAATTAAGCGCTCTTTAAAGAAATCCTTGACTTTTTTTGCTGTATAGACTCTGGCATTATCCATTTGAAAGGTACGTCCAGGTTCCTAACAGATTTCAATCTGATCTTCAAGAGCTTCAAGAATAGAATTTGCGGTATATCCTTTTTTCTTTGCTTCCTTATCTCAGTTTAGAATAATCAGATTTGACCTTCCTCCCTTCTAAATAGCACCCCATATCATGATTGAGATGTCTTTCTTTGCCTTATACAGCTGAATCATATCCTTTTTCCACTTTTCTGAGGGCGTACGAAAGACCCATTGCCGTTGGGCTCCTTTGCCTCTTTCCACAGAGCATTCATCAGAAAAGATGATGGTATTCCACTTCAACCGCCAGCTGTAATGAGCTATAGCCCACTGATATCGATTCTGCGCATTTTCAGGTTTCAGAAATAGCCTTTTCTTTGCTCTCCAGTTCTTTACGCCGGCTCGGTGGAGAATTCTGCTGATGGTATCATGGGAGAGGGATAAGTGAAGATTTTCGTTGATTTCAGCGTACGTGGCCTGTGGATTTGCTCGTACAAAGCTTAGGATATCTCGAGTATTAATAGAAGAATAAATCCTTGGGCGGCCTGATCAGGGTTGAGTGGTGCCTTCATTTCTGTAACCATTAATAGAAAGGGTGTATTGAATAGTTGATTGAGGTAAATTTAATAGCTCCGCAGTTTGACGCTGTGAGCAGGTCTGCGTGTAGCACTAGCGAGATACGATAGGAGGACGGGAGCTCTAGCTTGTAGGAGTGGCCAACCATCTCTAAGATACGAAAGGGGCCTGCGACAGGATAGTCCAGCTTGTCTGAGGGCCTATCTGTTCTCCACAGCTTCTTGATGACGAATACAAGGTCTCCTGATTGGAAATCAGGCGAGCGACGTTTCTTGTTGGCTTGACGAGCATACTGAGCTTGAGCTGAGATCATATTCATTCTGGCCCAGCTTACTGCCTTGTCAATACGGCGTAGGTGCTCCCTTGCTTACTCTCGAGTAACTCGTTCTTGCGCGTCCTGGCGTGAGCTGTCACTTATCTGTGTCTAGTCGAAATCCAAGCGAGGTTCTTGGCCGTACTTAATCATGTGAGGTGTGAGTCCTATGGATTCGTGGACTAGAGCTGACCCTGCGGCGTCTAATGCCGGCAGAAGATATGCCTAGTCGTCTTAGAAGTAGTTCACAAATAGTTGAAGCCTTGTATCAGCGATCTAGTTGATGATTTCCGTCTAGCCGTCTGTCTAGGGGTGAGCTGATGTTGACAACTTGAGCTTAACACAGCAGAGGCGAGATAGCTCATTAAGAAATACGCTGATGAACTGTGGCCCCTTGTCACTAGTGATAGTCTTTGGGCATCCTTTGAATTACTATATATACTTATAAAAGAGGTCGGCTGTAGTAGCTGCAGTAACGGTCTTCTTTGTTAGTAGGCAAATATGTCTCTTGCTTAAGCGATCTACTACTACAAAGACGGTATTATAGCCGTTACTGATAGTGCCAGGCATATAGAAATCTATTGAGAGGTCGTCCTATAGTCGCAGGAGGACAGGCAAGGAGTGTAGGAGACCAGGCGTCTTATTACGCGGCTTGTAAGATTAATAGCATTTATAATAGTTAGTAACATAACGTGCTATGTTACCACTCTAATAAGGCTACTAATATAGCCTGGCCACTAAAGCACGCGTTTTCACCTGACCTGGATGTGCTATAGTCGTCTAAGAGTAGATCTAGTAAAGCAAGTATGTACGCAGGTTATCCTTGCCTTCTGGTACCACAAGTCTATTGTTATATAATAGTAAGCCATCTCTTAATAACCACTTACCTGATCCTGTTATAGTTAGCTGACGTTCTTCTGTTAGAGTCAGGCTCTTCCGGTTCTCCTTAACGACTTCTGCTGTAACGTTGAGACTCTTGATGTCCTCTATAGCAGCTACCTTTATTCTTGTCGGATCTAACAGCGTCCAAGTCTTCTCCTGCGTCCTAGCTTCCTTCTGCGTTAGGGTAGCTTCGTTCTTACGCAAGAGGACTCTGCTACGACATTTTCCTTGCTAGATCGGTAGCAGATGCGATAGTTGAACCCTGAAAGAATATCTATCTATTGAATTTGTCGCTTATTAAGAAGGCATTTAGTACCGAAATGCTTAAGCGCCTTGTGATCCATCACAATAAGGAACATATCAAGGCTGGTCAGTTCAGCTTGCTATTTTTTGAGAGCTAGAATAACTGCGAACATCTCCTTGTCATAAATCTCATAGTGGCATTCTGCTCCTTTGAGTGTGATAGAGAAGAAAGCGACAGGATGCTATTGTGAGTCAGCAGGATCGAGTTGTACTAGTACGCCAGCTACGGCTTCGTCAGAGCAATCCGTCTTTACTCAAGTCTCACGTTCTGGCTTGAAGTACGTGAGGACGGGAGGAGAGAGCAGCTTGCGTTACAGCGTACAAAAAGCGTCGAGTTAGACCTCATCTAATTAGAACTTTGGCGCAGCATCCTTTCTTGTTAGATTACTAAGCAGCCTGGCGATGCGCCTATATCCCTTAATAAACATTTGATAGAAATTGCAGAACCTAAGAAACGACTACATACCTCTTCTTATTATGGGAGGTTCTTAGTCATGAATGACCTTAGTCTTACTTGGGTTAATCTTTACGCTGTGGTCTGTAATAACATATTCTAAGAATCTGATACAAGTAACTTTAAACTTATATTTCTTGATATTTATTTCTAAGAATCTGATACAAGTAACTTTAAACTTATATTTCTTGATATTTATATACAGATTAGCTGTACGTAGCCTTATTATAATCTGACGTATATATTATTAATACTTTTTCTTATTTTTTAAAAAGATTAGGATGTTATTAATATATACTATATAAAAGACGCTAAAATAATCTATAAGGACAGAATTAATATAATGCTAAAAGGTAGTAGGACTATTATAAAGACTAAAGAGAAGGACTACTAGCTTAAAAGCTTTATAAATTATTCAGAATAACGTCTAATAAATTAAGTCAGAGTCTATTCTAATATAATTAAATATATAATAAATATTAAGCTTTATAAAGATTATTGCGTAAGCTAACTATAATAAGGTCTCTAAGATTAAAGGCAAAGGATATTTATCTTTCTTTATAAGTTTATTTAGACTTCTGTAGTCGATATAAAATCTAAGGTCTTTGTTCTTCTTCTTAATAAATAAAATAGGTAATAAGAGAAAGAGGAAGATAACAGGCGAATAAATCCTTTACGTAAGTTCTTTATCAGATACTCTCTTATAGCTGTGAGCTCTCGAGTTAACATCTTGTACAGATGTGACGCCTTCATCTCTGGTTCCTTGTTAAAGCGCAGCTTATAGTTGAACAGACGGTGCTAAGGCAGAGTATCTGCAGCTACTCTTGAAAAGGCGGCTGCTTAGTTGCGGAGATACGGAGGAAGATGGCTAAGGATGGACTTAAGATCGTCAGAACAAGGTCTAAGGTCACTGAGAGCATCCTGTTCATTATTGTTAGCTATCTGAACTCGACTGACTTGGCACAGGGCAGGGCGGCCTCGTTTCTGCAGCTTATAGTTGATACCATCTAACGTAACTGTCCCTAATATCGCATCGTCCTGTTTGCTACTAATACGAAAGGCTGCAGCGCCTACGAGATTTATAGAGATCGTCTTGTTGTCAATATTAGCCTCATCTAGATCAGAGTCAGGACTAAGGCTCTTGTCAGCTTTATCAGAAAAAAGTAACTTAAGCTCCGCTTTGCGACGTTAATAATGCTGACGCCGTTCTTATACAGATTTCCGAAACTAAGTCCTAGCCTTGCCGGCATTATTAGAGCTGACTTTAGGGCTGCGACGTCGAATATCCTCCTTAAATAGCCTATCTCTACAAGCGTTGTGCTATTCCTGTACTTAGTAGTCCTCCAGCTAGTATATCTTATTCCTCTTACAATCCGGCAGAATATCGTGCTTAGCCAGCCATTTGCGGCCTAGAATGACATTATAAGAGCTAAGGTCGGCGGCTAAGAGCAGGATATTAGTAAGAGTTCAGCTGTGGATCTGTGCGGTAGCAAGGAGCAGATTATTAATGGGCCTGCTAGGCTGACCGTCGAATTTAACCAGTAGGATAGCCCTCTCTAAAGGAACAAGAGGGATATCAAGCTGCTGAGGGGCGGCCTGAGCGATCTTCCTGTTGATCAGAATATACGCGTTGGCTCTACTGTCTACCAAAGCATAAAGATGAAGAACCTTGTTGTCCGCACCCTTGAGATCGAATGCCACGATGAGAGATGGCCCTCTGACGAGCTGGTTGAGCCTGACAGGTACGCTCTTGTGATAGCCTAAGGCTGTGATTTCGCCTAGGGCATCTCGTTTTCCGACTCCGCGGATTCCTCGTCAGGGCCAGAGGACTTATCTCCGAAGTCAGATTCTGCCTCTTTGATCTTACTGACGTAAAGGTCAGGGCAGTCAGGTTTCACATAGCCAGGCTTGTTGCAGTAGAAACAAGTTACTGTATCATCCTTCTTGAAACCCACGCACTTCGATTTTGAACTAGTGGCCTGGCCGGGAGAAGGAGTAGGAGAGCGTCGTGGTGGGCCTGCTGTCAGGGCCAAAGGGAACGGATACGCCTTACCTGGCGTAGTCCTGGCTTCTGGGCGCCTGGTGTCGGGCCTCGGGCTGTTGGGTCGAGCACGGTTACGGATTCGCTCTTCTTCTCTCTCTTTTCTACGAATTAGTATGAGCCGGTTCTTTTGCTCCATGACCCAATGAGCTATAGTGCCGGCGTCGTAGAAAGTCCGATCCCTTATCTCGCGAAGGAGTTCGGCGGACATCTTTTCCTGCAGGTCCTTATACTGATCCTGGCTAGACTTGCTGATCTGCGACGCCAAACGTGTGAAGTCGGCCTAGAAAGCGTCAAACGGTCAGTCACTCTGGCGTAGGGCAGTGTAGGCCGCCTTGGCACGTTGTCAGCGTAGCGCGTCACTTTCTCCGAAGGCTTGCTTTATGATGGCAAAGATCTTCTTAGGCGTCCGAATAGGGTATAGTGACGTTGGTTTAAGGCGCTCGCGGATGTGGTCTTTAGCAAGGCCCTTGACACAAGGCTAGTAACGAATCTCATAACCTGTAGGTTGTCCTGAGGGAAAGGGCTGATAAGAGAGCAAGTCTTATAAATCTAATCTTCGACCAGGATATCCTTAGGGCCGCTCAGGCTGCTAAAGGTCTTAGGAGTACCCTTGCGGAGATCCTTGATGGCAGGAGGCGGGAGAGAAGTCGACCTGGGGGGCTCTGTGCCGGCTCTCCTGCTTCCTGGCTTATAGGAGCCGGTCTCACAAGGGCGATAATCCTGCGCTTGTGTCAGAATAGGCCTCGGAAGAGGCGACAAGAAGAAGGTTAATAACGGGTTTAAGGTACGCTCCACCTTTGGAAGAGGATCCGTAGGAGTAGCCTTTCGTCGCGAGCTGGCCACCGTCCCTGCATATAGGTTGGAATATATAAAAGACATCAAGGAGGTAGGCGCCTAACGCGCAGACGCCTGATGACGGGTTACCTGCTCTGTTAAGTCAGCAATTTTCTCTTGCAGGGCCATATTCCGTTCTTGCAGGGCTGTATTTTGTTTCTCTAACTCTTGGCTAGCAGCAGCAAGCTGCGTAGCGTACTCTGAAATTTAGTAGGCTAAGTTAGTGTTGGTATTTGCCGTTTTCGCTAGCTTTAAGGCGACCCTCTTAGCCGTCTAGTTGATCAAAGCTTATTCCTGCACTCCTTATTGCTGTAGCTTAGCTAGAATAACGTTGATACTAGATTAAAGATTAGCTAGTACGATCACTCTCAGCTGAGCTACTCTGTTAAGAGGATCAGAAAGGTCGAAAGGTAAGATGGGATAAAGGTAGTCGTTCTTGGCAGGGGGAACAGGATTATCAGTCCTAGCCGGGTTAGACGAGTCGAAGGCAGCCATATTGAATGCGGTCTGGGGGGCTGCCTCTACGTTCTTGCGTATTAGCGACTAGTCACTAGTTAGTGTCGCTATTGTTGATGTGTAGCCTGGCTCTAATTAAGTATCGCGTAAGTCAAAAGAGGAAAGGCGACAGGACCACGAGCACGAAATATTGCAAGAAATGGAACGAAGTCGCGGATCAATTGAAGAGCACCTTGACGCGCTTGTCAGGTCAAAGAGCAGTCTTAGGATAATGTCACGTGTCACGTTGGAAGCAGGCGACGAGTGCGCGAGATCTTCAGCCCATGTTGAGTGCTATCCTAAGACTGGAGAGTCGACGATGAGGGCCCTGGGGTCGCTTCTATATAACAAGCATGCCCCTTACTAACGTCTAGTGCCAATCAATACCCGGCGCCCTAGCGCTGGCGGGCGACAAGCATGGCAGCCGTGACATATATCCTTTTTTCTTTGCTTCCTTATCTCGGTTTAGAATAATCAGATTTGACCTTCTTCTCTTCTAAATAGCACCCTATATCATGATTAAGATGTCTTTCTTTGCCTTATATAGCTGAATCATATCCTTTTTCCACTTTTCTAAGGGCGTACGAAAGACCTATTGCTGTTAGGCTCCTTTGCCTCTTTCCACAGAGCATTCATCAGAAAAGATGATGGTATTTCACTTCAACCGCTAGCTGTAATAAGCTATAGCCTACTGATATTGATTCTGCGTATTTTCAGGTTTCAGAAATAGCCTTTTCTTTGCTCTCTAGTTCTTTACGCCGGCTCGGTAAAGAATTCTGCTGATGGTATCATGGGAGAGAGATAAGTGAAGATTTTCGTTGATTTTAGCGTACGTAGCCTGTGGATTTGCTTATACAAAGCTTAGGATATCTTGAGTATTAATAGAAGAATAAATCCTTAGGCGGCCTGATCAGGGTTGAGTGGTGCCTTCATTTCTGTAACTATTAATAGAAAAGGTGTATTAAATAGTTGATCAAAGTAAATTTAATAGCTCTGTAGTTTGACGCTGTGAGCACCCTAATTGAGCCGCCGTTTGGATTGAGCCTCGTTGATATGGAGAGAGCTCTTGATTCCGAACACGGTTACCGGTTATTTCAGCTAACGGGGCTCGAGGCATTGTGCAGGGCGTTGTTGAAGATAGAGGATTGATTGACGCGTGTTGAAAATTTGACGCGTTAAGTGGTAAATTGGACGGAAACTAATGCGTTAGTACTGTATCTTACACAAATTACATGAAACGTAACAAGCATGTCAAACACGTCGCGCTTGGGACAAAAGCGGGGAGAAAGACAACGTATCTCCAGAACCTGAACACATTCTCCGGTGATACCTTGAGACGAAGCTCGCAACGGCCATGGTTCCATGTGTCGTTTAGAGCTACTGGGGCGCATCCTCCTGTTCTGCCAGTCGACCTCGCGCTCCCCTCGCTACCATGAGCCTTTGCCTCTGAGCAACGAACCCCTCCATGGTCCCACTCCACCAAGGAGGACAAGCAGACGACGATGCTGCAAGAAATCCTCCTGTGCCTTGCCGGCCACCCATCGCCGCTCCTCCGCCAACCGCAGACCTTAGAAACCCCAGCCAAACCAAATATCGAGCACCATCTCCCACTCCTCTCCCCGCCAGAGCGAGCCCTCCTCTCCACCGTCGCACACCTCAGCGACCTGCACATCAAGATCAAGCGACATGCCTCTCTAGTTTCTACCTCGCATAGGTCTACAATCTGCAAAGCCGTTGCTTCTACGATCATATCCAAACAGCTGCAGGGGTTTATGAAGAAGATCGTCGAGGTGGAGAGGTCAATCTTGACCAAGGATGCGGGCTATGTGGGTGGATATGGGATTGTTCCTTTGTCGGCTGTTGTTGGGGAATTTGCACCTTGGTCTAGACGGTTGGAGTGGCTGTGGGAAGTTCTAAGGTTTATGCAGCCCTCTGAGGAAGGGGGAACTAAACTTTCCTCAGACCAATGTAGAGGTGCCTCGATGATGAGGTATCTGCGAGAGGAGTCTCACACAGGTTACAGTGATCTTGAGGAAATGGCATTGGAGCTTGTCAAGGTGGCAGAGATGGTCTGGTTGCGACAATTGTCAACGTGGGTACTGTATGGCAAGCTGCCTACGTGTGCCTCAGAGGACTTTTTCATACAGCCACAGCCGGGCAATCAAGATATTTCCAATCCGAGCCCTGCAGAATTCTCCATACGCCGCGAGTGCGTCCCAGATTTCGTCCCCCCTCCGACTGCTTCCTCTATCTTGTTCATCGGCCAGTCTTTACATCAGATTCGCACACGTGATCAGACGCTGTCAACACAGAGCTTGTCTGCAGACCCTGCCATGAAGTTGCTTCCAGCGCATCTTGAGTATCTCAAAGCCATCAATCTGCCAATCTCCTCGTCCAGTTTTACCAACGTGATCGCTTCCATTCGTCTCTCGATGTCACAAAATGCTCTTTCACAGCTACTTCCCTTCCCAAAAGTCCTCGAGATTCTCCATGTCCTACAAGACTTCTTGCTTCTTGGTCGTGGTGAGTTTGCCATATCACTCATCTCTAAGGCAGACAAGATGGTCAACATCGGAAACTATGGTCAGAATGCTCTGTTGCCAGTTCGTGAGGCTGGTCGATTGGACGAGTTGAAAATAAGGGATGGTGAACTTGCAACAGTGCTGAATGAGACCTGGTCCGAACTCGCGGCTTTGCGGACAGAAGGGGATCTTCTCGATGACACGCTCGAAAGGGCCCGAGAACATCTTCGAGTGGTTAACAGAGACGCAAAATCCAGTGCCACAGACTTCTCAAGCCTCCTGTTTCCGAGTCCTACTTCACTTACCTTGCCACTTTCGCCCAATTCCCCGATAGCCTTGTTCCTCACGAAGGATGACATTCGTCTGTACTCCGAGATGAACTCCTACCTTATTGCTATCCGCAGGGCGGAAATTCATTTGGCCTCGTTGTGGAAATATTCAAGCCTTCGGCGCTCTCATCCTTGCCAGATCGCACCAACCGTGAGCAGTACCGTTTACCTTAAACGTAGATCGGCCGAACGAAGGAAACGTGAAGATGAAAGAAATATGAAGATGAGGAGATATTGGGCTGTAGCTAGCAAAGCTCAATTTGTGATATCAGAGCTTGGAGGATATTTCCAAGGCGACATCGCCAATGGTTATTGGCAACATTTTCTCTCCTGGCTGATCAGTCAACGTGGAGACAATGATATTGCTTCAGCGGAGGCTTCCGGGCTGGGCACTTCGACGTTGACAGAAGTTAAAGGATCGAGACCAAGTACAGGGACGTCTTCGCAACGGTTCAACGCGAGCCAATCGTCTGCAGCAAGCAGTGCTTATCGACAGTCAGCATTGAATCAGCAACGAATACCGAACGATCCTGCTACCCTGGCAAGAGCGCACCAGCGTTATCTCAGAGCTTTACATTCCTCGCTACTGCTGAATGTGACGGGATTCACAGAGGCGTTGTTCGATGCACTAAGACTGCTGGACCATTTCGTGGCTCTGTTCGCAAGACTTCAAAGCGCGCAACAGAATCTCGATCTCGAGGTCGATGAAGGTGTTGTGGATGCTCTTGCGAATCATAGAGCCGACGAGCACGAAATATTGCAAGAAATGGAACGAAGTCGCGGATCAATTGAAGAGCACCTTGACGCGCTTGTCAGGGAGCTGCGTGATTCTGTGGATCAAGGCCATGGTGAAGGTGCTTGGGACGGTGATGTATCAAATATCGATCGACTTGATCCGTCATCGTCCCAATACACTCCTTGGAGACCACGAAATATCGATGGTCTTCTCATGAAGATGGAATTCATTGGTGCAAAGGCGCAAAGCGAGGCCACGGATACTGAAGACGAGGATGAGAGATACTATTCTCAGTGATGACATCTTGGTCGAAAAGTTAGTGTAAGACATCTCGAAGCATGACTTCCTGTGCCAGCCATTTGTTAGCTCTATCCGTTTCAGTCCATACAATGACAGTAGATGCAACCAAACATAATTCAGAAAAGCCAGGTTAACTCATCTCTTCCCCTGTCTTGTAGGCCATCAACAAGCCGTCCAAGACGGACGGACTTGAAAATGGCATAGCAAAGACGTGATCAGCATCTCCACAACCAATCATTCCTGATATTCTCAATCCCATTGAGGGCATCGAATGGCAAGTCCGGTATCAGGGAGGGTGAGCACAGGGAAGCTTGCCAAGTTTGGCTCGGAGAATGGATAGACTAGGTCTCATCATGTGAAAAGGGTAGAAGAGGCAGATTGAAAAACGTGGACCAACCTCTGGAATAGGAGCCTGGTGGTCTCTCAGTATACTAAGCCTGTATCGAATGGATTCAAGTCAGCTATTGCATGTGAAGGTCGGCCGGTGAAAAGTGCAGGGAAATATATATTAGTGTCAATCAGATAGAATTTGGTAAGGTTAATTGTTTTCTTCAATGATGTTGCAGAAGCAGAACTGTATGATTTGTGTATCATCATTCGAGCCTTGATGCTGTCGGAAACTCAACGCAAATAAAGGAGACTCACCACCAAGTGTAGCATCTCAGAGTGTGAATATCATAGCTTTGTAAAAGACTGTCAGCTAGTGATCAAACAAGCATAATCTCAACAAATGTAGCTCGAGAAGACAATCAGATGGTAGTGCATGTTGTTCAAGGGCTCATCTAAGATCACCAGTACTAGATTATGTAGGCTTTCCTCATGTAAATCGTTGAATGGACGGGCAGTGGTATGCTTACACTGAGAATGTTTACAACGTAAACAGCTTCTAGTACTCGTCGTATGGGCGGAAGGGTTAGGTGCTCTAATTTTGATACATTGCAGTTTTGAATTTTATACGGAGAAAATCGAACACCAAGCGCGCCCAAGAGCGAAATCTTGGCATCAATTTCCACCCACTAGTAGTCGTTTAGATGCTTCGGCACTTAACAGTGACCTTGTCAAACCCAACCGTGGTCTCTTGACCGTTCACTCATTTATTCATCTTAATCATGCATCATGGCTGATAGACGGCGCATTAACGGCCCCGCAAGCGGCACCGCTATACCAATCTTTACTCCTTCAATAGCTGGAGCACACACTTTGCAGCGCACCAGGAAGCCCAATCAACTTCGCAAAATTTGTGTGTTGACAGAATAGCTTCCTATACGAGTACTGATGCCTTGACTTAGATCTTCAACCAGGTGTCGTACCTACCGCTTCAGGCTCTGCCTATCTAGAGCTCGAAAGTCTCTATCACCCTTCTTCATTTCTCAATGCAGTACCCTCATCGCTGAAACTTTCTTGCGTAATCCATGGCCCCAAACCGCTTCCGCGCAATGCCAATTTCTCCTCAAATTTGCAGTTAACTATCAACATCAAGTTCGCTCCCTTTGCTACTAGGCAACGCCGAGGCTACATACGAGATGTGACGGAGAGGGACATTGGAACCCATGTTGGAACAGCGCTGTGTGGCGTTATCATCCCGGACAGGTGGCCCAAAAGTGCGATTGATATTATCATTACCATTCTCGAGGCTGAAGACGATGTTCAATGGGGCTCGGGAACACAGCAACAAAATACAGTCGGAGGCCTTGGCAACATGAATGTTGTATCTGGTTGTATCACTGTCGCATCTGCAGCTCTTATGGATGCCAAGATAGACTGCCTGGATCTTGTTACAGGTGGTGTTGCTGCTGTTGTCCCAAAAGACGATGGAAAATTTGTACACCATCTTGATCCTTCTGTGATTGAAGAACCGTTCCTCAATTCACTGTGCGTTGTGGGGTACATGCCTGCGAGAGACGAGATGACATTGGTCTGGACTAGAGGCAATATTCCCTCCTACAGTGATGGGCAGATGTGTAGATTCGATAGTTTGTTGGATAGCGCTGTCAACGCAGCCAAAGGCGCCCATGTTGTTCTGAGACAAGTTGCAACAGAACTGGCACAAGCAGAGTCCACGAGGCTCATTATTGATGAATCCAAGACCTGAAACGACCCCATCAAAGCGAAAGACACTGCACAAAGAAGGTACTCTAGCGATGTTTACCAGAGGATGTCCACGATAGTTCAGGTAAGTTTCGAATGAAGCTGTCTCACATACCACAAAGGAAAAGAATGTCTCTCTTGATACTTTTCATTGTGCTATTGATGCTGGGCATCTTGGATCTAATCGAATCGAAGCATGTCTAAGACAACATTCACCATCCAATATGAATAAGGGGTTAGGCTTTGTTCTCCTGAACAAGCTCTATGCTCTATTTCATTCCATTCAGGTGCTCCCTATGAGGTCGATGACTATATCTAAGCCTTATCCTTAACTGTTCTTCACGGCTTCAGATTATTCACAACATCCAGCTTCTCCTCGCAGACTCTCATTCCAATCATCATACAATACCAGACACCGTCAAGATGCCTTCCAGAACCCACCCAGATGAAAAGCTTTTGCTTCTATTCCATTGTCTCAAAGCCTCCGATTACACTACTGTAGGAAGAGCCCTGCCTTATTAGGCTCGCTACATTTGACGTGCGACTGACACCACATATAGATCGATTTTCATGCAGTCGCTGCCACTCTTGGTATAACGGTAGCAGCGGCTCGCATGAGACTCAATCGCTTGAAAGCAGAAATAGAAACAAGAGCGTCGAACCCTGAAGCGACCACCCTTCCGATAAGTATGCTCAAGACCACCACGAAGAAGAGAGCGATAGAGCAGCATAAACATTTGCCTGGTACGACTGCAGGTGGTGATCAAAATGCCCGGGGTGGGGAATGATCGAGAATCAAGAACAAACCGGCTGTACCTGAGATCCGAACATCAGACAAGGGCCAGAATCATGGCAAGAAGATCGGCGTCTTGGCTGCTTTCAGCAGCGACCCTTCAACAGCGCTAGAGTCTCATATCCTTCATGAAAACGATGTCATAAATTACGAAGAAGGTTGAGCGGTAGCTACGGATAGAGGTGAATGGCTCTGGAGTGACTCGGAAAGCGAGCATGAGCATCCAGCCAAACGTTGCAGAAGCTCTCCACTGAAGCAAAAACCGAATGCGCAAGGTATGCAAACCTTACGCAGCTTCAAGCCACTCAGCTGCAACTTCGACTCAAGATGTCTTCATAGCCGCATCCTTGGCATCGGATGCAATCGTGCCTCCTCCTCTGGCCATTGTCATTTCTTCCACAACTGCCAACCGGACCAACCCATGGTCACTCACGCCTGGCCGCATAGATTCCATCTCGACTCTCCTCCCTCCAAGCCCGATCTCTGTTCCAACACGTTCAGACAGCCTCTCCTCCACCGACGCCGATTACGGCGACTCTGACAACGATGTGAGCATGGAAGACGTGATCGATCCGCCACGGAAACGGCACCAGGCACAGAAGACAACAGTGAGATGTATGGTAATGATGGTACGGATCCAGCCATTCTTCCTCCCCACCACCTTTCTGGCAGCGTATTAACCCGTGGAGCTCATCATTTCCCCTCTTATCCATTTTGCTTTTGAAAGGAATCGCTGACCCGTCTCTCCTTTGTTCACAGGTCCAATCACCGAGAAACAGCAATCAGTGGGGTGCATCATCCAAGAAGCAGAAGAACAGCGGCCCAATTAGCAAGCTTCGCAGAGTTCATGGCTGCCCCTCTGGTTCGGTCAGAAAAGAAAGAATTGATGATCATGCGAGGCGCTAGGATGTACGGATGACAAATTGGTTGATGCAGGAAGAGAGGTGGTCGTGAGTCAGGATTTGGATTTGGCTTTGTGGATTTGCAAGAGATTCGGTGATAGACTGGATTTGTGGCGAGGCTCTCTGTCAGGTTCTGTACTTGTAATATTTAGAATGCGGTGATTATTTCCATTGTGCTGCAATGAAAGTTATTCTCCTCAAAAAAAACTTCGAGAAACAGTCGAAAAGCCAGGCAAGGGAATGATCATCGAGTCATTTGCATTGCTATGACCTGAAAGACATGTAACGAGGATAGTCTATCCGAAATAGAAACCATCCTTGACGTGCTCCCCTCTTTACAGCATTCTCATTCAAATAGCAAATAAATATAAAGAACACGTATTACTGCATCCACTCACGGCCGAGGTGGCTGCCAGTCATGTCCCCGGGAATCCAATTTGGCAAACATTGCGATCTGCTCAGGAGTGGGAAACCAGACGCAGCGATGATTAGTAATTCCCAGATTACCGACACGCCTCTCGGACTTACTGTCCCGGTATATGTTGTAGGATAAAGCATCCTCAAGATTGAGTGTTCTGGTGTTCAATTCAGGAGCGAATGGCAGCATTTCTTCCAGTGTCTTCTTCCCTTCACCTCCAGCCACTGCTTGCGCTGACTTGCAATCAGAACCTGGCTGAGGTGCTTGTAAAAAGCTCTGGATTTATGTGGCGGAGAGCTGAAATACAGGTTCATAAGGCGGATGCACAAACGCAGCATTTCTCTATTACTTCATGGTCAGCTCTCCTATTAAACACATTCTGTTTTCCAGGAAATTGAAATAGTACCTCATCCCGAGAATCTCCCCTGTCAAACAAGATCACCCCTCCGAACATCATTGTTTCCGCAAAGTATCCGACCGCTTCAACCGTGTCATTCGGGTACTGTGGGTTATTATCGTACTGCGGATGTTTCAGAGCCGGCACTTTGTTTGATCACATATTGTCTTCGTGAGGACCGCCGTTTGGATGACACTCTTTGGATATATAGATGGCAAGATTATGGATAGAGACAGCAATCATCTCCAGCAGGTGAAGATCAAACACCGTGGACGTGTCGGGCACATGTTGAAATGATTGTGCTACCTGAGGTGTAAGGCTCAGCAACGAGGGTGGGTTGTCACTGCTGATCGAAGACAGTAACTTTGTGTCAATATACATAGAGAGTGGCTCGAAACCTCTGCAGAAGTCGTCTGCAAGCTGTAGGGACATTGAAGTTGGTCCAGTTCGTCCGAGAAGGTCCTCGCGTGTACCTCCAGTACATATTCTAAAGTACTCCTCGGTAGGAATTCCGTCAACGACATATGCATACGTCGTCCTGGTGATTTCAGTGGATAGAATTCGGGCCAGAGTATCAGCGAATGTGTTGGCTCTCTCTTGGTCCAGATTGGCGACAGTGATTGCTGTCATAGTATCTCTTTTCCAGCTATAGAACCAATCTGGAAGTTTTCTCATCAATTGCTGACCGCGGAGAGCAATAGCCTGCCATCACAGAATACCAGTCACTCTTTAGACAAACCTTTCGAGACCAGCGAAGAGACAGCCACCGAGTACATCTCACTATATGTTTTATGTCTTCAGGCTTTGCTACTGCCAAACTAGAGCAGCGATCCTCATTAACTTTAATGGGACATGCTGAAAATATTTCAATATGTACCAACATATATTCGGCTAAAAAAAGGATGTGCGAAGCGGCATGTCATGCTCCGACCGTAGCAAGTTCTGAACAAGTGCTTCACTCTTCCCCTGGGATGCCTGTATCAGATGCATTCATAAAGTGGCCTCTGGAAACAAAAAATGGCATGTACCCAGGATACATGTAAGGAGTACCTTTCTCCTCTCGCAGTTTTCAGTCCCTAGAGATTCGACCCGCTCGTTTTTTTGACTTTGGGACACGGAAGAATTTCTTTCAGGATGTATCTGCACCGGCAAGCTTTGACCCCCTCTGGACGTGCTCCGTTTTCGGGTGAAATGCGGAATCGAGTCGATCCAGAGCAGTAGGTCGGCGTGAGAGAGGAAAGTCTGGCGTAAACTTAGGACCTGCGATAATCGTATTGAGATTAGAAGCGCAGACTCCTGGCATGATGGAGATGAGAGTAGCGTTTCTTTCTACCCCTCTCGTGATATAGAATCGAGGCGGATTGCTTGGGCTATCAGACTGAACACGTTCCTGTTACTGACTGGTGGGAGAACGAGGATGACTGAAATGGGAATCAACATGAGTTACAAGTACCCATCGAGTAACTACACAACCTTACATAGGCCACTAGATTATGCATTCTCTTTCACCTTAGAGTAGAGCACGAATTTTCTCCGGACATCCCCGTCCAACGACTCCATGCGCCGCAATCCCATACCTAATCTCCACCTTCTCCAGCCGTGATATGTCATGAAACCTTGCCGCATCAACCCGCACCGATCCGCTAAAGGTAGGGAGTCTGACAACCGTTGAAATACTCGCTAGCACCAGCCTGGCGCATGATCGACAGGTTCAGCCGGATATGCAGTCTGTTGGCCCACCAAGCGAGGATTGTGGCAAGCAAAAGCATAATCAGCACAGGGCCTGCCAGAAGCCAAGTTCTCGAAGGACCATGCCCCCTGACTGGTATTATTGAGGTAAGGGTCACAAGCTCCCAGGGCTTCCAATGCCCCATGCTTGCTCGCAAACGACCCCGTACATCCATCCGCTCTTAGTCTTCACGTGAGAGTCTGCCTTGTGCTCGAGTAGCAGCTGCACTGTTGCCTGGTACCCGTCCTCGGCCGTCCAGTACAGCACCCGTTATTCATCTCGTTAGACTTCGCTAACTCCGTCGGCACCTTTCTCCACCGGCAGCTACGCCACCATCGTCTCTTTTCCTGCCAGTGCCCACTGATAGTACTGGCCTCCGCCTCCCCGAGCTTCTCTTGGTCATTGCAGAGAACCATGCCCAGTACCGCAAGGCCGTCAGAAAATGCCCAGACGTCGGCTACTAAGTATGGCAGGCGCTTTCCATTCATTGCATTCATGAGTCGACATATCGAGTGCTCCCATAGACACCCGCCCCAGGCCGTCCTCCACGTTGCTCCCATGCCCAGATCATACAAATGTAATGACAGTTTCCAGTTCCACCTTCAGGTTCCCCTTGCCATTTTTCGATTTGGCAGCGGACTCATTCGCCGAGTTATTGGCATCGAGCTTCTCAGCTCTGCGTCCAACTCAGCTACCGGCACCCCAACCCCAACCGATGAATTGGGAAGCTCATATATTGGCGCGTTCGAGACTTGTCGCGACCATGTGGTTGAGTCAGTTGCATCTAATTCTAGAAGGTTGAAAGTTGGCTCGACTGCACCTAATTCAAAGCTTAGTCCAGACTCACAGCCTCGTTGGCGCTGCCAGTGCGAATGAGCGTCTGGCACCATCTTATCCAACAGCAGTTGCGCCACCACTCCGTGCTGGTTTGAGACTGCCCCTTGCAGCGCTGTCCGCCCAACGCTATCCTTCGCCATGGGATTGGCCCCATGCTGCAGCAGGTGCCGCACCACCGCCTCGTGGCCTTTTTCGGCTGCTAGCTGCAGCGCTGTCCGTCCAGTGTCACTCCGTGCTTCAAGGTCTGCCCCCATCTCGACTAGCAACCGGACCACTGACGATTGCCCGTTGAAGGCCGCGACATGCAGCGCTGTAAATCCGGAAGGCCCACTTACCTCCATAAAAGGATATTTCTCTAGCAGAATCTGGACCACTGACTCTTGCCCATTGTAGGCTGCTACATGAAGCGCAGTAGAGCCAGAAGGATCCTTCGCTTTGTCGTCAACGCCTTTCTCCAATAGCAAGCGGACCACTCCCGTGTGACCGGTGCGGGCCGCACTGTGCAGTGGGGTTCGTCCTTCACTAGACTTTGCCTCAGGATCTGCGCCATTGTCCAGAAGAACCCGGACCGCCGCTTCGTGACCGCAGTCGGTTGCCAGATGCAGCGCCGTACATCCAGAAGAGCCCTCGTAGTTTACGTCCACTCCCAAATCTAGTAGCGTCTTTATCTTCTTCGAATCTCCTTTCTTTGCGGCACGGTGCAACTCGGTGTTGGACTTGAAAAGTTTGAAGAATCTGGACCCCATTTGCGAACGTGGTACCTTTTTGGTCTTGTCAGATTGTGTTGGTACCAAGTGTGACTTGGATACCACCGTATCGGCGTCACCGTCACCGTCAAGTAGACTGTAGGGTCCACTCTGCCCCGAGCGGAAGCTAGAACCAGATCTAATGGTGGAGGTTCGAACACAAATGGACTTCGAATCGGGATCGAATTGTTCCCACGGACCTTGACTGTATCCTCCGGGTAAACTAGGGCTCGGGGTATCTATTGTGTCCCTTATGTCGATTAAGTCGCCAATAAAGGTGTCATTCTTGAGAAGTTGTCCAATTTCCGAACTAGAATTTCTAACATTATCAGCAAGCTTCAAGCCGTACGAGGTATCAGGGTCGAGATTTCGATTACCTTTGTGCTGCAGCAATCAGCAAGTTGATATCCGTAAGCTGCCTCTGGATTTGCTGCAAAAGCCCCTTTATCAGGCCTTCATTGCAAAGAGGCCTCATGCTCCAGGTGCGAGGGCTCTCTTCCATGCTTGTTTGAATTCCTATACATTTTCCTGCTTCTTCCTCAAGCCAAGAAACCGTAGAATCACAGCTATTCTGTGCATTTTTTAAAGCTTCTTTAAGCTGAGACTGTGACATGGCGCGCGATAGGAGAGCGTGAGGTTGGCTCAGCAGCGACTGGGTGTCCATCAAAGTCACGCTGATGGCCGAGCATTCGGCACTAATGGATGATGTCGTTGGGGCCGCATTATATTTTTCAGTGACATTCTTTATCGCTTTTGCAATGTTTGCGCAGAGGCAGACGAGGGATGATCGCGCCGTGGCCATTGGTTGTGAATCCATAGTCCGGCCTGAAGATCAAACCGAATAATTGCAATCATCTTACGAAGTACTGGTGCGGAGGGGCAGAAAGCATCGCGGCTGAGAAATTCCAGTCATGTGATTATTTGAGTCTTTCAAGCAGGAGGTGACAGGTGTGCCTCGTGTAATTGCTCAGTTAGGCGAGTTAAGGTTTCAACACAAAGCGCCAGAGCTAGACTGAAAGAAAGAATTCGATGTTCTATGAACTACCAAGGACTAATAGAAAATTTTCCTGCCTAAGTTCCAGCAGCTCTACTAGACCAGTCTGCTTTAAGTAGTACGGAGTAAGCTTTTTTTAATAGTGGCTGTGTCGACCAACAATCAATTGGAGCATTTTATGAGAGATCAAGGGGATAACAACTCCCGACTTGATTGGGTCACCTGTAGTAATCCCCACGAGATTCACTGATTCAGGGCGTTTATAGGACACAAATAGTAGTCATGCAGTCTCTAATACCTGCCTACGGAGTTCCCACCAGAAGTATGAATCGTACAGGGTGTAAGCCCTGAAAATACGCTATGAGCTCCCGTGTTGAATGGTTCAAGACGCGCTGGGTGGCCTTATGGCACCGGCATAGGTTCTAGAGCAGAAATAGGAACAATTGGATGAAGTTCCGATGATCCTGTAAACCAATTGAACTTTCATCAAATAAGTTTACAAGGTGGACGCATATGCAGTGAGGGTCTTTGAACAAATCAAACTTCACGAATTGTAAATCGCCCCTCTTAATGGTTTAACAAGACGCTGGACGTAGCTCGGCGCTAGTATCTTTGGCTCTGTACTACGTAGTACAATTTATTTCCATCACTGCTAGCCCCTGTACCTGTTCCCACCAGCGCAATGACTCTAAGCCCCAAAGCTCCCAATAGTCACACCCTGAACAATCCAAACGTCTTACGGAAGCTTCCGCACACTAACGGCAATAAGGGTACCGCTTAGCCACTCAAGAGCTACTACGTAGTAGGTGTCTCGTTTGACGCCTGGGTTAAGGCAGATTATACTGGCGCTGAGCTAACATCACTTCTGCCTGATACTTACCAGGAAGAGGCCTTCTTAAAATAATGCTAGGGGAGCCATCAGAGTGCGCTTAGATTAAGCCTAACCATAAGATTGGTTAGAGAGTACAAGGCTATACAGCTGAGTCGTCTGTGATCCAATGGAATCTTATTATATAACGTATTTGGCTGAATATATAGTCGTAGTATGATCAAAATATGCTTCTCTTATCACCTTACTATGCAGTATGGTGGTCATTTAACAGAATAGCTGTCATTTCTACTAATGGCACTTAGCTCATATCTTTACCTACCCCTTCTCCTGGTAAGTACCATAAGGATCACAAACAATATCCTCCGGACTGTCGTAAATTTTGCGTATTTTCTAATTGGTCATCGAGACCCACTCACAGGCACACCTGAACTGGATCTGAACGAATAACAGACGTCAAGTAAGACCTTAAATAAATTAAGCTCTTTGTTAAGCTACATCGAGCTTAAAGCTGTCATAATGAGACATCGCAAGTCGTCCATCCTTGGCCTCCTTGGCTTCCTTGTCCTTCTTGTCATCTGCAGGCTTGGCGTCGGACTTTTTGAGTTTGAATGACGCCTTTTCCTCTTTGGGCGATGGTGCGCCCAGCGGGCTGGGTAACTATGCCCTCGGCTGGCAGCCATTGCCCACGCTAGCATGCCCCTTACTACTCATTCTCTCGTTCGTTCCTGAAATACCCATGTCCCTAAGGCTCTCGAAAATTATTAATAAAGGGTAAATTATTGGCGAGCGCATCCCTACGAGTGTAGGCAATGGCTGCCGGGATAAAGTGATAGTTGCTCCTGCCAGCATGGTGGCTTAAACCCTAACGAAGCCAATCCAGACTTCATGCGGGAACCTCCGTACGCGCTATGTGGTCCACAGGAAACCATTGAATGACAACTTGAACCCGATAACAATTTTGGCGTCGCGGGAGGTGCCTTCCGGCGCTTGAGATAGATCCAAAGTTCCAGCCCCCACTACACTCAGACTTTGCTATCACAACCCTTCTGCGCTGCATCACGAGGTCAATGCAAAATACGAAGTAGAGCCTCCCAGACCTCTGAGGCGTTATGCTCGCATTCTAGGCCCAGCGCCTACCCCTGAACTACTAGTAGGGCTTGAACTTTCCTGCTTGGCGCCCGTACAGTAGGAAACTGCCCACTGGCTAAGCAATAAATCCTCAAGCCCGCAGTATTTTATTCAGTACTGGGCTGGCGTTGCCAAAGTACCCTGTCACGCCAATTTTGGATGTTGTGGCTCAGGCTGGTTCCCCAAATGGGACAGAGCTGATGAAGCGACTAATCTCATCGAAGATCCCCCGTGCGGCTCTTTAGTATGTGATAGCTATGAGTAAGTAAGCATTCTAATTTCTACTCTCCTTATACCCGTTGTGTATCGTACTACCTAACCTTCAGCAACCTCTCGTTCATTGAATCATTTATCACGTCCTCTTCGCATTCAATACTGGGTGCTCTGGACTAAAAGAAGGCTTTCAAATAACTGTTGTTTCACACATTGATAAGGAGTATCACATCTCAACAACCAACCACGAGTTGCGAAGACCGAGTGTCAGTAAGTCGAATTCGTCTGATCCACGATGGCAACAGCTGTGCCACAGTCCTTTGAAAAGGAGTTGCCGATCGACCATGACGAGAAGGTCCTTTTGTCTTTGGGTTACAAGCAGGAGTTCAGACGAGAGTTCAGTCTTTGGACCTCCTTCTGTGTCAGCTTCGCCGTGTTGGGTTTGCTTCCGAGTTTCGCATCGACGTTATACTATGGCATGGGTTACGCTGGAACTGCCGGTGTGTTGCTCAATTTTTTTCAATTTTATTTCAACCAATGTTGGGGACGGTTGTTATAGGATATTGGGCTGATATCAGTCTTCCTTCCAGGGATGGTCTGGGGATGGATAATTGCCATGGTGTTTATCCAATGTGTCGCCCTGAGCTTGGCCGAACTCTGCTCATCAATGCCAACAAGGTCAGGATTGTATTCACAGTCTGTCGTATGGTATAGTCTGACGTACCTTTACCCAGCGGTGGTCTCTATTATGCGTCGGCTGTTCTTGCACCTCCAGGCTGGGGCCCTGTTGCATCTTGGGCGACTGGCTGGTCCAGTTGGATTGGACAAGTCACAAGTGCGCCATCGGTTAATTATTCATTGGCGGCAATGATGCTGGCTGCTCGGTCGATAACCGTCTCAGACTACGTACCAACTAACTACGAGGTATTCCTCCTCACCGCTTTCCTCATGATCATCCAAAGTTGCATCAGCAGCATGCCGACGAAGTGGATCGCTTTCTTCAATTCTTTTGGGTCCAGTATCAACATGGTAGCAGTAATCATTGTCATCATTCTCATACCTACCGCTACTACGACGGAACCTAAGTTCACACCAACTTATCAAGTGTGGAGCAACATCGATAATGGTACAGATTTTCCCAACGGTATCGCCATGTTGATGAGTTTCATCAGCGTTATGTGGGCAATGTCAGGCTTTGATGCGCCATTTCATCTGAGCGAGGAATGCGCCGTTGCTGACGTCGCGTCCCCCCGCGCCATCGTTTTGACGTCTGTGATTGGTGGCATATTTGGTTGGGTCTTGCAGGTTGTTGTTGCGTACACCGTCGTCGACATTGAGGCAGTCTTCAACTCTGACCTCGGCCAACCGTGGGCGACCTACTTGCTCCAGGTTCTGCCGATGAAGGCTGCGCTTGCCACTCTCGCATTGACTATAATAGCTGGCTTCTGCATGGGTCAAGGTTGCATGGTTGCAGCATCTCGAGTCACCTATGCCTACGCCCGTGACGGTTGCTTTCCCCTGTCACAATACTGGCGGAAAGTGAACAAGTACACCAAGACACCGGTAAATGCGGTATGGTTCAACTGTACCATTGGTATCCTGCTTTGCCTCCTTATATTTGCTGGAGAGGTGGCTATCCTAGCCGTCTTCTCTGTCGGCGCCATTGCTTGCTTTGTTGCATTCACGATCCCCATCTCTTTGAGAGTCTTCTTTGTCGGCAACAGGTTTCGAAGGGGACCTTGGCATATTGGAAAGTTTGGGAAGCCGGTCGGAGCGGCCGCCGTTGGGTTCGTCGTCCTGATGGTTCCGATACTGTGTTTGCCTAGCATGGTAGGAAGTGACCTTGAGTAAGTCCTTGAAAGCCCTATCATCAACGGAAAAGTTATTTACTGAATCATTAGCTCTTCCAATATGAACTGGACCTGTCTTGTGTACGGGCTTCCCATGTTGCTTGCTTTTCTCTGGTTTGCCATTGACGCCCGTAAGTGGTTCAAAGGACCAAGGGTTAATGCCAAGCATGCCATGATCGGCCAGGTTATTAAAGAACTCGGGACGCAAGCTTGATTCATAGTCCGTTCAGGTTGTCAGACGAATTCAATGACACCAATAATGTACGTAGTATGAAAAGGTCTACTCCACGTTTAATCTCTCTCCGGCCTGAAAACGGGCCCAAGTCGTAGAAGTGGGTCCTCTTGTTCTACGAAGCACCGGGTAGAGAGCCTCGCAGAAGTGGGGAGGAAACAGGTATCCATCTCCCTTCCAGAGATATTCACGCTATCTAGTCTCCGTACCCGATTAGATGGCGTGAAAGAGCAGGGTGTGGAAGAGCAGCAGGAAACTGGGCTTAACGGTTTTCTGAGCCTTCTAGATCGCTACTCTTAAGAAGGCTGCAAATCCAGAAAACGTAATCATGGTAGTAAATATGAAAAGTCTTTACCAATACGTGGCTGATTCGTGTTGTAGGTGAGATAAGACAATACTCAAGAACTGCCAACTGGATCTAGTCCAGTCCAAACTCAATGACTTCCTCCTTGCCGGCAAAACTTCGGATCGCTTCCAAAAAAATTACTTCCTTGTGTCATCTTTGGGCCTCTGTAGATTAACGTCAAGGGTTTTCTCTTGATTCGAAATGCGTGACAAAAATAGCTTTTGAAGACCCGACGCCAGCTGATGGATCATTAAGGGAAAACGAGGATGTTTTGCCTAAAAGATTTTGCTGAGATCGTCATCGCAGATGTAATATTTGCTTTGTCCTATGTCAACTTGCACCCTCCGAATCATCTGATACGGGCCGAAAGCCCAGGCCCGGAAGCAAGATCTCCGTCCAAATAAACAGCCCAACAACGAGAGGGTAGCGGTTCAAATTCGTGATCCAGCCGCGGTCCAAGAAGAGGAAGGTGACTTGATTCGGACTCTCCAGACTTGAGGTAGTTAAGGATATGTGGAGCACATACGTCAAACTCAGGTTGTAAATGGGTTGAGAAGCCATCTTGTGTTGACGTGTAGCCCATGGCTACTCCATACGTTGTGTATAACAAAGAAAGAGATGATGTCACAGGCTGCGACACTTCCCGTCGTGCCTTAATGACTTTCTTGGTGTTTTCGCATTCTTGCGTAGTAAGAGAGGGTTATAGCATGGTTCGTGGTCGTGTCCCCATTCGGGAAGGGTCAACCTTGCAGAGACAAAAAGCTAGGGTGGAACCGCAGGCTTGTCGCTTGAGTCGTTCCAAGATCTTCACCCACAAGCAAAGTAACCACGTCTGCAGTGGCACTCGGCATTGCGGATAGGACCAATCCCGTGGACTCCAAACTCAAATTGCAGAACCGTGGTCCAAAAGCGGTACGGTGTCGATTACCCACAGCATGCATGCATCATGCGGCAGATGCCTGAATCGAGCAAGGCACGGGCTCTGCAGCTCTGTATTACGTTGGCTCGAAACGGAAACCAATGATGCATTATTCTCCTTATTGGTAGCAGGAGTGACGGGGGCGTCCTGCAAAATAGCCAAATCATGTCAGATCCTGATGATTAATCGAAGCAGGTCTAGCAGTGCATGTGATCGCCTTGCAGCTCGGCAAAGGCAAACCATATACAGTATTTGTTGTGACCACGGGTGACAGATGGCATCAATGAATCTTTGTCTGCTTCCAGATGACCAGGCAATGATACATTGGCAGGCGAGCGTGGTTGCAATGCGCTTACTATTAGTTACGGCAGCGTCGGCGAATATTTCAGAAAAATCAGGCTTGGACGTCTCTCAGGCCATCGTCCTCGCTTTCGGAAGGCTTCCTTGAGCAAGACTTAGCGTTCCATCCTTCGCATTGATCCGATCAGTAGGCGAGAAGGCGTCATCCCGTCATCCCGTCATCCCGTGGCGTTCTCACGTTCGATTAATTCCCCTACTATGTTGTTTAGGTGAAACCTCTTCTCAATGGTCGAGGAACCTTCTATGCATTTTCCAAAATCGTCACTAGTCCACAATTTAGCGATTCACAGCCTACTTAGCAAAGGTGGATGGCTAGTAGAAGTGCCAGTGGCACAGTAATAAGCCATGGCCTAGCCGAGGAGAGTGGTGGTGTGGATTTGAGATTGGGCGTCTTTTTCGTGCCAGCGTCATGCAGCTTGCGCAGGCGAGACGTGGATCTCACAGCGTCGCCTGAGACATCATTCTCGCATTGAGCGAAGTGCAGGAATAATACCAAGATGTAACCCGCCCCACCAACCAGCGAGATGGGTCACGTCCAAGCAGGGTCTCTGTGTGCTACGAATACAACATTGCCTCCTTAGGAGGCCTGCGAAGCAACGTAAGGATCTTCGTCGCTAAAGCACAATCTGCAGTAGCGATGATTCACTACGTAAGAAGAGAGGCTCGGAATGTAGCAACCCTGGTCATTCGGTAATAATGGGGAATACAGCTTCCTGACGCTTTTGTTGGTACTGCATGCCAAATCTGCCTTGGTGAAGATACAAACCCTTCGCATGAACACCCATTTATCCGACGTCCTCTACAATTGCAGCAAAGATGGCTGCTGACTTTGAATCTCGAATGGGAGTAGCTATTGAGTACTAGTAATGTGGAAGACGCATCAGCCCAACGTCAGTGCTATTCTGGGCCCCCGTAGATTTTCATCCGAGCTCCACTACTACATTGAGCCCCCCGTAGTGCATGCATTCACACGTGCGCCTTCTGCTGGAATCCCTGCTGGTTCACGCCAAAACCCCTTCTGGACCCGAACAACCGGTGTACACTTGTCCTTGGCATTCCTCCTGCTACTCATACTACTAGTAGCCGGCAGACAGTCCCCAAGGGAGGGAGGGGATATCCCTATTGTCGTTCATATGGAACCTCAACAATTCCTTTCCTCTCTACCCTCTTCCAGACCAAAAGTCGAATTCTACTCTCGCTTCAGCAAGCCTATCATGGCCACACCATTGAGCGGGACAGTGGTCATCACTGGTGCCAGCGGGTCTCTGGGATCAAAGATTGCGTTGAAGATCGCGCGGCGACATCCCCTCTGTCACTTACTTCTCACAGCACGAGATGTATGGTCGAAGAAGGTAGAAGTCTTGTCAGAAGACATCCGATCACTTGGCCCTCGATCTTTCGAGATTGCCAAATTAGATCTTGCGAGTTTCCGCTCAGTCCGAAAGTTTACAAAGAGCACTGTCGACAGAGTCCGAACTGGAGATATACCATCAATACAACTGCTGATCAACTGTGCAGCGATCGTTTCATTCAAAGCCGATGCATTCACAGAGGACGGTTTCGACTTAGTCTATCAAACCAACTGCCTGGCACCATTCTTGCTTACCATAGATCTCTTGGAAGCCTTCCGGTTGAGTGATGGAGGTAATGGAACCCGGGTCATCAATATCGGTTGTTCTCTGATGTCGCACGGCAAACTCGATTACTTCGATAACTACACGAGCAAGAAGATCGACTCGCCGCTGGGAGTAGACGAAGGACTCATTCGGTTCGGTAGTAGCAAGCTGTTGTTGAACGCTCTAATGTACGCATTGAGAAGGAGTCTGGCCATGGTGAGTAATCCTTTCCCAGATCTCAAACGCACGACTGATATGTTTTAGACATCGAAGATCGACCTTACCATTTTCACACTCGATCCCACGCGGACGTCGTACAGTAGCAGACATGCCACCAAGACACCAGCGAAACCTCGCATGAAAACCGGATTGCTGCTTGCAATTCCATATATGACGCAGATGTTCTTAAAGAACATGATCAACAGCGCCAGCAGATCAGCAGACGCTGTTGTGAAAGTGGCCTTCGACCCATTGAAGCACGATAGGATAGGAGAGGAGAAGTATTTCGTGCTTGAGGATGAATATTATGTCAGGGACACGGTCAAGCTCACCAACGACCACGAGTTCATGGAGATGTTTCTGCGGCAATCACTGATGGATGTGGGTGTGGCTGACGAAGAAATCGTTTCTCCTGTGTGAGAGGCATTGTATTCATTTTCATTTGAATCTCTCGAGCATTCTTCCAGCAAGCGGGCATGGGATCAGAAGTATCTAGCATTAGCGTTGGCGTTGGTAACAACATCCTGGTCAGGTATGCTTGAAGCTGCCACGAGTTTTATGGAGACGGGACGATTTGTAATGTATGAACCAACCTGGGTGATGCGAAAAGCGAATCCAGTCAATTTGAAGTTGTTATTCTTGATCTTTATAAACTAATGAGAAGAGATAAGACATCTCTCTTCTTTGTAATCTCAACCATTTTATGCGTTCCGTGCGCCCAGGCTGCGGAATTCTTGATTGTGGCATTGGCTTTTTGGTTGAAATGTAAGAGGGTTGAAAAGTTCTTGGGAAATGGAATCGCGATACGGAGTACTACTTAGTAGTACTTTATCACTTGAACTGAACTGCAGTGCCATGTATCCTTGTTGGCGATCTCTTGGCACGCTGGGTTCAGTTTGAAATCCAGGATTAGGAACCTTTAGTTTCAGTCTGGATGAATTTCTTAAGATCTTTCCCCAGACCCCAGTCCTGCTCGAGTCGAACCGTTTCCCTCTGTGTTCCTGCGACCTCATTTGGATAATCCCAATCGCCCCTCCTTAAGGTGCGAATCCAATAACCAGACCGTAGCTCAGCAACCGCGAAATCGGTTCAGCCCGCGGTAGCCACCTGTCAAGATTGTTCCTGATTGGTATCTCGATCGCATGCTTAAGGGAATGTGTTGAGGGATGTACAGGCATTCAGCCTACCCCAATGGCTATGCCGCCAACAAAAGAGATGATGGCGAACCGTTCTCACAATATCTACATCGGTCAGATCTGGAAAGCAAATTCATCTGGGATTTGCCCGACCTGCAGATGATGAGAAAGCTGATGCTTTACCGTGTCACAGTTTCCAACCAAGACAAACACACCTCCACCAAAGAAATCGCATACTCAAGCTGTTAGGCTTGGGCTGCGTCCTGACCTTTTTCGGATTACTCATCCTTCATCCATCCACACGAAATCACCTTCCTCTTCTCGGAGTTGCGTCGCCCGCAGTGAAACACTTTGAGATAGAGACACTACGGTATTATGATTTAGAGACCGTGCAAGGGACGTCAAGGGGCTGGGAGAGGGAAGAACGAGTTCTTCTCTGCACTCCTCTGCGAGATGCAGAGGAGCACCTACGAATGTTCTTCAACCATCTCAGGAATTTCACATACCCGCACCACCTGATAGACCTCGCATTCCTGGTCTCCGATTCCAAGGACAATACGGAAGGTCTTCTGACACAGCTACTAGAAGAATTACAGGCGGATCCGGATCCCAAACAACCATATGGAGAGATCTCAGTAATTCATAAGGACTTTGGGCAGAAAGTCAACCAGGACGTTGAAAGTCGGCATGGATTCGCAGCTCAAGCAAGTCGGCGAAAATTGATGGCTCAAGCGAGGAATTGGTTGATGTACTCTGCACTAAGACCTACGCACAGTTGGGTTTACTGGAGAGATGCTGATGTGGAGACTGCTCCTGTTACTTTGATTGAAGATCTGATGCGACACGACAAGGATGTCATTGTACCAAGTAGGTAGTTGGTCCTGGTACAAACCTAGGATGTGGCTGACTTGTCTACAGATGTCTGGCGTCCACTGCCTGACTGGCTTGGTGGAGAGCAACCATATGATCTCAATTCGTGGCAGGAATCAGAAACAGCACTCGCCCTAGCAGAGACTCTTGACGAAGATGCAGTTATCGTTGAAGGCTATGCGGAGTACGCGACATGGAGACCTCATCTAGCCTACCTCAGAGATCCTTATGGAGACCCGGACATGGAGATGGAGATTGATGGTGTAGGAGGAGTTTCAATTTTGGCCAAAGCTCGTGTCTTCAGAGCTGGCGTTCACTTCCCTGCATTCTCATTCGAAAAGCATGCCGAGACGGAAGGCTTCGGAAAAATGGCTAGGCGGATGGGATTTTCGGTCGTTGGACTGCCCCACTACACGGTGTGGCATCTGTATGAGCCTAGCGAACAAGACCTGCAGCACATGCAAGAAATGGAAGCAGAGCGCAATTCACGAGCACAAGAGGAAAAGGAACGGGAAGAGCGAATGAAGAGGATCAAGGAGGAGTTCAAAGACCCGAATAGTCAATGGGAGAAGGACAAGGCTGGTATTGCAGAAAAGACGAGACAAGAGGAGAAGGCAGCAGCAGAGAAGAAGGTAGCAGCAGAAACGAAGGAAGCAGCAAAGGAAACGGCCGCGGAGGCAAAGGCAGAGCAAGCAGGGGAGAAGATTCAATCTCCCGATACTGCTTCAACATCCGAGGAGAGTGTCAAGGGAAAACGGCCGCTGGGTAAGAAAGCTTCCAGCGACTGAGCTTGTTAGTGTTTACATGCATCTTCAACGGCGTTCGGCATGGTTGGTTGTGATGAGGCCTTGTCGACAGGAGGAGTTCCTCTTCAACGAGTAAATCTAGGAATCCATGAATCTATACTTGCGCAACGCGCCGTCGACGCCGGTTCATGCAAATGACAGACCTTGCTGGTGCAGTGGTGAATCGCATTGATCGACATCACATATGCAGGTACCAGGGTATTATGTAAGCCTTAGCCACTCCAGAGAGCTCCCACTCAGTCTTGACATACTACGAAGTTAGTACTCGAGTATTGGTATCATATCAAATCTGCTATGGAATAAACACCCCCTGGTCAACTGCAAAACTTCAATCATGACTACTCAGACCTCATTTGCTGAGATTCCTTTGGCCATTGCCCATTCACAACAGAATCTGCGTCTGCTTGAGCTTCCACCCAACCTGCTCGATTTGCTCTCGGCTCCACGTCCACCCAGGTATGTTACGCCGTCCGTTCATGGCGTGACCTTAGTTGACCCGTTGAGGAAGCCTTTATCTCAAGTCTTCTTCCCCAAGGCATTCGAGGCACCAGTCTGTGCTGTCAAGTCCTGCGGACAAGGCAGCTGAGACTCTTCATCTCTGCACTCAGACTCAATCGTATCAAGTACGGCAGGTCTCGACATCGAATTCAGTTTATATAATTGAGTCGTCAATTGCCCGCCCTGCATCTCGACGTGGGGATGATATCATGCAATTTGATGAGTCGCCAGCACAGCCTTCGAGCGCCATGACTGCAATCGCAAAAGTCGACACGATGCTCGAGCTACTTCCGGTCTCGTACGACGTAAAGCCGATGCTGGAGCGCCGTTTACCTCTCTACACGGCGTCTGAGCTGTCTTCGAGTGAGGAATCGCTGTCACTCTTCCTGTCTCAGTCAGCTTCCGTCTCGAAGGATGCCCTGTTCTCCGAGATTCCTGCTCCCAATGCTGAAATTGAGCAAGCCTGGCGCGATCTCCTGGCATTCGAATATAAAGGTCGATGCGCGAAACCCAGTGCTTCGACGTTGTTTGGTGTATGGCATTCCGTCATCCATTGGGCCGCTCTAGAACGATGGGATCTGGCTGGTGATGTCAACTTCAAAGGATTCTTTGTAACGGAGCAAGCCCCTTCTATTGAAGCTATGGTGGCGCAAGCTATCTTAATCAATCTTGGGCATGAGAAATTACCTAACAGCACAGCCTCCTCCATGCACCTAGACCGAACGAAAGTAGCTCGCTGGACCGGCATGACCCTGCTGCAAGCCAGGTCGGAGAGACCAAATTCCAATCCACAGCTACTTAAGGACGACTATGTCAGCCAGTGGCAAGACCTGCTGCCAGAAGCGTGGAGGGAGGATGCCGTACTGAACAAGCTGCCAAGCGGTAGCTACGCTATCGAGGCCGTAGAAGGGAAGGAAACGATTATCTGGATGGGCTCAGATGAGTCTGGCTTAGGAGCAGCACAAACCGCTACGTCTGAAGCGGCGAAAGCGACGTCCGGGAAGAGGAAATGGCATGAGAAATTCAAGGCGCAGAGGAAGGAGATGAAGAAGTGAGCATTGCTGCAAAATCTGCTGCGGGTTTTACGTTTAGGTATTGTTAGTGACTTTGCGCTCCCTGCTTGTGACGCATAATGCTCCATCCGCCAAAGTCTAGCACCGCTCAAACACCCTATACAGCCCTTTCAGGTTCGCCACCTCCACCACACCCCTCAATAACCCTTCTGTCGCAACCAGCCTCGCCCGAAAGGCCGGAAACAGTACATGCTCCAAGCTCCACGTCAGCTGCTTCCTTCTCTTCGACAAGTCATCATCTGCCCCTTCTGCACTCGCTGTCGCTTTCCCCGTGGCAGCCAATTGCTCTGGAACATAAAATGCAGCCAGTTCTGTCAAGAAAGTCTGGAAGCATTCCTGCTCATCCGTCCAGTCGACAAAGGGACCCAACCGCACGAGGAAGCGTGCCAGCTTCGCGAATGAAGGCATGTATCCTTTCAGCAGTAGAGGTAGAGATTTTAACTCTCCATCTTCTGAGATCTCGATGGAGAAGTACTCGCTGAGCATTTCCCGGCGGGAAAGCAGCTGTTTGTGTACTGCCTGGGCGATGTGTGATGCACTGGCTTGAACTTCCTTGCTCCCCTCTTGTTTGGCGTTCTCGACCTCGGCTTCCGCTCCAATCATCAACAGATCTATCAATTTTGATGCTGGATCAAGCACTATACGGCCAAAGTTACCGAAGTCAGTCAGCCCGACCTGGTAGAAGAACTCATTGGAGATCAGTCCATAGTCAACAAGAAACAACTTGACTCCTGCTTGGATGGCGCACAGTCGTCGTCGCTCGTCTACTAGTCCGACAAATGTATGAGAGGCAAAGACCTCAGTTAACCCTTCGTGCATTGCGTCTCGTACTTCACCCCGCAATGTCTTGATGGAGGTCAATCGGATCTGGACTGGCTCGCGGTTCGTGATCTCGTAGGTCACACCTTCCATCGTTCCACTTGCAGGTTGAGCGGGTGAGCCTTCAGCGCCTGCAGATGGGAGCATAGATGTGATTTTCCGCATCTTCGAGTCGGTTCGTACAAGGTTGTTTTCGTATGGCTTTTTGGTGGTGGCCGGCGTTTTGGGGGCACTCGAGCGGCGCTCTGACTGTGGGCTTTCGCTGTTTATGTCGTTTCGGTTCGGTGTTTGAATGGTAGGAATGTTCACACCGGGCAGCAAAGACTGCGCAAGAAACGTGCGGCTCGTGTCCACTTTCGCTAATTTGGCCTTGATCTCATCGCAGACCAGTTCGATGACTTCGTCTTCATTGAGGAAGTGTACCTCGCGCTTCGTTGGGTGGACATTGACGTCAACCCTATTTGGCTCAACCTCCAGGCTGAGATAGACGAACGGATGCCCTCCTTTGGGAAGAAATATGGAGTAGGTCTGCTCGATAGCTTTTTTTATGGCGGAAGACTCTACAGAACGATGGTTGATAAAGAGGAGGATCATGGTGCGCTTTACGTGGTAGTTGGCATTGCTGGTCCATCCTGATGCCTTGAAACCCCACTTCTTATCTTCGATGTTGAAGTCTATGAGCTCGTTGCCAACTGTACTGCCGTGGATCTGTTTAATTCTGTCCACAGTGGAAGCATTTGCCTGGACCGAGATCCCAGAACCGGTGTCTCCATGCTTCTTGATCGAAAAGGCTACGCCTGTACAGTGCACAGCGTATCGACCAACTACGTCGAGGATCTTTGCATATTCCTCGCTTGCTGAACGAAATGCTCGGCGCCGAGTTGGAATGTTATAAAAGAGATCCTCGACCTGTGTGATACCTTTAGACCTCCGGACCAGAGTCAAAGCACGAGGGCCGCACTCACAGTGATCTGGGTTCCACCACGTCCGGCGCATGGCCTCGGCTCTGCGCTCTGTCCTGGTTTTGCTGGAACAAGTTTCCCATCCGCATAATGGGCCTGCCAGGCACAGCTGGATCCAGCGGTCTTGGTCGTGACCTTGAGATGTGCAATATGACTGATACTGGCCAACGCTTCACCACGAAAGCCATATGTCCCAATTGACTGGAGATCTTTGAAAGCCTTCAATTTTGACGTAGTGAAACGCTCACACAGTATTGACATGTCGTCTCTCTGTAAGGAGGGTTAGCATTATGGGCATCTGCTGTATTGCACCCAACATTACATCAATGCCATGCCCATTGTCCGTAATCTGCAGTAGTTTCAAGCCACCGTCTTTGACAAGGACCTCAATAGAAGTAGATCCAGCATCAACAGCATTCTCCATCAGCTCCTTCAAGGCATGCATAGGAGCGACGATGATCTCGCCTGCCGCGATCTTGTTGACAACATCTTGATCAAGAGCCTTGACCAAGAGTCAGTCATCATTCTTTGCATGTAAGTGTTGTTGTGGTGGCATGCCTTGATTCGTCGTGGAGCTTGAAGGAGAGGTAGATCTGCCTCTGCTGCTGTGCGCTTTGTGCCTCGAGATTCGGCGTCTATATCCATAGGTTCAGTCATTATGAAAAGCACAGAGACGATTACGGAAGTTGCTCGTAATATAAAATGATCCACTTCCTCTCTAATGTGGTTGAGTGAGAGTCGCTATGCACTTGGAGCATGTAAGTGGCACCCAGAAGTAGCCCTGGAAGAGGGTACAGTCGGGCCGTTGGTGGGCGGCTTTTTGGTGTTTTGCCTGGAAGACATGGGGGATTCTTAGGGCACTGCTCACTAAGTCAGTTAACCACCTTCCCGTACAGGTGACTAAATTGATGAGCTGTTGCGAGCTCGGGTATCTGCCGGTGGGAATCTACTTTGTGAGACCTTAACTCACCCTCACACCTCTGCCTGTACTATTGGCATGCAATGCTTGCTCTACAGTGTCTTGGACAACGCCAAACTAACATTCAAGCATATATAGCTATGGTTGACTCTCTCTGAACTTTTGCGATCAAAGAATACTTGGGCGTTTCCTCGTTGCCAACCCAGCTTGCATATCCAAGTTAGAACCCCCCATATGGAGCCCCTCGATCGAGGCCGACAGCGAACCGAAGAAGTCTGAACGCTTCCAGCCTAAATTTGGCAGAAATGGCAATGAACTATGTCACTTTCAACCAGGACTACAGCCGCCTGGCTGTCGGTAAGTCCTTTCAGCACTACGGACGAAACTCTGGCTGATCAGGAAAGGAACATCTCGGGGATTTCGCATCTTCACCACGGATCCTCTCTCCAAGTGCTTCGAGACCAAGGAAGGTAACATCGCTATACTCGAGATGCTTTTCTCAACCTCGTTGGTTGCTCTAATCCTCTCACCTCGCCGCCTACAAATCACGAATACCAAGGTCAGTCCGAACAGACCATTCAGCGGTACTCGCAAAGGCAAAAGCTGATCTCGTCTTACCCATAGCGACAATCGACTATATGCGAACTGACATTTCCCACGACGGTTCTGGGAACCAAGATGTCGAGAAAGAGACTCGTTATTGTGCTTGAACATCAAATATATCTATATGACATTCAGAACATGAAACTTCTGTACACCATCGAAACATCGCCAAATCCAGCTGGTAAGCGTTTATTGCGGTACATCACATGAGGAGCATGCTCAAACCTCTTAGGAATCTGCGCGCTGTCCCCGTCTTCGGAAAATTGCTACCTTGCATATCCTCTACCCCAAAAATCTGCAACATCATCCTTTGCGCCCCCTTCACACGCACCACCCGGTAGCTCGCATGTTATACCAACTTCTGGCGAGGTCCTTCTTTTTGATACTGTGAAGTTGGAAGCCATCAATGTCGTGGAAGCTCATCGGTCGCCGCTGTCGTGTATGGTCCTGAACAATGAAGGGACAATCCTAGCCACTGCGTCCGACAAAGGCACGATTATCAGGGTTTTCTCCGTTCCAGATGCTCACAAGCTGTACCAGTTCCGAAGAGGCTCCATGCCTTCGCGCATCTTCAGCATGTCGTTCAATATCACCTCAACGCTACTCTGTGTTTCATCTGCCACAGATACTATTCATATTTTTAAGCTAGGGCCACAATCATCTTCCCCAACCGCAGAGCCGTTTTCCTCGCCTAGCAGGTCTCCTAGCTTCTTCGATAAGCGGCGGTGGAGTCAAGGGAGTGAGTCACCAGTGGAACCTAGCGACGATCTGTACGACTCTGAATTGGCCTCCTCCGTCTCTGCGAGAAAACCAAACGGCACATTCATGGGTCTCATCCGACGGACTTCGCAGAATGTTGGCACCAGCCTTGCCACAACGATGGGAGGATACTTACCTAAAGGGGTAACGGAGATGTGGGAGCCTGCGCGTGACTTTGCATGGATCAAGATACCCAAGGCGAATAACTCATCAACCTCGGGTTCTTTGAGGAGCGTTGTTGCCATGAGCAGTAATACTCCGCAAGTAATGGTTGTTACAAGCGAGGGCAACTTCTACGTTTTCAGCATTGATCTTATAAAGGGTGGCGAGGGGACGTTAACCAAGCAATATTCGTATGTCCATGCTCGTCCCCAGCATCTGCTTCTTGCTGACAATTCCGATAGAGTGCTTGAGACCAACGAGAAAATGGGTCCGTCAACCATGGATTACTAAATTAATGTCCATACTTTGCGCCTGAATCTTTGAGGTGGTTTATTGATAGCGTTGGCGTCCGGAGTTTCCTATTATTGGCTGCGACGATTCCTTGTTGGCCCGAACATCTATCACACTCTTCTCTCCATTTTATCTCTCTTGCCGTGACAGGTACATTGACTCTGTCCCATGTGATGCTGGTGGTTCGACGTCCACTCAATGATACCTGTAAAACACAACCTGTTGACAGTTTTCTTGACTTCATATTTTCCAGTGACCTGTCAGACTGGTCTCCTATCCACTTAGAAAGCGGAGAAACCTTTTTGGGAAACCGCTTTCAGCCATTTTGACGCCCAAGTATTGGCGTTTTTATCATGCCCAAAATAGTGCTGAAGTCTGGCGGATCTCTTGTCATTACCGCATGTGTAGAGGGTATAGGACCAAGCACCACAGACCGCCCCATAACCATCGCCCCGAGCCTCAAAATTCTAATGTATCGTCTGGACCTGGGACCCTTGCCATTGAACGCCTGGTGCTGCATGCTCGTCATGAATATCATTGCCACAATATCATCTTCAGGGTTCCGCCGTTGCATCAATGTCCATGCCACCAACCTCCCTCACTGTTCCGCCCACCTTCTCCCACACCGCTCTGAGACTCACTTTGAACTCCGCCATCCTGACTCCAAAAATCTTCAGCAATGTCGTTTGTCTCGAGTCCAGAACATCACCCGGCCTGCAGACCACGTAACCGTCCTCTCCATCCTCCATCCCCTCTGGCTCCGCACTCTCCTCCAGCACAACCCTACCCTTGACAATCCTGGTCGGGACACCCAATTTCCTCAGCGTCGGCTCAACCGCAACGGGGATCAGATCCTCCTCCCCCTCGGCGCCCTCAACACCAAACCGCGTCCTCAGCTCCCCCCTCGGAATCGTAAACCCGGCCTCCGCCCTCGTCCCCGCCCTCGCATAATCCACCTCGCTGAACGCGGCAAAATACCCCTCCACCTCCGCCCCCGCCAGCCGCGTACACAACAGCCCGACCTCCCCGCGCATATACGGCGTCAACCCGCTCAGCCCCGGGGCATACTCCGTCTCGACCGACGCGCCCAACGCGTGCACCATCAGCTTCGTCTTGCCCATGAAGATGCGGCTGTTGTCGCCCAGCTGCGCGCGGATGCGCTTGATGATGCTGTTGCGCATGTTCTGCACCGAGAAGACCCAGATGGACGGGTAGGCGTCGATGGCGGCCTGGATGCGCGAGTGCAGCCGTTGGACCAGCTCTTTACGGTTCTTGCCGGTTTTCGAGGTCGGGATCACGCGCGCGCGTTTGGATCGAGGCATCGTGAGAGGATGGCACAGATAGTGTGGGTCGGGTTCGATGGTGCGGATGTGTCTTGGTGGTTCGTGGAGGGTATGCTGGTGAGTGACGAGCGCAGGTCCTCTGGATGAGAATTGGAAAATCAGCGGGTGGGAAACTTTTTGGATGCCAAGATTTCGGGGTCTCTGACCCTTGTGACTAGCCGCTTGGCGTGCCCCGCACATCATACGAGCACCCCGGCACTAGGCTCCGCAAGACAACATTTACAGTATACATAGTGATGGATCATTTATTGTGATTTCTGGGTACCGGTTTGTCTTTTCTACTTGATGTTAAAGGATTACTTTGAAGAACTTATCACTATGTACGTTTATATCTTGTTGCTTTGTGTCTCACTTCTTACAGGTTATATATATTTCCTTTCTCCTTTTTCCTGAACCTCTCTCTTGTTCGTTTATTCTTCCTTCCCTCTGCTTCCAACCTCATAGCACAAAATTCGAAAAATTACCACTCCAACCTCCAATCCGAACCCCATGCCCCGATCTTCTTCGTCGCATCTTCCAGCCCAGTAATCCTGAAAGTCTTTCCCACAGAATCATATGCTCCCTCCCCAACCATTTGTCCATTCAATCTTACTTCCCCTTCCGGTGCCTTCTGCACCCCCATAACCGTGACATTCGCCAACGGCACCCCATCCTCAAACCCACCCGTAACCTTGGCCGTCAACGTCGACCCATCAGCCTCAAACTCCACCTCCTTGATCGCTTCTGGGTTCAGGGACTCGCCGTCGTCGAGGTATAGATACCCGTTCGCTGAACCCGAAGCGTCAAGGGCGACGAGGACGGACCAGGGCAGTTTGCGCGCATCACGCGTGGTCAGGGCCATGGGTTGCGTGGCGAGCACGGCGCCACCGCGGATGTAGACGAGGATATGGCCAAGCGGGGCAGAGATGGTGACGTTTCCGGTTAGGGAAGGGGAGATGGGCGATTGGGTGTACCAATCATAGTAGAATTCGTTTTGACTGGCGTTGTTGCCGCTGCTGTTGCCGTTACCAGGGAAGACGCCGTCCACGGACGTAGCGCCCTGTTCTAGCACCGGTGTGACTAGGATATCGTGGCCGAGGAAGAACTGACGGTCCGCATCAGCAAGGGAGGGGTCGTTGGGAAACTCCCAGGCAAGGGCGCGCATGACGGTGTCACCCTTTGTGTTGGCGAGGTGGAAGAGCGTGTACATGTACGGCAAGAGTTGGAAGCGGATATTCATGGCGGCTTTTGTGGCGTCGATGACCGATGCCCAGACGTAGGCTTCCTGGGGAATGGCGGAGAGGACGTTGTGGTTACGGTAGAAGGGGAAGAGGGCCGACAAAGACATCCAGCGATTGCAGAGTTCTTCATCGGAGTTGCCGTTGAAGCCGCAGGTGTCAGTACCGAACATGGGGATGCCGAAGAGGGAGAAGGACAGGGCTTGTGGGATGGAGAAGTACATGTAGTACCATTTGGACGCATTGTCGCCTCCCCAGTGGCCTGCTACCTTGCCGGATCCGGGGAAAGTACTGCGGCCGATGATGAAGGGTCTTTTGCCTGGGAAGATCCGGCTAAGCCCGAGGTAAGCTGTTGGAGGTTTAACAGTTTGCAAACAGAACAATACTCTTTAGACTTACTGGCTTGGAGAAGAGAGTGTCCATACAAATTATGAACGTCATACTCTTGAATGCCATTTGTATGAGTAGCGTTTCTTGCGAAAGAAATGTCAGCTTCAAGGGTTTTCCACTGTCTTTTTATGGTTCTGCTTTGGACAAAGCTGGATGCGTGCATACACCTTCACCTGTAATCACGAAATCTGTGGATAGACAAGCAGTCACAAAAATTTATGTTATGAAAGTCCACAAGCATAGACGGATCTTGTACTCACGGACTGATTGCATGAACCGACAGATCCGCACCGTTCTGCACATGATCGATCACATATGGTGGATAATTGACATTTCGTACACCTGGTGTAGGTGTGCTGCGGAAGTAACTTGTTGATGTCGAAGGGGCTGATACAGCGGTAGAGCTCGCAGCCGCTGCTTGGCTGGAGGATGCGGCGGATGCGGATGCAGCTTCGGTGGCGTTGGTCAAATTGAAACCTTCAGGATACTCATAGATGACGTTGCCAGGTTCACCAGGAAGTCTGAAACTTGGATGTACAGGATTCAAGGTCAGGTTTCCTGAACCACAGCTACCCGAACAGAAGGAAGCAGCTTCATTCATGTCGATCCAGGCCCCATCGTATCCGTCAGTTCCGAGCTTTTCGTGGTAGATTACGAGTTCATTCGCCCAAAATTCGACCCCAGCATCCGAAAGAACATCTGGGAATACGGTATAACCAGGCCTGGTGGCACATCAGCTTTACTGCGCTCAAGATGTAAGACCTTGGGGAGCAACGTACCATACATCTCCAATATAAGTAGAACCATCGGGATTGAGCACCCACGAGTCTGTCGCATTGCCACGATCGAAAGTCTCGTAGGTATCACTGGCATTCTCTGGGTTGGGTATGTAAATAGCCGCGTCTATAATGGGTATGTAATGTCTTCCGCCATCGTGAAGGCGTTTCAGGAAATCCTGTCCAGTCTCATAATCATAGCGACCTAGATCATTCTCAAAGTCTCTATATTGATTCATGTAATCTGCCTCAAAAGTCAATGCCAGCGACTGAGAGTCGCACACAAACCGGATATTAGACATACCAATATCGGTCCAGATGTTCTCAAGGGGAATGCCAAAGTCAGTATACGTGTTGACTACGTCCTCCACCACGGACCAATTTTCATAGCCCCAGCGGCATTGATGGAGGCCAAAGGTAAAGTACTGCTGCATAGCCGGGTAGCCAATCACATCCTGGTATTGCTTGGTCACTTCTGGCTGTGATGGCCCAGAAAAGAAGTAGAGATCAATACTGCCACCAATTGTACGCCAGGTGATGTTGTCGGCACGCATGAGCACTTCTTGCCCGCTGTGAACCGTCAGCGATGACATAGCTTCAGATCAGGAAACTCACTGAGCATTTCTCAAGTACACTCCGTGGGAGTGAGAAGTATAGCTTCCGTCGCCGGCGCTATCGTTAGCTGTGATGTAGGTGTAAGAGCCATCGTCTTCCGATTGGAAATATCTCGTGTCCAGATAGAATGGATGACTTCCGTACAGATTGCGATCGATCGGGTCGCCTACGTCGGCAGCGTAGATGGTCCGTGTGAAGTTATTTCCAAGCCTCAATCCATGAATCACCTCACCCAATCCATATACGTTGTATTTGGCGGGCTCCGATGTGACGAATTCGATGAATTGGTCCTCAAATACTAACTTCGATCCGGCCGTGGAGAAAATCGCATCTCCAGTCGAGTTCCTCGTGACCTCGAAGGAGAACGAAGGGTCGTTCGACCAAGAAAAGGTCAGATCACTGCTAGATGCAGCTCCATTTTCCTGGCTGGGGCGCGCAACGTATTCAGGCGAGAGAAGGTAGTTGCTTCGGTTCGACGAGTCTATGTGCGAGGGTACAATCTCGACATGAAGTCTCGAATCTGTCTGGTATTCAACGGTAAGGCTGAGACTGTTGATGTCGGTGCCATAGACATTGCAAGCTGGACCAGCTAATGTCAAGTCTGCGGTAAGACCGTTATCCGAAGATTGAACATTGCTGCCCTTGTACCCTGGACACACTGTTTGCGCATCGGCGGCTTGAGGGTCCTTCACATTTGGAAGCAAGGTCTTGCCAACGTCGGCGGACGCTGGAACCGTGAAAATTGGCCGGAAGCTAGCAGTTGAAAGGCTGGCTCCTGGCGAAGCTGACTCTTGGGCCTCGACGACCAGCGGAGACAATAGTGAGACCACTTGCAGCCATTTCAACCTCCACGGAGACATAGCGGCCGGCAACTCCAACAGCTGACAAATGTGATAGCAAAAATGGGCACATGAAGCAAAGACCAGTCAAGGTCTGGAGAAGCTTTCTCCCTACACAAACAAAGAAAGGTAGGAAGTATAAAGAAAGCAGGAAAGATAGAGGAACCACTTATCCTCTGCGAAGCTCCTGCAAACAGAGGGAAGCTTCCCTGACAAGCATGACAAGCTTCTTCAAGCTTCATCCTGGCCCACTTTGGTAGTGTGTATTTGAGCTTCGGTAGACGTTGCAATGAATACTACGTACCCCTCATGCCAACGTCGTCTCGATTAACCGCAACCTAGAGATCGACGTTTCTTTCTTCGGGATGTACTCCGTACGTAGTAAGATTTGAGCAAAGGTGAGCGAGGGGAAGCAAGAAGCAAGCCAATAAAACTGTGGGCTTTGGTGATGACGTCAAGCAGGGGTAAGTATAAGTAGTACTGCCGTGTGGGGCCTTGGCGCCTATGAAGCTATTTCCTCCGAATTTTGTACTTTAGATTCCTAGCAAGATACACACCACCAAGTGATGCTCTGAGCCACACTGCTCCACAGCGGCTGGAAGCGGCGATTTCGGGCCACCAAGGGCGGATCAGAACGAGAAGCAAAAAGTGGACATTGATCTGCAGAGTTTGATGATTGGTGTGTTCTAACAGAGGGTCAAGGTCGCTGACTCGTGTGACTAGGATTCTCTCGACCCTAGCCGGGGAAATTTATTAGATGAAGCTTTTAGCTTACGGGGTATGAAGAAGCTACCTGTGTCCGGAGCGTATAGTTCGATCGCATAACTCGTACTGCGGATAATTCGGCCTTGATGCCCAAAACTGGTCGATGATATTTCCCACTAAATCTGTATGATAAGAACTATGCAAGTGATTAGAGTGCGGTTCTCTTGCAATCAAACCACTCTGTCGATAATGTATCATTTGAAATACCTGATAAAAAACCTGGATAGGTTGCAATGGTGTTTAGAAAGAGCCGAAATCCGTACAGAGAGTGTTGACTTATCTCCAACGTTACAGCGTGAGTAATACAGGAGTGAGACAAATGTGCCCGGCCCCTCTTCCGTTTCTGTACATTTGCCACCACGATCTCGTCAGACAGAAGTGCTCTTGGTGTGGAGACTAGAGCATGGCGGAGAAAGAGAAGACGATACATCTGTTGCTGGTTTAATGGTTGAAAATGCCTGAGTCATGAGCATAAGGTCCACTCTTTCAGGTCCACTATTCGTCCTCAACGCGCGCGACCTCAGCGCAGACACGATCGACATCTTTCAGCAAAGCTAGGTCTTTCACTTGCAGGAATCGAGATTGACCCCTTACATATAAGCGAAGATAGTCTGTAATGGTTTTTTCAGCAGCCTCTGCGTTTCCCCCAGCTATGTGTATTCCGTACACGGAGACCTTTCTCTGGTTGAAATGGGTAGCGGCTAGAGCATGGATGGCATACTCGCCAATGCTAGAAGTTCCGCCGAGGAAGACAACAACTAGTGGTTGGGTCTGGATAAGGGTGAAGATACAGGAGCTGACAACTTCAATTTGAAACATGGCCGCGAGGACTGGCACTGTTAGAACATACGTTGAACAGGTGGAAGGGCGTGAAGGTGTCTCAAGGTCAGTTGAGTGGTAGCAGTGATTGATCCAGAGAAAGAAGGTCAACCCAATTGCTCTATCTGATGCCCGCGTTGGATTGCGGCACCGTGACCATAGATATAGCATTTATATCTCCAGATCCTACCTTCTTGCCTCAGACTTGCGTATCTATAAAGCCCAGTCATCCCGAACGAGACGAAATGCAATTTGGATGACCCGTTGTAGGGAATGTCCTTAAACAAGCTATGATGACACGGATAAGTGTGCCATCATCAAAGCTTGACTGCAGCTCCATAACACGGAATTTTAAGTAGTAATAAATGCTGAGCTTCTGTTGTGGCCTGGCCAAGGCACAGGATCATCCCTTGAGCCCTTGTAGCGTGCAACTTGAAGTCCAAGTCCAAGTCCAAGTCCAAATCTCCTATGCTTGTCGGTAGAGGCAGATTTGAATCAGGGGAACCTTTACGCCAAGATTTCAATTAGTTAACCAAGGATGATCGGCAATTAACCTAACAGCTCAAGGGAGACCCAGCGCGTTACGCACGTCGGCGCCCATTCTGCCCACATTTTTCGTTGGAGGGTCCATTACGCCTCGAACGTGTATCATTCAGCACCCTCTGCCTGGACTATATCCACTCACGAACCACCTGCTATAAGGTGTTCAATTGTCAGTATCGCAGTGATGGAAGACGCGGCCTACCCCAACACACGCCGCGCGCAACCACTTCTCTCAAGGAAGAACTACTTTCTCGCATACAACGGGGTCTGCCTTGTCCTATGGAGTGTTATCACCCTTCGAGCCATCTTTCTCATCCCTATCCTTTTCATTCACGACCATCTCTATGGACTCCACGAAGCGCTTCATCCTCTGCTCGCAGCTACTCAATCTATCGCCGTCCTTGAAGTCCTCCACTCGCTTGTCGGCATTGTGAGGGCCAGCCCCTTGACGACTGCAATGCAAGTAGCGAGCCGTTTATTGCTTGTCTGGGGTGTGGTGGGAGCTTTCCCCGAGATCGTGGTCAGGAGCCGCGTGTTCGGAGCGAGGGTACAGCATTATCCAGGCACCAAAGGAGGTCCGTATGCATATGCAGGGATCTTGTTGGCTTGGGGCATCACAGAGTGTATTCGCTACGGGTTTTTTGTCTGGAAGGAAGACTTGGGCGAGGGGAGAGTGCCGAAATGGTTGACTTGGCTGAGGTACGCTTCGAGCAACTTTTTTGATTACCATGTTGGTTCAATGCTGATTGACGACACAACAGATACAATACTTTCTTTGTCTTGTATCCTTTAGGCATTTCGAGTGAGTGTTGGTTGATATACTGTGCTCTGGAGCCTGCAGCGGAGTCCATGCCTGCCTACAACATGGCTTTGAAAACTGTGCTTCTGATCTATGTACCCGGTAAGCAGCAGCCATTGTTGGGCCAGACCAAAGGCGATACTGATATCATTTAGGGAGTTACATATTGTATACGCACATGATGTCTCAAAGACGGCGTATCATGAAGGGAAAAGGAAAAAGCCTATAAAGCATGTATGATATGACGTTCAACAGACGTTCAAGATAGAGAGCTTGTCTTTTGGACGGGACTTGCGGCATGACAGACAGTGATCAACGGACTCCTCGCAGCATCAGTTGATTCAAAAACCTCATAACGAATTATCCAACTCTACTTGAAGGCGACTCGCGAAGCTTCATGACGGTCTGGATCTATCCAACAGTGCTTCCAAAGACGCCTGACAGCGGCGAAGAAGGACGGCAGCGGTCTTGTTGAGCTATGGGAGTCGCTGGCCGTCTGAAGACCTGACGCTCTCATGCTGCCACGATTCAACTAGATCCCAGTTATCATGTGCCGCTGTGTTAAGTTGCACACATCAGTCGATAGATGCTTCCGTTAAAGTGCATCAGCAACGAGGCTCCAAATTCGGGAATTGCCTTGTCGGACATGACTTTAGGGCATCAAAGGACGGCAGATGGAAGTTTTGGCAAGCGAAGGCAACAGAAGTCTATCACCGGTTCACTCGAGGCTCGTTGCAACTTTTCTCGCCACCAGCACACCCATTCCGAACCGTTCTGTCTAATTTATGCGAATATAGGCCGGCAAGAAGTGCTGCCGGCCTTAAGGGAATTCAATTTTGACATCCTGGTTTCTCATGCTCCCGTTATCGACCTGGAGATAGTGCTTCATCCTCAAGAGGTTGATCCATAGGGCTGTCTTCCCACGCTAAGAAAAATCCCAATGCCTATATTTTCAGGGGATACATCAATCAAGTGTGGTTCGAAACCCATCAGCGCCGTCCTTTGACGGCGTGATTGTTGCATCCCTTTTCTCACATGGAAGCTGTTAACGTAGTGTTCATTCATCAGCCAGTCATTTCGTCACACATCTCAACCCTAGCCCGTAACAGCGGTCTTCTGTTGTTGCCATCCTTCATCTCGGCCTATCATAGTCGCCGAAGACGAATGGCTGAGCTTGTCTAGTCTATTCTGGTCAGTCTTGCCAATCACCCCGTTCTCACCCAACCCTCACCGACGTCGTGCAGGTGGTCTCGGCACCAGCTGCAATTTGCGCTGGCTCCTGGACGAGGGCTCTGAAGTCGTCTGCTTCCTTGCTGACGTGGAACAACAGGAAGACTGGGGCGAGGTCCGGGCCAAGGCCAAAAGATTCGTGCCACGAAGATGATTATCCTGGACTTGCGCTGCGAGTCTGTTGAGCAGCTTTGGTTCCGTGCGATCCAGTGCAATGCGCAGTATAAGGAAGATAGTATCTATCGGGCATCAGACGTTCTCACACCATATCCGCTAACTGATGCTCGCCCTCAATTTGATCTGCTGGTCAAGAGCACCGTTAGATTGATATGCTTTGCTTGCGGTAGGGTCGGTTGGCTTGAAACATGCCGCGTCCTTCACCGTCTAGCTAATTAGAGTACCCTTGCCATTGCGGACTCTGGCCCAAGCCAAGAATTACCAATTCTGGGTTGGGATCCGCCACCCTCTGGGACCAGACCGACCGTAGACCGACAGCGCTGGTCTACCCTTGGAGTAGATGGTAAAGCCAAGGATCGCAGACTTATTGTATGGCGTGTTCAATTTACTTCCGACCGAGTCGTAAAGCTTTGATAATAACAATAAGCAGTGCGTCTCAGCGCCAAAATAGAGATGCTGCCAAACGCGGCTCAGTCTTTCCAAAGCAAATTCCCGCAACTTCATATCAAATGAATGACCTCTACAAGCATGTTACGAAGGGCGGAGGGTGGTGAGGAGAACTGCATGGGACCTGAATGAACGACCTAAAAGAGTAATTCGACGCAAAGTGCTTACAAGTGAAGATAAGATCATTCGCCGCTCAAATGCTCGACGAATATTAGAACAATCATCGCCAAGAACAATATCGATCCTGAAGCTGAATGCGGAAATGCAAAGCCGACGCCACACGGATGGTATTATAGGCTCAGCTGCGTTAGGATCACAATGCCAGAGGCCCAGCTGCATCAGGATCACGATGCTACAGGTATCGAGAGGGAATTCCCGGGAGATACCTCCATTGTCACATGTCCCTTCATTGACCTCCAACGTTCTGAGGAGGGTTGTCGACCAAAGTTATATAGAACGGGCTTTGTTCCATATGCTATTCCCAATTTCAGCTCATCATATCTCGGCATCGGTCTCCAGGGAGCCAGCAACAGCTTAAGTTCCCAAGATACCAAGAATTCAAACTCTTTCTTCGCCAACATACAAATCTTGCCCGCTTGTCCACCATGAAGTCTTCAGCCATCCTTGCCCTAGCCTCCATCATGGCCATGACCCCTAGCGTCCTCGGCACTGGAGTTCGTCCAGGGCATCATTGCGATAGGCTGGGGAACAGTGCATGCGAGCTGAATGGAAACCATATTGTTCACAAATTCTCTTCCCCATCCTCATAGATGTCAATAACCTTGAGAATGGGCAATGGGCTTTGAGTTCTGACGGGTGAGCTATAGATGCTGCGAGATCAAGGATGTTCAGCAAATCTGGATCAAGGTTGCCAACTGTGGCACTCGTCAGCACTGCATGAATGGCGAGTGGCGCAATAATCCATGAGGCTCGAGAGGTGGACTATCGGTTCTACTTCTACTTGGTGCTAGTTCGGAGACCAGTTCTCAATGGACAAAAGGAAGGAAACATCTATTGTTGAAGCGGTAGGCAGAAGAGGAAAAAAGGGCCTACCCATTCATATATTCATCCAGCCGATCGCCCTGGGACTTAGTTATCTGGTGGGTCGTCGACTCTCGACTCTCGACGCTTCTTGATCACAAATCACCCTAGCAGGTAGGACATGGAATTTATACACACTTAGCTTAAGCCTCTTTTGAAAGAAAGCCTCAAAGGAGATTAGTGTGGCTTTAGCCTATGTTTAGTCAGTGGTGAGTTCTGAAATGCGAAGTAGTAATCCAAGTAATTCAAGACTCGAGGGATCATTATCCCAGCACTCATAGCACTCATGAGAGCGTCTTCTCCTTTTCCTTTTCCGTTCGTACTCAACCTGTATATATGATCAGAAGCAAATTCGACCTGCTGTGCGCTTATTTGGAGCACCTCTTGGTGGGCGCTTCCTTCCATTACATTCTGCAGAACCCAAGGGTTGTGGGTGCCTAGACACTCGTCCCCTCATCAACGCTTGGTGCCAACCGGGTAGGAAATACACAGTCATCTGCTAGATCCCAGCCACGCTGATTGGCACTTTTATTCTATCATACATGTCGACGAGATGCCAACGATTCCGCCTTCACGGCTCGTGGCCCTCCAGTCGCAGCACCAGAACATACGCAATATCTGCATCCTTGCCCACGTGGATCATGGAAAAACATCTCTCACAGACTCACTCATTGCCACCAATGGCATCATCTCACCGAAGATGGCTGGGAAGATCAGATACCTGGATTCACGGCCGGACGAGCAGACACGAGGAATCACCATGGAGAGCTCGGCAATCAGTCTTTACTTTGGAATGACTCGACGCAGTGATAGCTCTCCTACCAGTAATTCCACGAAAGCTAATGCACGGCAGGCGGAAGGAGGTGGTGTAACTCTGGAGTCCGAGGGAGACTACTTGATCAACTTGATCGACTCACCTGGGCACATTGACTTTTCATCCGAGGTCAGTACCGCTTCGCGGCTATCAGATGCAGCACTCATCTTGGTTGACGCTGTAGAAGGCGTCTGTTCGCAGACTGTGACGGTCTTACGACAGGTCTGGATTGAGAAGCTGAAGCCGTTGCTAGTGATCAATAAGGTTGACAGGTTGGTGACGGAATTGAAGATGAGCCCTGCTGAGGCATATTCACACCTAGGGAGGGTGTTGGAAGGAGTCAATGCCGTAATTGGTGGCTTCTTTCAGGGCGAGAGGATGGAGGAGGATTTGCTATGGAGGGAGAGGGGCGAGGAGAAGAGACAAAAGATAAGAGAGCGACAAGACTCATTCATCAGCGATATGGAAGGCAATAAAGAGAGCAACGTAGAGGAAGGTCTGGAGCAGCAATTCCAGGAAACAGATGACGAGGACCTTTATTTCGCCCCAGAAAGAAACAATGTCATCTTCGCTTCCGCAATCGATGGATGGGCTTTCACGATCCGTCAATTCGCCGACATTTACGAGAAGAAACTAGGCATCAAGAAGGCAATATTGGAGAAGGTCTTATGGGGAGACTTCTACCTGGATCCGAAGACGAAAAAGGTGCTCGGACAGAAGCATCTGAAGGGAAGAGCACTGAAGCCGATATTCGTTCAGCTGGTGCTAGAGCCAATTTGGACAGTCTATGAAGCTACAACTGGTGGAGGGAAGGGAAAAGGCGACCAAGCGCTACTGGAAAAGGTAACAAGGTCTCTAGCAATCACTTTGCCACCACACGTTGCAAGATCGAGAGAGCCTAGGGTGATTTTGCAGACTGTGTTCACAGCATGGTTACCCTTATCGACCGCTGTGCTGGTGTCAGTCATTGAGTACTTGCCTAGTCCACCTGATGCGCAAGCTGCGCGCTTACCGGAGATACTGGAGGAATCACCAGGAGCCAAAGCAATCAATCTGTCAATTCGAGATGCCATGATCAACTTCCGGACCGACGAGCAAGCGCCCGTGGTGGCATACGTGAGTAAAATGGTCGCCATACCGGAGAGTGAACTACCGACGAACAAGAGAAGAGGTGCTGGCACGACACTTACCGCAGATGAGGCAAGAGAAATGGGCCGAAGGAAGCGTGCAGAGATTGCGAAAGCGCAGGCCGAAGCAAATGGAGAGAACGCTGTTGCCACCGTTGCTAATGGTTTTAGCACCGTCAGAATAGGCGAGGAAGTCGATGAGCAAAGCGGACCCGAACAGCCAGAAGATCCAGAGCATCTCATTGGATTTGCCAGACTCTATTCCGGTACCTTGTCGGTCGGCGACGAGATATATGTGATACCGCCAAAGTTCAGTCCAGCACATGCACATGCATCATCGGAATTGAAGAAGGTTCCCGTGAAGGCGCTGTATCTACTGATGGGTCGTGGTCTCGAGCCTTTGCAGAGTGTCGCAGCTGGCGCTATCTTTGGCATCGAAGGACTTGAGGGCCACATCTTGAAGACAGGCACACTGTGCTCGCAGTCCGATGGAGCCGTCAACCTGGCCGGTGTTAGCATGCCTAGCCAGCCCATTGTACGGGTGGCGCTGGAGCCTGTCAATCCGGCGGATCTGGGCAGGATGATCAAAGGTTTGAGGTTGCTGGAGCAAAGCGACCCCTGTGCTGTCTATGAACAACTCGAGAGCGGCGAGCACGTTATCCTCACTGCTGGAGAGCTGCACCTGGAGCGCTGTTTGAAAGACTTGAGGGAGCGTTTTGCTAGGTGCGAAGTCCAGGCTGGCGAACCAATCGTGCCCTACCGAGAAACAATAGTCAAGGCAGAGGAGATGGAGCCTCCGAAGAACAAAGACCTGCCAAGAGGCACCGTGATCGCCGTCACGGCTTCAAAGCATGTCTCGGTGAGGTTGAGAGTGAGACCGCTACCGGCTGAGGTGACACAGTTCTTGATCAAGAACTCTGCCTCGATAAGAAGACTATATTCCGAGAAGAAAGCAGCCGAAGAGCAAAACAGAGACAGTCAAAATGAGGAGGACAAAAGTGGGAGCGAAGAGCCGCAGGACGACATCGGTATGGACGATACAGCTGGCACGGGCAGGGGTACACTCTCCGCCGCCGACTTCCGACAGCAGCTGCAAGCTGTATTTGCCGGTGTCAAGGAAGAAATCGATGTATGGAAGAACGCTGTACGCAACATCTCGGCGTTTGGACCAAAGCGAGCGGGTCCCAACGTCTTCATCGACGCGACAGGCAACAACACATGTGGAAGGTTCCTGGGAGATGGCAATTCGCCAAATGCAGAGACACAACGAGGATCTGACAAGGTAGCAAAGGCGAAACAACCCACCGACTTCTCCGAAACAATCTCCTACGCCTTCCAACTCGCTACCCAACAAGGGCCCCTCTGCCGCGAACCAATGCAAGGCGTGGCCGTCTTCCTGGAATCCGTCACTCTCCACAACTCCAACCACAGCGAAACCAACGATAATAACAACAATCACAACCCCCCAACCTCCGAAAACGCCTCGCAAACCCCAGCAAGCGACACCCCCCGCCTAACCGGCGAGCTAATCACCTCAATTCTGCACTCCATCTCCACGGGCTTCCTGGACTGGTCGCCGCGCATCCTGCTCGCCCTCTACACCTGCACCATCCAAGCCACGCCGGCGGTGCTGGGCCGCGTCTACAGCGTGCTCACGCGGCGCCGGGGCTCCATCCTGTCCGAGTCCCTGCTCGAGGGGACGCCGTACTTCACCATCGTGTCGACGCTTCCGGTGGCTGAGTCGTTCGGCTTCTCCGATGAGATGCGCAAGCGCTCGTCCGGCCTGGCCATGCCGATGCTGGTCTTCGAGGGCGTGTTCGAGGTGCTCGACGACGTCGATCCCAGCTGGGTGCCGCGCTCCGAGGTCGAGCTGGAGGATCTGGGCGAGTTTGGCGATCGCGAGAATGTGGCCAAGAGGTATGTAGATGCCGTGAGGCGGAGGAAGGGGTTGCGGGTCATGGGGAGTAGGGGCGTGGGCAGGGATGCCGAGAAGCAGCGGACGTTGAAGACGAATTGATGGGACATGATTATATGAAACTGAAGTATGATGAGGGATTGTGGGCATTGGAATTGCATCAAGGGAGGAGGGATGAGCTAGGTGGAACATCTACGGGTGCATATTGCATTGCTAGATAATTCAACGATAAATGTCTCCTCCCATGCAATTTTACTTTCCAGCAGAACGTAGCGATGCAACACGCTGACTCGGCTGGACCTGGATAGAGGGAGGAAACCAGACATGCAAAAACTCCGAAATGAATCCGAGTATTTTGATGCCGGTCTAGAAATCTTTTTCTTTCTACCTCACGTGACGAACACAGCCTGACATTGAAGCCTCCCTTCTTGGAAAGGAAGGAAGGAGAGTCGTGACCATGGATACTGGAGAGGTTGGCGCTGGTGCCTGGATGGAATCGGGATGGGAAAGGGAGATGAAGCTCTGAATGGGATGTGATGTTGGTTGAACCCACAGAAACTTTGGAGGGGGGGGGGGGGCGGGCGTGAAGCTCGGTGTAATGGCCTATGGTAGACGAGATGGGAAGAATCAAAAGCTTCATCTGATTGAGAGTGATGGAAGTTGTTCTCCCTGTCGGTGGAGTCAATTGTCAGACCGCCTCATGCTCTCAGGTAGAATATCGCTTCCGCATGGGAACAGACTGCGGATGGAGCGGGGCGGTATGTGCAAGCAGGAATATGCCTGCATCGCGGTGGCGTAGACATGCTGCTTCTCTCTGGCGTGATTGCAAAGCGCTTTGCTCTGATGGCGAGATGACTTCGTCCATGGTTGGAGAGCGAAGCTGTCGCGACTCGGGCAACCTGTGGATCGTGGCAAGCCACCGAGGAACAGGCTCTGTCGGCTTGGTTGCGGGCTGTCTCGCTCCAGACCGTACTCTGAGCATGCCATATTGGAATCTGGGTTGTGAAACAAGGGCACAAGTCAGCCTATCTCAAAATCTTGCTCCTCGCTCACACCGGCTTCGCCACCTTCCTCAGCTCCACCCTCCCCGTCACCGCATCCTTCATCTCCTTCCAGCTAGCCGGCACCATCGCGTTTCCCTCCTCACTCCTCGCAATCACGACCCCAAACTCATTCCCCCCGGTACTGATGTAGTAATTCTTCTCATCACCCAAGCTGATAACGGTCGCCCGCACGATATCCCCAACCCTGAAGCTCTCATTCATGACGATCTTGTCCTTCTCCGTCAGCCGGACATCTTCTCGCCGCAGCACGGCGGAAAAGTAGATATCCTCCGAGCTCGCGGTTGTGCTTGTCAGATGGGTCAGGGATGCGGGGAGGAGGGTCGTTGGAGAAGCGTCCACAAGAAGGATTGACGCGGAGGCTTGCCGTTGTTGGACACGCGTGATGCGGCAGAGGACGGTGCTGTTCAGGGCTGGGAGCGTGTTCAGTTTGAGGGGTTGGGATGAGGATCTTGATGGTAGTCGAGGAATGCTCAGGGTGGGTTTGCCAGATTTGCTGGAAGCGGATACGGTCGAAACGGAACCGATGATCGATGCACAGATCTTTGAGTCGTGTACATGAGTACCTGGGCCTGCGAGGTGCGTGGTTGTTGAACCGACCACATCGCCTGGTAGAACTTTGGCCATGCCGGTTGTCTGCTATAGTCGGTGAATATCAGTATTATTTTTTGTGGAGGTCAGTAGCAGGGTTCCAGTCACGTTGACCACAATAGCGTCGCGATCAAGCATTAGAGCGACCTCTTGTGCTTCGCAATCGTAGAAGATACCTCCTTTCAAGAGTGATAGGCTTTGGCCAAAGAACCAAATGAAAGTCCTACCTACAGAATCTGCCGCCAAAGGAGAGAGAAATCTGCATCTGAGTCCGGGCTCACCGCCCCAGCCTGGGCCTCCGGGGCCTTCGGGCCTAACTTAAGGTGATTCTGTCTTAGCCTCACCTCGAGCCTCACCCCGAGCCTCACCCGAGCCGCCCACAACCCAGGTAGCATCCCTGCCTCCACGTACCCATCAGAATAATGATTTGAACGAGGGCAAAAGCGGCGGCCGTTCCTTGATGACCAGGAATTATTTTTATTTGTGGATGTTCAAAGCGAAGACTACATTGTACTAATATGACAGCTTGCGAGCAACCGCTTGATCGAATTCTGTGCTCCGTCTACGAAACCCGGTATCAGTCTCTCAGGTTCACCATCGTCTCCGTGGAGTCCTGCAGCTTCTCGTCCACATCATGTTAACTACGTGTAAATATAGTACTGATTGAACTGGTATGCCAGTCAGTTTGCTTGGACCAGCCACTCTAACTAGCGTTCGTTGCTGTCTCGGCCCAGAGAGACATGTTATAACTATGGCGTGGCAATGCTTTTTCGTGCGTGTTCATATATGCCGTTTCCACCTCCTCCCTCAGACGTGTCTTTGGTAGCTTTGAGACAACTAGAAATATTGAGAACTCGATGGATCACGTCTTTTTTTGCAGGTGCTTTGTCTCATCTCAGGAGAATTCTGCTACCGAAGGCAATCGTGTCTTCTAATCCGTCAGATACGAGCATTCCTTGCCTAATCAAACTCTTACTATTTCAGCGTCGTCCAGACCGCTTTGAGCAACAACAAGCTCATTCCCATGAGCAAACACAAGCTCTCTCTGCTCTGTTAGCACAACTAGAATCTTTGCTCCTGTGCTTATCCACGCAAATGGGACAAAGAAATGGCGTTGATATGTCTCCTGAGGCAGCGCGGCCCCAATGTCAATGGTCAAAACTGTTCTGTCGAAACCCCCATCTGCTAAATCTGCCATCTGCCGAATCTGCTATCTGTCGAAACTGCTAATTCGGTCTGTTGATACTATGGGCTGTTGAACCTGTGGTCTGTTGAAATTGTGAATCTGTCGAATGGATTTGATGAAGCTGCTGAAAAAACGCTACTTATAGCTAATAATAGGCTCAAGTTGCGTAGCCAGTAATGCCGAAAAAGTAGCAGAGCGCTAATATAATGATGCCAAAGGAATTATCAGGGATATTATAATGTGGTTTTTGAAGAATTTCGTAACCCATAAGGCCAAAGTGCGTTTTTTTAAGAATTTCGCGGCTCACAAGGGCAAAAATGCGGTTTTTTCAAGGATTTCATGGCTCACAGGGCTGAAAGAAGTGACATTATTGTTGAAGAAGTCGAATTTCGGATTTGAGTAGCGAATTTCGAGGGTAAGGATAAGCAGTTTATACTCTTACTAAGGAGTTATGTGGTATCAGGGTGTCAAAATTGAGATAGGGTTGAATAATCTATTTCGTAGCTAATGAAGCCAAAATAAGTGCCAAATGATACTGGCGATGAGGTCTATGCTGAATCAACGCGATGGAGGCGCTGAGGGCTCATAAACTGATGAAGTGGTTGAATGGATTCTATCTACCTTGTAGAATCTAAGTAGGAGGAGAGGGTACCGTAGTAAATACGTAGTACTGTGCGGAGTGGCACGTGCGCAGTCATGTGACACGCTGCGCCAGGGATTGGCTGACGGCCAATTCCAACAGTTCTTGTAGTGTCATTTCAGAACATGTAGAGACTAAAGCTTATAGTTGTTAGAAGTAGTAGCAAACAGCGTACGGAAGTGCCAATTCACTTTTTATTGAGTTACTCCTATCAAGAGGAGCATTTGCTCATACTAATAGCTATAGAAGCGCATTACTGTAACAGCTCAGAAACAGCATTTGGCGTTCAATTCGTATAGCAATGCTCACTGCCATAAATAACAGGGCGTAACAGTTACAAGAGCATTTCGTGCGTTTTGCATGCGGGGAGCCTTGTACCATCATGCTAATACGTAACAGATACGTATCATATATGCAGGGATTCTGACAATAGTTAGCCTAAAACGCTATAAGAAATGCTACTACTCTGTCTCCTAGGTAATTACTATTCTAGGGCACATTAACCCCAACATCAGATAGCTAGGGGCTAAGAGTCATCCAAAGCCCAACTGTTTAAGACGTCAGCAGGCCTAAAGCTTATGGAGTGTACCTCATGGCACATATATCTTTAGCATATTTTAACTACTTTTGGGGCAACACTCTGTATTCACAGCATAAACGCAAGCCGCCTCTACACCTCGAAAGCCTCAAACCAGCACAAAAATAAGTGTCTGTTATCTTTAATACCACAATATCCGATTGTTTGTGCTCGTTGTCAGATCACCATGGCAGACTCGTTGATCGATATGCTTCCCCAGCCTAGACAGGTTGACATGTACGAAAACTTCATCGTTGATGAGGCTGTGGCAGAATGTGAGTTTCGATGAAGGTTTTCACTCCCAGCGCGTGCAGCACCAGATGGAACTGTTGAACCAAGCTTGGCCGTTGATGTTTGTCACTAATCTATGCTCAAAACAGTCTTCCCCAAGGGCTCCCGTGTGTCGCAGCTCACCCGTATGGTGCGAGCTTCTGGACCAAGACTACACGGATCGATGTCGAACAGGAAGATACCTGCATCCAAAGCTACTTCCTCAAGGCCTCTCCCAATGATCTTGGCAAGGCGATGGCGTTGAGCGAGTTCGATGGTACAGCTGCTATACACAAATATGTACCAGAATTCGGGCCTCGGCCAGTGGGGTGGGGACAGTATAAGTCGGATCCTAACGTTTACTTCTACATGTGTGAATTTGCTGACATGATCGATGAGTTGCCAGAAGTTTCATCCTTCTGCAAGACCCTCGCTGCGCTGCACAAGAAGAATATGCCTGACTCGAATGGCAAATTTGGTTACCACATTACAACCTATGGCGGTACTATGCCCCAGTATGTCAAGTGGTCAGACACATGGGAAGGTTTTTATATTGAGAACCTTAAAGGCTTTGCGAGGCAGGAACGTGAGACGCATGGACCTAATGATGAACTGGACGCAATGTTTCCGGCCCTCTTCGAGAAGGTCTGCCCTCGGCTTCTCCGCCCCCTGGATAGAGGCCCGAACAAGATCAAACCTGTGCTTATTCACGGCGATATCTGGTACGGCAATGTATCTACTCACGCAGGTACCGGCAAGGCAATAACTTTCGACCCTTCAGTGTTGTGGGCTCACAATGAATGTAGGCCTCTGAGCACTGTTAGATTATATGCGGATTTCCTACTGACCCATGTGAAGATGAGCTTTCTGTCATGACTGTGGCTCGATATCGTCTGGGCAGGCAGTGGTTGAAGGAGTACCATAGACACTTCCCCATATGCGACCCTCAGGAAGACTATGAAGATCGACTGAGACTCTATGCAGTGTAAGCCTGGATGCTCAGTCTTCTCCATCTCTGCTGACAAGCACAGCCATAATCACTTTTGTGCAGGAGCACTACGTCCAAATACGAAAGAGATGCGCCAGAAGTATGATTTTAGTGGTAAACGGGCTAGCGGCTGGCTGGCAATCCCAGTGCGATTGATGACATTCGATATCTGGTCCAAAAATATCCCAGCGGCTATGAAGGCTGAGGACATAGGCGACACCAAACGACGAACGCCGCAGTGGTCCCAGTTTTCCAGAGCTCGACAAGTGTCCAAGTGGTGTCAATAGCCGAAAAAATGCACGAATCAACCAGCCATATATCGGGTGGGCGTGATGCTAATCTACTCTTCTTGTAATGTCAAAAATGAAATTGAAAGCTCTTTGTCCAGCTTCAGCTGACATAAGTAATCACGCACATATGGGATGCCAGGAGCTACCAGGACTCGAGGACAAAGCAGCCACATCTTAAGTCTACATGATCTTTCTGGTTAAAGGCCATTCCCAGCGCTCAAGGTATGCTCGTTTCCGGCAGCTTGCTATTTTGCACAGTCATGATGATGAAAGCCTGATGTGGTGCAGTGTGGAAGAGGACATTTTACCCTACGGAAAACCTTTCTGCTCGGCCTAGCAGTTTATGGAACTTGGGACAATCTGAGTATTTGATGACACAAGCATCCCTTCCTTGCCGTTCCTGCATTGTCTCATAAGGATTATCAGTGCTCATAAGGGACGCCTTCGCTGGGTTCTCGCAAATTGAACCTGGTAACTAAGCGCAAGCATAAATTTGAGTATTTGTGATGAACTAACAGCTCCCGTACCTCGATGAAGTGGTTGAAGTTATCAGAGGGTTCACCTCTCTGTCCTTGACGCTCACCAATACCCCGGCTGCGAGATATCGTTGGCGACGTATCGGACACTTCCGTCAATGTGATGACCTTCTGTACCAATCAGCCCACCAGTGATCTCTCGTAGGACCTGGTTGTAGTTGGCAGTGTTCCGAATGTTGCAGCGCTTGCTTGGTGACTCGCAATGTGCAACCAAAGCCATCGTCGAGGTGAATTTGCTGAGACACGATGGACAGACAGTGCGGCCTCCAACGTGAGCACTGCTGGTGAGATGTGCGTTGAATGCTTCAACAGTGTCAAAACTTCCACCACACTTCCTCCCTGGGCACTCGAATTTCTTGGTCAGATCGTTATAGTGGTTCATCGGTTCGAGGATTGCTGCGGGCTTTATGGGACCGGGTCTGGTGCCTAGATGGGCGTTTGGATCGGTCGAAAGGGATGATCTGGGAGCACCCAATCCACCCGAGATGTCACTGTTCTCCTTTGTAGGGCGAAGAGGCGGTTTTGAATTGGGGAAAAGAGTGCTCGCTGCTGGTGTGGAAGCACTCCAAGCTGATGCTACGTTAATCTTGTTCTCATCGAGGAGATCGCCCTTGAATGACATCAGATCGCTTCGCCCCTCTTGGTCGAGCACTGTATTTTGTATTGGAGCGTTCAGATTCTGCAGCGTGGGATATTGATCGCGAAGACTGAGCATGTTCAGGGAAGGAGTCAGGTAATCTTGCCGAGAACTGCGGATGTTGCTTTCATATGGGTTATCTTCGTCAAGGAGAGAAACACCGCCATGCTCAGTACTAGCATCGGTACCGCTGAACGTCGACATGTGCCCACGTGGGACTTGCTGTTCGACTTCCGGCTTCAACTGTGCTGCCCAAGCGTCCTTTGAAATCGCCTTCTCCGCTCTCCTGCGTTCAAAAACCTCCTGGGTGATGACCTGACATTCGTTGTTCTCGATATGCTGCATCAATCCTGCAGCTCGGGCAAATTTGTCCCCACATCCAACGCATTTGAGATTTTGTGATTGCTGATGAGTCTAGAAGCAGAAGTCAGCCGGATCAACCTCCAACTCACCTCGAAGCGCTGATTTCTTGCCTGCGGGATGTGACTTTCGAGACCAGCGTTACTTTTGAATTCCAGTCCGCACATAGGACAAACAACTAACGGTGGTCAGCCATCACCCGATAGGGAAGACTTCTCGCTGGGCGCTTACTATGCTTGCCACTCTCAATCATGTGGATCAAGAGGTCCGAGTCGTCTTCGCAATCCACGTCACACTTGTGACAGTACTCGTGACTTGGCTCTTTCTTCTTGTGCATCATCATGTCTTTCTCGTTGGAAAAATATCGAAAGCAATCTTTGTAGGTACATTTGAGTCGGTGCGGAGCATGAGCTTGTGGCGGGTTCTCTTTTCGATAGCCGGATGCTTGTGAAGACATTTCGTAGTGAGTTCAGAGAAGAACCCAAATTGAAGGATAGCTCTCTTTGAAGATGGTCAGCCTAAGTTCCATGCTATGGTTTGCTGAAACAGTGAAAGAAGCTGAACTCCTAACCGGCGCTAGTGTCAGGAGTGGGTAACAATGCAACAGATTTACGATATGAACGTTGAGAGAAAGTTGGGCCGCCTGATCGGCAGGTCGGCCAGTAGTAGTGCTCAAGCTAGCACGCTTCAAGAAAGGTAAGAACACCAGAAGCAAAGACTGGTGAGAATCACAAAAAGACTAAAAGTGCAGCGGGAACAGAGAGGGAGATGTGACTAAGCAGAGGTGGGCGGAGGATATCAGGAGAAAATGAAATTTTCGTGTCCTCCATGTGCTCATCCCAAGTTGCTGGCTTCGCTTGAGCTTGTTCGACCGTCTAATGCCCCGCGGTTTCGCCCTAATTTTCCCTTTGTCCTTTCCATGAACAACACCTGCCACGCCTCTCTCTGCCAATCTCTGCCTCTCTCTGCCAATCTCTGCCTCTCTCTGCCGCAGACCTCTTCCTATTGCTCAAGTGTAGACCTCCTCTGTGAGTGCATTCAGAGTCGCACCTTCCTGGGCAATATCTTCGTCGATCAAAAACATCAACGGCATCTCTACCAGAGTGCCTTTCACGCGGCTCAGCCAGTCCTTTACCTCTCTGGCACCCGCTGCCCCTGGGCTGAATTCGTCTCTGACCACATGACCCCACATGTATCTGGCTGGTTTCTGCTCAGCCTTCTTTGCATCACCCTTTGCGTCACCTTTTGCATCGTCTTTTTGAAAGTAGTACTCGTAGAACTCCTTATAATCATTCCAATTCCGAACAGTATCGTCCGGAACGGCATGGAAGACTTTGCGGAAAATCTCCGTGTTGGTTTTGGCTCGAGAGTTCCATAGGCTCTCAAACGCGTCAGACAGTGGATCAGCCACAATGTTGTCTTCGGGAGTGTCCCAGTCGTATCTGTTATGCACACCGACCGGCTCAAAGTTCTCATCCGGCCGTTGCATATCCTGTGGTCTTAGAAGGCCCAAATGCTTCCTGAACAGTTGACGTCTCAATGAAGCTGCAAAACGCGTTGCCTGCCAGGGTTGGCCAGCCATGGTCGACTGCACTGGGGTCGGATCCTCAATGATGATTGCAATCTCAGAATCATGAGTCCCAAGCTGCGAACGATCATTCAAATTTGCAGAACCGCAAACAACAATACGATCATCAGCAATGAGTACCTAGTGCCGGTCAGTTCGTACACAGCAATCGGTGTTGGTGAACTTACCTTCGAATGAATATACAGCTCTTCGCTCACGAAGGCATCGATTTCTGAGAGGTCGCCATCATTGTCCCAGGGCACGTTCCGAATGTCTTCTCCACCAAGCATATAGCATTCGCTGACCGTATCCCACCTGCCGCTCCCTGTCGCCGTGCCTGGTGCGACATATTGAGCTGCACTTTGATATTGCTGATACTGAGAGCTAGGATTGACGATGGAGCCACCGATGCTTTCTCCCTGTCCTCCGTATCCAGCTCCCACGGCCTCGTCGTGTTGCCTTCTAGCATCCTCATAATTGACGCCACTTATCCCTTCCGCCTGGTGCATCACACCACTTGCGTTGATGCGGTCGTAGTTCCGGAGATTGTAGAATCGGATATACTCATTAGGATTGATGCCCTCCCGGGCTATCATTTCCATAATGGAATGTCCCCCACGGTTGATAGAATTGTACTGGAACTCCATGATAGCTCGTGTACCTAAAGCTGCGTCGTCTCGCAGATCACCGGCGAATGCAGGAACGGACGGCATGAGAACAATAACTTTGTACCGCTGGCCAGCACGTGCGGCACGTACGATCCTCTCCACAAGCGCTCTGCCAACTTGATTCTTGACAGGCTTCTGCTGGTCGCCAGTAGCAGTGATGAAGAACTGATTCTCAATGTAGACAAAATGCTGACTTCTCTGGATGATGTCGATATATGCATTTTGGATGGAATGCTCGGTAGGGGTTCCGTTACTCCACTTGGTGCAACTACGAACAATTTGGCAAGGCATGGCACCCCCTAGAGGTCTTGGCCTTGGTGGTCTAGATGAGTCTGAGCCGCCTGTGTGCTTGCCGTGAGCATGTTGTTGAAGGTGATGTTCCGCATGTACTTTGAGCATAGACCCAATGCCTTTCATCTCATCTTTCAACCGTCGTCCTTCGTCACCATACCTGGAAGACCTGCCGCCAAATCCTCGATCGCCGTCTGAAGACCGGTCAAAAGATTCTTCATCGTCGAAGCCCCTCGATTGCGTCGGAGGTGGATCATAATATTGGCTAGGTGGTGGTGAATTGTACATGGTATTCTGAGGTCTATTACCCTCGAGCTCAGCAGAATAGCCATGCTCAGGCTTTGGAGGGCGCTCGTAAGTGGTATAAGGTCCTTCTTGGCCCGAGCCATATTGCGACATCGGTGGCGGCCCTGGAGGTGGCGGTGGATAATACTGCCCTTCCTGCTGACTGCTGTACACACTCTGCTGGTACGGTTGCGTGGCTTGCGCATGATAGGGAGGTTGTGGGGAATGAGGACGGCTTGTACCCTGCTGATACGGTGTATAGCTAGTGCTAGATCCCGACTGAGGAGGAAATTGTGGTTGAGATCCATGCCCGGGGTTGATCTGTGACTGAAGGTTCTCTTGCTGATATGAACTACCAAGCTGAGAGCTTTGAGGCCGACCAGGGGGTACTCCAGCTGCGCCAGAGAGTGATAACCTCACATACCGAGCATCTTGCCTCACGGTGTATTTCTCGTCTAGGATGAAATTCCACCGATCAACAAAATGTCGCCGCAGGTCCTGCACAACTGGCCCGTGAAGGCTGACGGAAATATCTGACCAGCCCATTCGCGAGCTTGTCTTCCTGTCGAGTTTATTGTTTTGCCAGTGGACAACATCATCAAAATCCATTATTCTGGCGTTGTTGTAGTCCTGTCCAGGAAAGACAATTGCGCGTAGGTCGTGTGGATGAGCATCAGCAATAGGATGCTGATTAGTATCCCAACGGCCGTAGCAGAGATCAAGACCGCCCATGAACGCGGTTTTCCCATCTACCAAGCAGAGCTTTTCATGGTGCGCCCAGTATAAAATGACGCCGTCGGTCATGCCATACATCGATTTGAGGGCATCGCCGCCTAACCTTGATGCGGTAGCAGCATCAAGCTTAAGATTAGACAGCGATGAAACCAATGATGATTGCATGGTCTTTGCGTCTGGTAAGTGATCGGGATGGCGAAAAACAGCGATGTTCGGATGTAAGTCTTCGAGAGCATGCTTCGTATGACTAGAAGAGACTGTCACAGGAGGCGCAATCAGCGGATTCTCTGCTTCAAGATATTCCATTGAGGCGGCTGTAGCCATCAAACCCATCTTGACAAGAAAGGAGGTGACAGCATCGGTAGATCGTGGGAGCATGGAATGGAGGTATTCAGGCAGGGTAGGTGACAGGTACTTACGAGTGAGAGCTTGGGTCACCTGAAGCTTGTCAATATCGATATACAGCACCCGAAGCGCAGATTTCTTACCTCCTTGTAGACGATAACGTTGACACGGACACCACGCTGTGCTGCAGCTTGGAGCATCCTATCGATCCGGTACTGCTCGTTCTTCATTGGCGGTCTCCGCAGATATAGCTCAGGCGAGAGCCACCCTGAATGGTTAATTGGGGGAATTCCGAGGGTATAGAGGCCACCTACAGTCCAGAATCCAGATGGAATCCCTGGCACCTTCAAGTGCTTTGGATACAGCATACATGTAACTACAACCGTCGACGTACCACTTCACATCGTTGCCGTTCTTCTGTCCTGCAAAGCTGCTGTATCTATTACTGGTCGTATCGGGCGAGACATATGCACCTTGGTAGGCTGATTGTCCACTTTGAGCTCCATGATGAGAGGTCGACTGAGGCTCATTCTGGCCGCTGAATTTCCCGACAAGCTCTGCCCCAACGCCATGTACAACTCCATGGAGGGTATTGAAGATAGAGCTGACAGCGTCCGGTTTCTTCTGTGGTGCCTGTGGAGGTGGCCCACCAGGGTACGGGGCTTGACCACTAGTCGCAGGATTCTGTCAAAATGTTATCAGCTATTTTCATTGTTTACATTTAGAACTCAGTGCCCGACTCACATAGCCAGCTGGTTCATGGGTGTACTGCTGACCAGCCGGATTGCTTGGTTGCTCAGTATATCCATACGGTGACTGTGATGGCTGTGGGTGTTGAGATTGCTGGTACTTGTTCTTCAAGAATTTGAATGTGTCCCCGACAATGCCGCGGTCAGTGCCCTGAGAGCCTGCTCCTCGATCTTTGCCGTACTCGTCTCCGTAGGCTAGGTCATCGTCTTTTCTAGACATGATCGCTACCGATGCTCAGACTCGAAGTCAAAGCCAAGGAATTTGAGGGATAGCCAAAAAAGAGGGCGGAAAGGCTGATGTTTTAAATAATTCTTGACCGAGGGAGGATATTCACGCGCTCCTCATAGACCTTTGTTTGATATCCAGTCACTCGCCGATGCCAACTGAGAACCTGAATGAAAGGGCGCTTGATTCAGATTTGCTACCTTCGATATATCCTGTCATTGAAGGATTGCTGCGTACCGTGTCACTGTCATTGTGCAGTGTGGTGACTGAAGATGAAGATGAAGTAGTAGTAGGTAGTGGTTAATTGGACCCTTGAAAGAGCCCGAAGGCCCCGTCCTGCCCCTCAGCTGGTCGACGGTGCGGAGAAGCCCCAAAACTTCCCCACTACAACGTCAATTGTCCCCCTCATAGATGGGTACGGATAGTGTGTTTAATGAATAATGAGATCACAATTGGCTTGGTACCAGTATGTCCCATATCTATAATCTGCGAATCATGGCTTCTTCCAACCGTCCTGTTTTTACCACTCTCAAAAGCCCTCCCAGATCAAGAAACACAGCAGCAATCCGATAGCGCCTCTTCTCTCAACTTTTCAGACTTTCCATCCCCACCACCCCCTTCAATTAAAGGATGTCTATCGCTACGCTTGACGTGAGCTTTCCACACCTTCAACACCTTCCACACCACTGCTAACACTAGCAGACCACGCAACATCCTAATCTCCCTGCTTCCGCACCAACTCTCTTCAACGCCAAAGCCAAGAAGCAGCTGACCTTTGAACAAATAGCTCAGGAGATTGGCCGCAATGAAGTAGCAGCAGCAGCGATTTTTTATGGCCAGGCCAAGCCTTCGCCAGAGGATATTCAGAAGCTATCTTCACTTCTTGAGATTGATCAGCAGATCCTCGAGTCGCAGATGGGCGGATTTCCTGACCGAGGCCGTACTGTGGAAATGCCACCCAAGGAGCCCCTCATCTACCGGCTGTATGAGATTGTTCAAAATTATGGATACGCATATAAGGCTGTATTGAATGAGAAGTTCGGTGACGGTATTATGAGTGCGATTTCTTTTTCGACAAAGGTCGAGAAGGAGACAGACAAGGATGGTAACAACTGGGCTGTCATCACTTTACGTGGTAAATGGTACGCTTATTTCACTCTTCGCCGCAGTCTTCTTCACTCATCTGTGAAACAGGTTACCCTTCACTCGCTTCTAGGCAGCGTATTTCTCCTCTCAAGCATTTCTGGCTCCGGCTGGATAGACTAGCTGTGAAACGAAACAAAGACCATCTGACCACTGTCAACTTTCCCATTGATATTGTTTTCGACTGCCGAATCAGGCTAGCTGGAACCACCCAACGAGAAGAGCTGTCATTTATTCCTCGGGCTGGGTGCGATCTCTCTAGAAAGAGTAAGTGATGTGGAGCTATTCGATTTGGCAGTAGGCTTTGAGTTTGCCTGGGGTTCATTTCTGGACAGGATCTTTACAAACCACAGCTTACTATGGATCAAGTCGTCCGCATGGCAAATTTGGGATCACCCCTATTGATATATCATACCCTAGGCTCAAAACATTTCAACGAAGAGCGTGAAACGTGGTCCATATCCATGTATTAGCAATGCTGCGAACTAGAGTTCCGCTCCCATCTTTGACAGCCTATCGATCACTCAAGCCAACGCGCGTAGTCCTATTTCCCATAAGCAGGCCCCTGACAGGCAGCAGCAGCTATCATGTGGAGGAAATGCACAGACTGCATGCACATAGCCAATCATCTCCTTCTCCACGTCCCCTTCCGATGCAGCGTCACAAAAGCAGCCAGTCCCGAGATCTATCCGTCCGGGATCCGGGATATGGACCAATTTGGAAGACACCAAACACGGCTTTCCACAATGCCGACACTATCTTGCCGTCTTCGTCCTTGTTCACATCTTGCACGTTGATCCTGATTTGGCATCCAAGTTGTTTTTGGAAGACGCCGTCCTTTGTAGAGTGAGAACAATATCAACGAGGAACAATATTAAGGAGCAGGTCTTGGCATCGCCCAGGAGGCCTCGCCGCCCATTTTGGCCATCTTCATCGCCGTTCTCATTATCTGGCCTGTCGGCCTTTGACTCAAAGCAGGGTCTTCGAGATGAATCCATTGGTCTTGTCTCCGTCGTGTATCCGGCCTCCACCCACTCAAAGCCCCAACAAAGCCCCCTCCCAGTACAAATAGATGTCCTCCCAATCCCTCCCAATCCCTCCTCTTCCATCCACTCTCGTTCCAGTCCAACTTCACTCCATTGCATATCACAAGACTTTCAAAGAGCGTTCCCAATTTCCCCCGAAAAACACATCACTTTCACAATGGGCAACCAACCAGGATATTTCTGCACCGTCCAGAAGATGGGAAGCCAGCCCGGCTACTTCTGCACCGTGCAGCGCAGTAAGTAAGCACCACTACCACACACAGCAGGGTTCTATCTTTCAACCGGAAAGACTTTTGGCTAACACACATCCTTTGCAGGATAAATGCCAGACGAACCAGTCCAGAGGATGTGCTGGAAAGTATGCCATCGCGCTGCTGAAAGTGTCACCAAGGCGACTCAAGGTCCATTTCAGGGAAATGGTCTTTGATAATGGTTTTCACGGACGGCAGTTCTAGCGATGGATATTCAAACCCGAGCTCGTCATAACATTACCCTCCCTGGATATTTTCCCCTTCCTTTCGGTTCCGCATATACACGCGCACTTCATTTACCCTGCTTTTCGTTTCATGGAGGATAGCCATTTTTGGGATGACAAATAAAAGGGCGGGTTCAGTAGCGTTCAAAGGCTCTGTACTTGGTCCACCATTTGATGCTATTTACTCTTAGGGACATGTTCCCCAAGTGGGTTTGCACAAGCTCTGGATCGGCCTTGGGTTTGTTGCCGGCTGCTATTAGAGGTGTATTGGTCTGTTTGTTGATTTTTAATTCAAATAATACTCGGAGCAATAGGAGTTTTTCGTCATACATTCTTGCTAATGGCTTTGAAACGGTGGTTGCGTGATATTCCTCACTCACAATGCATCGACTCGACGTCTTTTATCTCGGTCTCGATATGGAGAGGGACCTCTTTTTCGCCTGCTTCTGCTATCTTCGTCTTCGTATCGATCTCGGTGTCTGCTAGCGCTCCTTGACCTCGTTCGAGACTGTCTGCCCAGGCGATATGAGTCGGCCCCCTCACCACCATTTCTGCCATAATCGCCATTCCGCATAGCTCGTGGTCCTCCCGGGGCATCACTCGCCGTTCCATCTCTTCTATCCCGAACAGCAGATGCGTTCGCTCCGGTAGGTCCTTTCGCACCACCATCGTGATCAGGCCTGAACCTTTCGTCCACATCGAAATTCGGCTTCGGTCCTCTTCTCTCTTTCTGATCATATCCCTGGCCCCATTTGCCAGTATCTTCTCCTTTGAGATCAATATATCTTGTTCTTCCCTTCTTGCCCAGCTTGGTCATGTCTCGCACCTGCATGTACTGAGGTAGGGCCTCTCGGTTCTGCACTTCATCCACAAATCTAGCGCCCATGAGATCGCGTTTCCTCAAGATCTCTGCCGTCTCGTCGTCCTGGAAGAAAGCTCCCTTGTGATGATATCTCTGCAGGAACCCTGCTCTGCCCCTTCCATCTTCCTTCTCCTCCTTCTGCTTTTCCAGATACTCTCGATCCTCGGCCTCCCGTTCCGCTTGGGTAAGATTTCTTCGTCTCTGAACCTCCTCAATCTCCTTCTCGCGTTGCTCAATCGCTTCACGATCACGTTTTAACCGCTTCAGCTCTCGTAGTTTCCAGGCGGCGTACTCAGCCTCTGGATCGAGGCCGTCGGTGTCATCGACCATGTCTTCAGCAGCAACTTCATCATCATCATCCCATCCTTTGCGTCCCGCGGCTCGGGCTGCGGCGTCCCGTTCAAGTTTGTCTTTGATCATCAGGTCTGCCATTTCTTTGCGACGTAACTCATCGGCTTGGATCTTATCTATGGCGGGAGAGGCGCTGACAACACCGTTCGTAGCTGCATTAGAGGATAGATCTGCGTTCGTTGAACCGACTTTACCTCTATCTGACTTCTTGATGAATGTTGGTCGTTGAAACTTTCGATGGGGTTCTTCTTCCGAACTACTCTCTTCCTCTTCATCGGAGTCTTCCTCGGAGTCTTCAGAGCCTACCTCCTCTGTAGAACTTATCCCATCCGCTTCTGTAGTTCTAGAGATAGCAGACGTGGTGGATTTTTGGACAACTCTGCGACCCTGACCTTCAACATGTGCTGCTGGTAGAGACACTCCATTGGCTTCGCCTTCGTCCTCTTCCTCTGTCACGAAACCCTCGTCTTCGCTCTCTTCTTTCCGTGCGCTCTGGGCAGGCACTTGGCGGCGTTGGGCTCCAGCCGGGAATGAGCTGGCTCTTGGTTGCGCTGGCCCTGGCGTTGACTGCTTTTCGCTTTCAGCCTCAGACACATCTTCCTCGGAAGAGGTGTCCTCTTGAACAGCCTTACCAGGACGGTAACGGGCAACAGGTCTTGCAGGATTCGCTGTCATGCGCTTCGACGGATTCGGCATTGGCGGAGGCATGTCGGGTGGTGAGCAGGATACGGAGCTGAGCGAAGATTGCTCGAATGTGCGGGTCTATCATCCTTTCATTGAATTGATGTGATATCAAACTTGATCAAAGCAAAGGCCTGGGCACATGGAACTGAGATTCTAGGGTAGACCATACAGCAAGTTACGCAGTTTATGAGCTCTTGGCACACAATCCTCTTCTGCCGAGTCATAGACCTGCATGAGGTGGGCGAAAGACCTGGTGAACAAGGGTTACTTGGAGAATTATGAGGTCAGAACAGACTGATTGAAAAATGTGGAGAAAAGATTTGCAGCGGCTGCATCATAAGGCCAGCCAGTGAACAGCTTGATATGGCCTGAAGGCTGTCACACATTTACGTACGAGGTAGAAGACGTGCTCTTATCCCTAGCAAGCACCGTTAAATGAACTGCCGTGGTGTGGTGTTGTATACTACGTACATGCCCATGCGGTCATGTAACCTCCCAGATGGCATTATCTAACATCTGATATTAGTCCAGCCACAACTAAGACATGTGAGGAGGTTGAATATGCCACCTTCACGCGGCATACGGAGCTCTCGCTCACTCCCAGCACCAGGAGTGAAGGATACAAAAGATAATCGTCTCGGCCATAACGAAGGGGTCTGAAAGAGTTTGCCCAAAGCTAGATTGCCTAGCACAAGGAAAGGACAGCAACCAAATTTGGTGAAACAATGCATAGCAGACCGGTGTCCTTCGAGGGACTCCGGACTGGAAAGACGGCACCGTAGGAGGAAGACTGAATTGAGGGCACAAGGGACAAATCCTTGCCAAACAACAAAGAGGCTACAATGTATATCGTTGGCTCGTAGTGGTTGTCCAATTGTTGATTTCTGCTAGAGCCCGAAGACCCTGGAAATTTGTACCAGTGACCCAAACCGTAATGTCTAACTTATTAAGAAAAGTTTCTTGTGCTTCAACGACCACCAATGATTGACCACTTCTTGATGCTGACCGGTGTGTGATAGAACTCTGTGTCCTCTTTTGCTTACTTTGAAAAGCAGAACAAGCTCTCCAAGAGTCCAAGCAAGAGTGAACCACATTAGTGCGTAGACTCGTACTGCTCCTCCAGGTGGTCACCCCAGCACAAGTCGGTGCTGTTGTGGTAACACTCTTGACGTCAAACAGATCGAAGAAGAGACCGTAGCACCACGGGGGCCTGTGCCAGCAAAATCGGGCAAGCAATGTGGCAAAAAGGCGGAGTACGAGAAGGGCGCAGAGTAACGCAAGACTAGATGGTAGTCATGGCCTCTCGAGCTAGACAACACGATGGTCTCGTGATCACCTTCCCCTTACTAAACCCATGTCACCGGGATGGGAACATGGAGACCAGCATTGCCTCTAGCAGTGAACTAAAAAACTGGTATTTGAGGCGAGATAAGCGAGACGGATGCTGCAGGAGAAGGATGAGATGGAGATGGAGGTACTACTAGTACTCTATACTAGTACTCTACGGGGGAGGGAGAAGTATTGGTAGAATGGCGCCAGAAGCTCTATGTGAAATTACAACGCCACGGAAATGGCCCTTAGTACTAGTAGGGTAGGATAGAGTGCCCAGAGATCGTTTAATTGGGACTACTCTTGCTAGTCTGATCGCTTGAATGCCCAACAGTGACAGGGATAATCGTACAAGAATCGACGGGGCTATCTGTCTCCAGACCGTTCGGAGTGGCAAATACGAGCGCGGTGCTACGAATACTTATGCCTCACCCCGTAGTAAGGAAGAGGAGGAGGAGGGTGCAAAGGATGTGCAAAGGATGTGCATACTACTAATCGGTTGACCCATTGACTTGTCTACCACAACCCTGGTCCCATTCCGTAGTGGAAACTGGAGACGAGTGGAGAAAAATCCTGACATGTCCCCCTTTTCGTGCAACCTCATGTGCGTGATGGCTCTGACACTGACAGCGCTATCAAGCCACCACAACCCTAACCTAGTACTCCACCAGCGAGAAACCGAGCCAACCCACGCCAACCCACGCGTGAGAAGTAGGAATAGAGGACCTGGCCATGGTGTTCCACACCACCACTGTGGTTCCCGCAGAGGACAAAGATCTGAAAGACCTTGCAGGACGTATGCCGATCATTTGTCAAGCTCGCTCGAGCCTCGAATAGCTCTGACTAGCTGATTGTTTTACTAGATGAGCTTCTATCAAACACTGCTACCCAACCGAACTCACGGCAAATACCCATATCATATCACATCGCTTCCTCTGCTCCTCCCCTGGTTGTCCTGTTTTGCTCCGGACATGACCGCTGCATCAAGGACGAGTGGAGCACACTTTGAGGACAAGGGCAGCTTGAGGCTCAAGATCGTGTTTGAGAAGGATTTCGCCTGCAGTGTTGCGCCGGCCTAAAGTCTTGCTCTCTGGCATTGTCTTACGCTGTTGGATCTACAATTGTCATTCAATATGGGGCTTCTTTACGCCATAGCAATAGTGCTTGCTACGTTCGGCATCTTCTGGTTCATGACCACTACATTGTTCGCCTCTCTATTCCCTCCACCGTTCGAGCTGCGCAATAAGCGCATCCTCCTCCTCATTGGCCATCCAGACGATGAAGCCATGTTCTTCGCTCCCGCACTGATCGCATTGTTGTCTCCCGAGAACCGCAATCATATCCAAATCGTCTGCCTCTCCACTGGTAACGCCATCGGCGAAGGGGAGATCCGCAGGGGAGAGCTTCTCAACAGCGCCCGCAGGCTCGGCATGCGCAGCAAAGATGATGTTCTTATCATAGACGATGCACGTTTTCAAGACGGTGCACAGAACCATTGGAAAAAAGAGGACATTGCGGATCTCCTCTCTCACCTTTTCACCCCACAGCCGTCTTCAAAGCTGGATACATCTACATCCTCCTTCTCCACCTTAAACCAGCCTCCACAAACCCAAGTAAACGGCAACCCATCCTCCGGCCCTATCAACCCCGCAGATAAACAAAGAACGCCAGAAGTAATTCTCACCTTTGACCCGCACGGCATATCCACCCACCCCAACCACTGCGCCTGCTACTATGGCGCCATCCATTTTCTTCAAAACCAGCTCAAACACCCCAAACCCAACTCCAAGTCACCTACAACCCCACCGACCCTTTACACCCTAACATCCATCTCCCGCCCCCGAAAATACATATCCGTCCTCGACGCGCCCATCACCCTCCTCACCAGCCTCACCAGCGTGTTCTTCTCCAACCTCCAACAATCCGCAAGAAAAGCCAGAAGAAATGTGCAGGACGGAAGAGCAGACAGGGTTATATTCGTAAGCGGCTTCCGCAACTACGTCAAAGCGTTCGGAGCCATGGTCTTCGCGCACAAGACTCAGATGCTCTGGTTTCGCTGGGGGTGGGTGCTCGTGGGTAGGTACATGGTGGTTAACGATTTGAAGAGGGAGAGGGTGGGTGTGTGAGATGTGCACATACTTATTTGTGTTTTGTGTATGGGGTAGTTGTGGGCTTGACTATGGGGGCTCGAGTATAGAATACCGTGAGAAGGGGAGGGGCCAAAGATCTACATCGTAGGGAGAAGGGTCGAACCAAAAAGTACGAAATGCGAATGTGCATAAAGTTCGGTGTTTGAGGTGACTACAAAACTATAAAATATGTTATTGTCTGATACTAGCTGTTCAACTACATCATACCGTGGGTTTTGTTTTCGCTACAGAAAGCTGCTCCATATCCACCCGTCCATGCCGACCTGGTGCGTCTGAACCGATGTTTGCATTGTGACATATAGTTGAATTCCTGAGGTCATACAGGGAGCACACACCAGAACACGTGGCTATCTGAATCCACTAGTGTGGAACATCGTACCTGCACGTAAGGGAGATGCGCAAGTCCATGTCCTGGTAGCCAAGCCGCGCACGAACCTCTCAGCTCTCCTGGCTAGCAATCCGGCTCAGGTATCCCAACAAGAACGCTTTGTCACTAGCAGCCGTTTGCCGTTTCTCTCTTACAGGTCTGGCCTGAGACCCTGTGCTTATGACACTCGTCAAGCTACCCAAGCGCGATCTCGTCGAGACATGCTTCTCGGTCAAGGGACTGACGGTGGCAGATCCTGACGCGCCAGGTGATGCGGAGGTGCGAGTTGGTACTGTTGGGCGAGTGGACCGTGGTGTGCTGACTTGCGGCGGAGGGGCCGGGTTGCCGAACAGTGATAGCAGGGTTTGCTTGTGGCTCTCAGCTTGGGGCTTGAGGCGGTCCGGCGGAAGAGGTTTTGGTAGAGGGTAAAGCGCAGGCGCTGTCAGGCTATCAGACTCAGGTTTGGGATTGTCCAGGATAGGCTGGAGGGCAGGCTGTGTGGTGCCCTGCGGTAACGCTTCTTGTTGGTCAGCAGCTGGACGACGAAGTATTTGTGGTTGAAATTGCTTCGCGCTGTCATCTTTCCGCGGGACAGGTTTCTTTGGTGAAGCAGCATGACTGGGCTTATTAGACCTCGAGGACCTTGCTGGAGATTGTTCACTACCAGCAGGACGACTGAGTATCTTCTTCTGCACCTGCTGGTTCGGATCGAACAGCGCCTTGTGTGTAGGTGCTGGACTTCTCGCGGGACCATCGGACAGGCTCGATTGGCGCAAGGTTTTGGCAATACCTTCGAATTGTGGCTGGTTGAGTGGGCCGGATATTGTCGCCGAGGTCTTCCCTTCCCGAAACTCTCTGTTGGATTGTGACGCAGTCTTGTTTGGAATCGAAGACTTCTGCTGTAGCAAGCTTGTCAGAAGTCGCTTCTGCGTCAATTCCGCCGGTTGTATGCTTGGAGTAGACAGTGCTGCCAGCTCGACCGGAGCAAGGGGTGTCTTAGGGGCAGGGCCGGTTGGCGCAGCTTCTGCAGCTGGTGGCGGTAGCTGTCTGAAAAGACCTAGAAGACTTGCCCTATGATCGACTGGCTCCCGTTTTGGCACGCTTCCCTCCTGGTTATGGACTCTACTTCGGTTAGCCAGCAGTGTCGGGAGCAGCGAGGAAGGGTCAATTGAAGTCGGTGCAGGTGCTTTTGTATGTGAGAGTTGACCATTGGTTGGAGGTGCTGCTGTATGCAAAGGCTTGTGTGTTGGGGACACGGGAGGGCCAGCTGGAGGTTGTTGCAATGTTTGGGCACTTTTGAACACATCAAGAAGCGCGCGTTTGTGGTTAGTAAGTGGTGGCAAAGCACTCGCTGGTGGCACTCGGGGCCCTTGCGAAGGTGGTGGTGTTAAATGGGAGAACTCTGGATCTCCTGTTCTTCGATATGGAGCTGCGATTTGCGAGCGGCTAGTGGTCTGGTCTGACGAGCCTGATGCTGTAGCAAACGTAGAAGGGGCAAGCATTGAGCTCTGGCGCTGTGTTTCTTGCGGTATCATAGGAACAGCCGTCTCCATTTTGGCAATATAGGAAGATATTGGAAATGGTGGTGGCGATGGCAAAGTGGAAAACTGAGGAGGCCTAGGGTGATGATGATGAGGAGGTGATCTCGGTACATCAAGTGGGAAGGACATCTGATCAAAGGGAGTATTTGGCTTGGAAACATTGGGCATATCTGGCCGTGAACCTTTCCGTAACAATGCTAAGAGAGCGTTCGACTTGGCCATATCGACCTGTGGTAAGGTTGGAAAAGGCTCCTGGCTGGGTTTATGAAAATTCCCGATGTTCAACATCTGCTTGAGATGCAGAGAGGGATCCGTGGGAGGGGATTGAGTTTGAGTGACTTCTGGTAGATCGCTTGGAATGTTGGCAGGACGATCCACGCCGTTTGTAAGATCAGCTTCGTAATCCGGAGCTATCTCCTCTGCAACCGTTTGTATTGTTTCGAAAGGTTGTGAACTCGGCCGACTCTCCCGCTTTCGCTGCTGCGAGATCCATTTCTTTAACGGGACGAGAAATGGCGCCACCATGTAGAACTTATTCGCGTTGGCCAATTGCTCTCCCATCCCTTCCTGCTGCTTGTTCTTCTTCAGTGTGGGCAGGTCGTTCAGGTTATACCACTCTATTTTGCTGATCTCCTTACGAGTCCGTGGCTCGAAATATGTATCCATTGGGACTCCTCGAAAGACGTATAATCGCATGTGCTGTTCGCGCATCGTAACTTCAATGTACTTCATGTCCTTCGACTCCTTCACCAATCCTGCCGCTTTGATGTCGAAGCCGGTCTCTTCGTACACCTCACGTATAGCACAGTCGAGGTCATCCTCGTCCTTGTTGATCTTGCCCCTGGGGAAGCTCCAATTAGCTCCTTTCTTCCACCCCTTGACCAGGACAACCCGATCCATATCCTCGTTCAGCATGATTGCCCCTCGGACTGGAACTCGAGACTTGTAAGCGAGAAATTCCGCAAATGCGGCGGTATAATTGTCGGCCGACCATTCTGAGAAGAGGGGGCAATGCTGAAATATCTTCAAACTAAAAGCTCTCAACGAAAGGGACGGTAGGGATGGATCGAGAGGACGAATGAAATCCTCGTAAAACCACTGCGCTTCTTCGACTTGGAAGCAGATTCGTTCAACAGACTCCAGCTCCTCAGGGGGAAGATTAATTATGAACCGGACGCATAAGTCATCCAGCCCTAGAAGGCAAGAAGTCAGTCCAAGAACATCGCAGAGGCGGTCGAAGAACGGGGCCTACAGTCTTCCAGCTGCATTTCGATATTGTGTACGTAAGCTTTCTGAGAGTTGCATCTCAGCGTCCACAAAAGAGTCGAGGGCAACAGACGCAATGGTGCTGACAAACGAGGGCCAATCGCGAATGGAGCGCAAAGGTCTCACTGTTTGCACTGCCACTGTCTTGGCTGCAAGAACTCGAGCTATTGGCACTCTTTGTGAAGTGGAGGTGTCTAGGATGCATCGGCCAAGCGAATGGGAGAAGGTTGTGTTGGAAAAGGGAGCGTGAATTGCCTCGACGTGACCATTAGAATTGAGGCGGTGCATTTGGCGCCACTGTGGCAGCCCTGGGGCGGCCCTGTGGCTGGAGCTGCGATTCAGATCATACCGTTTCTGGTTAGCTCATCCGCTGTAACTATACGTACTACGTAGTAGTGTCATGGATGACGTTTGACCCTTGTGTGTCAAACAACCAAGATTCTGGACATTTCCGCCTGCGCGCGCCTACGAGGACTAAATACTACTCTCTCATCCAATAATTGCTTTGCACAACGATACATCCAAGAGCCTCTAAAACACAGCGGTCGCGAAGCATCTCCTTAATGTCTTGAAACCCGCTGTCTTGGTCTCCTTTGTTCCAATACTACGGCAGACCACCATGACTTGAAACTCGGGCCTCCATTCGGCTGTCTCGCCCCTTCAATACCCCCTTAACCCTACCAACACATCTTTCACACCTCTCTCTGCAATCCGCCATCAGTCTATTGTTCAAGTCTGAGATATCGCACATTGAGCAGAACATAACATTGTGGCCCGCGTGACCTACCTAATACGCCAAGATGACTGCTTTCGTCGGCAAGATGGCTGCGAAGAAGCTTCTCGGTGGAAAGAACTCGAAAAACCAAGAAGCGGAGGCACGTCAAGCATCTTGAACGCCACGCGCTGCCATTCCACTGACAGAGTCCAGGATCCATACCATGTGAAAGTCAAGAGCAAAAAGTTAGGGGTCACCTACACAAAGAAAGAATGGAAACCTCTTCATCCAGCTCTCAATCCCGATGAGAAAGCGGTACTCGAAAAAGTTAGGGGTCGCGCCTACAACCTCGACATGTGCTTGTTCAACGTCCCACTTATTGGCAGATTTGGTTACAGCAGCATAATTGGTCTCATACCTGCGTAAGTCCAAGTACCCGGGTTGTCAAGGTAAATTGAAGCTAATAATCGGACAGAGTAGGAGACGCGCTCGATTCTTTGCTGGCCTACATGCTTATCAGGAAATGCTGTTCTGTGGAGCCTGGATTGCCACACAAAATCAAAAACGCCATGTTAATGAATTTGGCCTTTGATTTTTTCATTGGGCTCGTGCCCCTCCTTGGAGACATCGCTGATGCTATCTACAAATGCAACACCAAAAACTACCTTCTACTAGAGAAGGAGCTCACCAAGAGGGCAGTACAAAGACAAGAAGGCGCTGGTATTTCCAATCCGGCAGCTGGCTCCAACTTTGGCCAGCATTACGTGGAATCTGAGGAACGGTATGGGACGAATACTCCCAGCGGACCGCCACCCAAATATACTTCGACCAAAAAGCCAAGGCGACCTGAACCGGCTTATGATCCGCGTGAATCTGAAGGTAGAGGTGGTTATTTTGGAGGCCGTCGGGAGGTGGATCTAGAAGCTGGTGGAGAGCCTTCCAGAAACCAGGCCTTTAGATCTCAAAGAAATGCCTGACGGACCGGCTGACGATAGATATTCAAGGCTAGCGCAGTTGAATGGGCTGGGATTATCATTTCATTGCATGCCTGATTCGTGTATACACATCTCTGGGAGCATTGCCAGCGGTTAGGCGTTGGATGGTGTACCTGGGCGGTACTTTACAAACCATGAAGCATGAATCCAACAAAAACTTTTACGTGTCTGGCTTGAGACTCTAGAGGCTGAAGAACCGTTATACTATGGGAAGCTTCGCCTCATTGGCTACAGGATCTCACCACTTTGATGCCCGACAAGAGTCTTGTATCAAAATCTTCTCTACCACAAATATCCAATATAAGTTGCGAATCACTTACCTTACTAAGAATGTGGAAGACAAGAATCTAGCTAACTTTCCGACCAGCGACTTGAAGTGCCGGTCTTCCATTTCCTATATCTTGGTACTGCCAGTATCGTAAACAGACCCTATCACTTTGCGAATGAATGACCATGACATAAGATGTATGCGTTCATCCAGTAAGGGGCAATAGTGTTGTCATCTTTGATGTTCCACGGAAAGTTCCAACCACTGGCTTTCAGGTGGTGGACTGCGTTCTCATCGCTCAAAGGTACCTTGACTCAATGTTGCGGCAGACCCAGGACTAGGCTAGCAGTAGTATTTAAGTGAAATTCGTAGCTTAGAAAACCGAGGCATCCTTGACATTACTCATTCTTGTGCCCTAGAAGATTTCTGAACCTTCGGTCCTGTAATTACGATTGTGTCGCTAACTTACTGATAACAAGGACCACGTGATGATATCGTCTCAAGCTTCAGACGTTGACAAGCGTAGCAGATATTTGGCTCATCACTCTCTTGACTTGCCATGGTCTCAGGTATTGGCATGGCACAGATACCACATGTTGATGCACTTTGCTTCAGAGCAGAGACGGGCATCTGCAGCTTGCCAGCTGTACGAACGACGTTCGCCATTAGGCTGGGATACTTCTCGCCTTGATTGTTAATGTAGGCTGACAACAGGTCATCGATCGAGGTGGCCCGTAAAGCGGTGTACGTTGGTGCGGATGCCACATCATGGACAACCAGTCCAGAGAAGTCATCCGGAAGTGCACTCGTGTACATGGCCAATTCTGACTTAAACAAGTCACGCAATGGATAGTAGAAGGCAATGCCCCATGGTGTTGGCCCATCAGCAACATCGAACGGCAAATACCCACCGCGCCCCTTTGAGACACTAGACAAAGCTTTGGCAGCTAGCCGGCTATTTGAATGACCCCAAAGAATGCCGTTGCATGCATTGACTTTCGCAAATGCCACGATGAGCCTAGTAAGCAAGAGTTGCAGCACATCCGTTCGAGATGAAGCAGTTTTCGAACACGACAACAAAGTATCAAGGCTTGCTTGGGGGGTCTTCCCTCGCTGTGCACCGAGGTCTGATAGGTCTTCACAGATGCTGCTATCTAGCTTGAAAACTTCAGGTAATGGAACCAGGGAGAAGGTGTGAGAAGGAAATTTCTGCTTCAGACGATCAAAGGTTGCGGCAACGCTTCTATTGGAGACTAGTGAAGGTGCTTCTACCATTAGAAGATGAAGTTCGTAGGACTTCCGGCCCCGATTCGAAAACTGTCGCTGTAGGAGACCGTCTAAGATTTGCAGTAGGACCACTGATGAGACTCCACCAGACACAGGAAGGAGAAGCTTCTGGGGCTGCTCGATCACTTCCTCTTTCAGCCGATAGGACTTAATTCGCTTGACAGGTTTGGAACCAATGTATTTGATGAAGCATTGCCTGTACTTCTCAGCATTAGACCGATGGCTTAATCATAAGCAACTCACCGGCAAAGCCAACGCTTGCGCACATCAATGGATGCTTCCATCGAGTGGCAATCTGCACAATCGTTGAACAGCTGTGCAGCTGGCATCGCGTGATCTCTGCTTAAGGATGCTTCCGATCAAAGTATGTGTAGGATAGTTATCTGGGTGGTTTATTTAACAGCGGTGTGATTCTTGGGCTCGGGCCGAGCTTGCGTCCGGGACGTGTTTCTTGATACGCGGCCTCAAGTCGAGGACTCAAGTAGCAGAGAAATCTGCTTGCAATTACAAGCCCGAACGACGTGTTAATCCGTGCACTCATGACTTTATCCTGACTCCCTCCTGGTGAGACGTGAAGCACCTTTGCAGCACCTCCCACAACCAAGACACGAGCCCAATCGTGGTGACTGAAAGCTTACTGAGGCAAGGCACCTGAGAGCAAGAAAATGAGGAGATTGCTGGAACGTGTGAGCCTATGTCTTGTACTACTAGGCTTTGCAGCCGCAAATGAAGTTGAGTTGGTCAGTATGTGTTTTCGTCCCGATTGACCCCATCTAAGGTCTATTTAGAAGCGAGACGATGCCCACCGACAGCGATGCTCTGGGATGTACAGCCGGAAGTCGTGGGGAGGGGATATGGAGCCATTCATCCTGGTGAAGTTCAACAAAGTCCCTGTGGAAGGAGATGACGATCCGCTAGCTAGCTTGGTGATGTTCGAATGGAAGGATGAGGGTCTGATTGGAAGACGTACCGACGGGAGCAACGACGTATGAGGAGGACCTAAATCTGTCCACAAATATTGTCTGACTTTAAAGAGCAGGTCGCTGAAAAAGAAACCATCTGTGATATCGAAAATGTCGAGGCGAAGCTCTGCGAGCAAGAACAGCTTGGCTCTTTCATCCTCGCAGTCAACGCAACTGAGAATTCGAAACAACCAATACTATCCCACGCGATCCATTTGAAAGAGCCAGACGCGATAAGGTACCCTATCGCAAAGACAGGCTTCTACTGCGTCAGCACCTTCGCTTTCTCAGATACCGATTACAGCGCCATTGTTACCTTTCGCAATGCTTACGGAGAGCTTCCAGCAGCTCAAATTGCCAAGCTTCCCTTCTACGGCGGGCTCACGATCACATATGCTGTCCTGGGAGCATTTTGGGCATTCTTGTATGTCCAGCATAGATCGGATATCCTACCGGTACAGAACTATATCACAGCTACCATCATCTTCCTCATTATCGAACAACTTATGACCTGGGGCTTTTATGACTACCAAAATCGAAACGGCAACAATGGCCTCAACAAAGCACTGATGGTCTTGGTAGCCATATTGAACGCTGGCAGAAATTCCCTCTCATTCTTCCTGCTTCTTATTGTTTGCATGGGTTACGGGGTCGTCAAACCATCCTTAGGCAAGACAATGATCTATGTTCGCGTTCTTGCTGTTGCACACTTTTTCTTCGGCGTCATATACGCCGTAGCTTCGCTTTCAGTGACGCCTGACTCGGCCGGGCCATTGGTATTGTTGGTTATCCTACCTCTTTCAGCAACTTTAACGGCTTTCTACATCTGGACCCTCAACTCACTTAGCGCCACTATGAAGGATCTGATTGATCGCAAGCAGAAGACCAAGGCGATGATGTACAAGAAGCTGTGGTGGTGCATACTCGGCTCTATCATGGTCATTTTCGGGTTCTTCTTTGTCAATTCCTTCGCCTTTGCCGGGAGGAATGAAGCCAATTTCGTACCAGAAAATTGGCAGACACGGTGGTTCATACTTGACGGATGGCTCAATCTTGTATACCTCTTCGATTTTGCCTTTGTTGCCTACCTGTGGCGGCCAACAGCCAATAACCGGAGATTTGCCATGAGTGATGAGGTAAAGTTGTACGGCAAGCCCAGAAGCTACCCCACAACTGACCATTTTCATAGTTAGCACAAGACGACGACGGCTTCGAAATCCGCTCCATGGCCGACTCTTTGGACGAAGAAGAGGCCAGAACACCAGATGATCGAACGCCAGTAACCAACGGAACAACAGGTCGTGGTCTATCACCTAATCCTCCATCAAATCCTCCACCAAAACCATCAGATCAAGCACCTTCATCTCGACCACGAGAGTCACTAGACGGTGAGACAATCTTCGCAGTTGGTGAAGACGGAGATAAATGGTCTGATGAGGACGAGAGTCCAAGGAATTCAGAAGAGAGGAGAAGGCTGACCGGTAAGAATTCTTGAGAATTCGAAGTTGGTTTTTGGTTCGAACCGATTTTCTTTCGGAGCCTTTATAGCAATGGGTAGGGACATCCTGCAACAGGAGGGCTGGCGTCTTGAAATTCCCTGTCAGTATCGAAGTTTGTCTTATAAACTACACCTTTACACTGTCTTGTGTGAAGGAACAAAATCTCATAATTATTTGTGTCCACTCAAGGCGCCGAAACCTACAGGCTTACGAATTAAGTTGGGCTCACTCCGCACATTCAGTTCTACGAAATATAAAGCAACCGACGGAGTACTATATCACTCATTACACCACCCTTAAATTCTCTACAACCTCCTGGCGTACGGTCATGTATCATTGTTCCCAAGCCGTGGTTGAGACCATCTGGCTCGTCTCACCACCGTTGAATAGTCAAGTTCGGGCTGACGTTGCAGGATTTTATGTAATATGTAATTGGCGTCGTGGAGACGTGAGACTACTGGATGAAACAGAGATACAACGACACAACAAGCCCACCCCGATCTTCTATGTGATCCACTCACTTTTTGCGCCTACTTCTACCATGCACATATATCTTTTTCTACAATTGAACACTACGGAAATGGAAATGACTGCACCTGGCGTTGCAGCTCTACTAGCCCTCTCCAGACTTACCGTTGTAGGCCCGAGCCCAGCATCTTGGAGAGCTGTGAACACATCTCGCTCATAGAAGATCAGTGACCTCACCTCTTACTGTCTAGCCCCTGTGGCTCGCCCCCTTGAGCCACCATCATGGTTCCACGACATGAGCTTATTTCACCAGAAGCAAATCATAAGGGAAGTGGCCAAGGCCATAAACTGTTCCATGTCGCTCAGAAAACAGAGAATTGTGGGATGGAGCTGGGGTTGGTCCAAGCGCAATCGTCTAATTCAGCTCAACAGCCATTCACAGACAGCAATCAAGAATCTCTAGCAGGCGCGCGAAGCCATAAGCATTCAGTTGGACGGACCATCGTTGTCTTGAACCCAGTCCAAGAGCGAGCATCAGTTTTGGCTGATAGGCACCCGCGGTCGGTGTTAAGGGCCTCTTAGGTGCTAGCACGGTTAATTTCATCCGGGGGGTTTCACCAAAGAGCTTTGCTAGCACAAGGGTTCGTGAGCTTCTGAATGATTATTTCTTTAGCTTTCCGAGAGCGTTCCTCTATTCGGAAGTAGAAGATATCAGTGATCAGGCTCTCTCGTGGCCAAAAATACGGTTCGCACGCAAAGTTGTTGGAACTCCTAAAACCCTAGTACAACGCATTTTAACCAAAGAGATCATCCAGCGCCGGCAACCGCAAGATTGGTACACGATGCTGAGAATTTGAGCGAATGGTGGCACGTCTCAACGAAATGCTGAAGTTTGAAGACAAGCCATGCTTGAATTAGCGAAAATGGTAACAAGTGGTCGATCGATGCCAGCTTCGAAGTAGCACTCAGGAATGGATAGGCCTTTGGAACGCAAGCATCGCAGAGATGGAGAAGACCATGAATGTGTGTCCACAGATAGAACAAATTAGTCTTTGAATGGCTGTGGTCAGCATGGATGTTCCAAGTTCGAAGTGACGTCTTCAAGTGAATTCGCATCTTCGGAACGAACTGTATACGTTTTGGTAACACTCGTTGGACCAAGCGTGGTCCAAACTTCTTCGGACAACACATTCATGAGTATAGGTTTATGAGAACCCCTAATTGCTCTCCGTTCTAGTTGGAAAAATCCTCCGACCTGCTACATGTTGTTGCTTTTCCCTGGTCTAGCCAGAATATTCGCTTACGCTTGGTAGACACTTTCTCAGAAAAGAGCAAGGGAAGTCTGCTGGTCGTTCTTTGCAACATGGCTGAACATGTTTGACAGCCTACTTACCGGGAGAAGGGCTCTGAAACTGACGCAGTATTGGTCCTTAGTAATTTAGCAGACATTTTATTATTCTAAGGATTGTCAGGAGGCTTAAATGACCACAATTTGTTGGAATTGGCCGAACATCCTTGTTCGGCTGGCTCCACCGCTGCACACAAGACTTTGATAGCTTTTGCCGGAGTCGCACTTCACCTGCACAGAATCAGAGGCTTCTGACAGTCGGCTAAGCGATGGGGTTGCTTCTAGCCAGTTGAGCCAAAGCATCCTTCGAGGTATCAAAGATGGTCACTACACTACGTATTACGCCGCAAGTTCACCTGCTTGACGCGCAGAAGCTTCGAGTGAGGAGACCGACTAGCGCTAGTTCGGCTCTATTCTTACGTAGTATGCCCAAAAACGTAGACTAGCTGTCAGCCACAGTAGCAGCAAGCCACAGTGGCTGTGAAACCGTCGGCTGTGACGTCGGAATGAGCCATTTTTCTCCTTATTTTTGAACTTCTTTCAAACTTCGCAACATGCATGCGTTTTACTGATTTCAGTTGCTATGGTGAAGGCATTGAATGAGCATTTCAGAAGTCGTCCGGATTTGCAGTTTAAGTAACATTCTGTATGTTGAATTCGACTATTTAATACACGACTGCATTGTCATTTTTGGACAGCTGTTAAGCAAGCTTCCATAGCGATTATTTGAAGCACTCGTCGCTGACAGCTTATAGTTTTGGTGGGCTTTCCTGACTACAGGCTGAGTAACGCCTGAGTTTAATGTTGCCATGTGGTCAACTGAGGTCAGGCGAGTGCAATTGATGTGTAAAGCAATACACATACCGTAATCAACTGTCATAACGCCCACATTCACGACTATACAAGTGAATAGAGCACAGCTTCGTGATCGATGTTGCCAGTCTGACCTGTCCAGCCTCAGTGCCCTCCTTCTCTGAAGAATTCCTTAATCCATCTCCCTCCTACAATTCTCCCCCACCCATGATCTTCTGATCAGTGACATCCAAGCGCGCACCTTCTGGTGCCGCCGCTGCCGCCTTGCAATCAGCAACCTTGACCTCTTTACAGACATCCGGCCCCGTATTCTTTGGATCGCAGAGCGTATCGGCCGATGTACCCGGTACGACAGCGACACGGTGTTCATGGCCATGGACAGGCCACTTCATCCGCCACTGCACCTTGACATTGTTGTCATCTGTGCCATCTGCCTTATACCCTGGCCTCGTCAGACACATTGTCCCGTACGGCGTTGGCGCACAAGAAGTGGTGGGATGGCACATGTTCTTGCCGGAGTGCGGATCGCAGGTGAAGCAACCTATCTGATTAACCGCCACGACGACCCTTTGGGCGAACGTGTTGCCGCCCGGCGTGCCGTTCAGGAGGAAACGGACGAAGCATTGAAGGGTGGCGTCTTGGGTGGCGTCGTCGGCCACCTCGCCGTCTCGTGGAAGGTGGCGACGGTGCCGCTAGTCACATTGATCTCGGTTGGGGCGAACTCGACGGTTAAGCCCACGTCGCAGGAGACTATGTCGGGTTTGATGGTAACATCGAGGTTCTTCAGCCCGGTGACAATTGCCAGGGTAACCTTGTCGACGGTGGAGTCAATGATGACGCCGCCTGTGGCGGTGGTCACCTTGGTGGCCCGGCCGAGCTGATCAAGGCGCTGGGCTCCGACGTTAACGCCAATGACGCGGATGGCTTTTTCCTTCAAGGCGACGATGGTGTCACCGTCGAGGGTGTGTCCGTTGCTGGGCTCGTGGCTGGGCTCGTCGCTAATGAGAACTATGATCCGGCTACTACCTTCGCGGAAGGTGACGGCACCGGTGGAGAGCTGAAAGAGCGCGTTGATCCAGTCCTCGGGGTCGTCGCCGCCTAAGTTGGCAGTCAAGGAGTTGACCGCGTTTTGTAGGGCAAGGAGGTCGCTTGTCAGCGCTTGTTCCACATGAAATCGATTTGGGTTTCCAAAATCGCCGAAGCTGGCCACGGCGAACTGGGCGTTCGGCTGCACCCTGCTGACATCGGAGATGACATTGACCAGGTTCGTCTTGATGTTTTCTATGGATCCGCCCATACTGCCAGTGACATCGATTAGGAGTACCACATCCGGTTTGGTAGGATCTCTGGTGTGGTGACGATCTTGTCAACGTTGAACGACGTACCGGGGTCAGCATCCTTGCTAACCGAGGCCGGCGAGACGCCCATGTCGGCGAAGACGAACCCGACGAGGGCGAAAGCCAGGGCGGTGGTGTTGGAGAAGCGCATGGTGAAGGGCTCGATGGGTGCTTGGAATCGGGGTGGTGGGTATGAGAAGAATAAGAGAGGGTGCTTTAGTGGTACTGAGAAGCACGAGGGGTAGTTACTCGGGAGAGAGCTGATGGTTCTCAGGCTGGGGTTCCCTCTCGTCTTGTATTGTGCTTGTTGTCTGCCCCGCTGTGGCAAACTCCGAAGTGCTGGTGAGCCATTCTCGTGAGCTAATGTTACACTGGCTAGCCGTATAAGAAAATCGGTGTGATGATTTCTACAGGAGCTGAAAAGGATTAAATGCGAGTTATTGATTGCTCTGCAGAATACAAGAAGGTATCCCCTTCGTAAGGCGGCCAAAGCCTCAAGCTAGCAGGGGTGGGTACTAGAGGTCCATGTGATGGAGCGGGATGCCTGATCTTACCACTATGAAGATCAAGTGAAAAGACGAGAAAATCTTCAAAATCTTTAATCGTAATGGCTTGCTGGATCTGGAAGCTAAAAGCTCCCTAGAAATGAGTACTACGGTAGGAGGCATAAGTATTGTTAGTGTGAGCTGGTTATAACTAGTTCTTAATACAAGGGTCAGGCGTCCTCTGGAGTTATTGTAAGTCTTGACTCCTCAAAATCCCTCATGATTGGCTCTATGCTTTAGAACTATACAGACTAACGTCATTTCAGTAAAGTGCATATCCGTTAAGGCTGTATTAAATACAAAATTTCTAGCTTGGAGCTAGCAGTATTTATGTCTCCTGCCCACTCATTTCTGGGACTAGTGTTGCCTCTTCTCAATTACCTAGTTACTACTAGTAGTAGTAGGTGGCTAGCCGTGGCCCAATGGGTGGATCCCTAGGGACCCACTCTGCAGGGGGTACCCCCCTGCGAGAGCCAGCGCGCGCAGCGCGTGGCTGCCACCGTAACGCGATTATCACCGTAACGCGTTTTTTGAAGCAGAGATTCGACTTTCGAAGAGGATAGACAGCTCAAAATTCGCCGAATTAGGATATTAATCCTGTATATCTTCTATAGGGCCATTTATGATGGTCCACTCCAAATTTGCGATACGCTGATGCGCATCTTCTAGCTTTTTTTGTAGAATTTGCTCCCGCTTTTGAGCCCTTATCTCCTGTGTACCCCCCTCTTCTTCGCGTTGTTTAGTCATGTATCGAGCTTGTTCTGCATAAAGGAACCCCCCAGTTTGTAGCTGGCGTTGACCTCTACACCTTCGTTCGCTTCGTTCTTTTTCAGCTGCTGTTAATTCTCCTAACTCCTTCTGAATTTGTACGACAGTTTTGGCCTGAATTAGAGCCCCCTTGATAAACTTCTCTTGTAGAACTATTTAACGACTTGGAGTTGCGTTTTGCAGGCAAATAGCATGCAGCTCAAGAGAGAACGAGCTGTTAAAGGCGTAGTAGGAGGCTAAATTTGAGCTTCAAAGGGTATAAAAAATCGATCTTAAGGAGGAGGAGGAGGAGCAATTTAGTAATCTTAGATCTTGTTCAGTACCATATTTGAATTATAAGGAACAAGTCCGTATTCTCGAAATCCATCAAGGATGAAGTTCCTTTTAAACGTCATTTGGCGAATACTTTGAATAGCAGCAAGGAATTCGAGTTTATCAAATTTGCTACATCCTTTTCGAGTTGCTTGATCCACAACTTAAGCATGCCAGTGCTTGTAAGGCTGAAATAAAACGACGTCAAGCGGTTAAAGGATATAAGAAGTATGAGGAGGAAGAGCAAAGACGTGGATTAAGTTGAATTCGCAGAATTCAAGGATCTCATGCGTAAAATGGCTCTTGTATTCGTCACAAAGGAGGATGCGGTGAGCTCCTAT